AGTCGAGAACTTGCCGCTCAGATCTGAGTGTATTAGTTCCAGTGGTTGTTTGGATTGTGGTTCGGTGAGAGGAGCGAGGTGAGATTTGGTTGACTTAGCGAGTTCACATGTGTTGCATGTTTCCATGTGACCAGATGTGGGGAGAGACTTGGGGTCGGCGACCATGGTGCGAAGCCGTGGGAGCGAGGAAGCGGGGAGATGTCCGAGCCGTTGGTGCCAGTCATAGAAGCTGCTGGCGGCAGAGAGGTGTGCGCATGGTTCCTTGCTTTCAAAAATGTAAAGACCAGTACTATTTGCGTTAGCGATCCCGATAATTTCCTTGCTGTTCGGTTTGTAGATGGTAAAGCCGTCTTCCATCCCAGTTGTTGTAAATCCCTTTTTAGCGATGCAAGACCAAGACATCAGGTTGGTATTGCCTAGTTCGGGGATCAAGAATACGTTCTGCAGAGTGATCAGGCCATGTGATCCATTGATTGTGACGTTGCCAATTCCGGTTATCTGGAGTTTGCGACCTCCTCCAACAGTAACTGTTCCAGTGTGGGGAGTGGGGTCGGTAACCAGCGTTCCGGTCATGTGGTTGGTTGCACCAGGGTCGAAGATCCATGCCTTGTTGTCGGTGGTGGAAGGTCCTGCAATGAAGCCAAAGTAGTCTTCCATGGTAATATCCGAGGTGTCATCTGAGAAGTTGGTGAGGTCGAAGTCAACCGGCATTGTGAATACATCGGTTTCTTCAAGTGCGGGAAGGCCAGAAAGATCGGGGATCCAAGAGAGGTCGAGTTTTGTGTGAAATGCAGTACCAGATGCGACGTTGAGGTTGCCAGATGCAGCGGACTTCTCCTTGTCTCTGAAAGCTTTGAGTTTCCGGCAATTTTTGTGCGTGTGGCCTTTTGCATATTCTCCATTCTTGGTGCACCAGGTGCATGTGACGTCCCGATTTCCTGTTTCGTTGTTACGTGGCTTCCTGATTCTGTTGTTGTTTCCGTGTCCTGGGTTTCCTCGCCTGATTGTGTAGGCTTCTCCAGCTGCCTGTCCATCGTTGTTGCGCCGTGAGTCCAGATCCAACAGCTTTTCATAGACATCATCGAAGGTGACGTTGGGCTTGGTTTGCAGGTTGTCAACGACTGATTCGAGGGATTCGTGCCGGAGTGAGAGGAGTAGGAAGGATGCCTTCGCTTCTGAGACAGATGCGAGTTGGTGAAGGTGGTAACCGAGTGGGTCTTTGGTCTTGTCCATAGAGTTACTAGTTCTAGTGAGGAGAGATGACCAAAGAGTGTTGAACTGGGTTAGATGTTCCTTGATACCCTTGTCGGGTGTGTACTGTAGTGTGACGACATTGGCGAGGAGCGAGTGGAGGGAGGCGACGGTTTTCCGATCGAATCTGTCCTCGAGTTGAGTCCAGAGGTGATGAGCGGTGTCGGCCGGTGTCAGCGTGAGAATAACTTCGAATTCGATGTTAGATTGAAGGAATACAACTACAAGGTTGTCCTTTTTATCCCAGTCGCTGATTTCTTCGGCATTGTCAGAGGTTTCTTCTTCGTCTTCTTCAGCCTCAGCTACGCTTCCTGATGCTTGTAGTGCCGTGGTAGGTACAGTAGTAGTGGTGGTTGTCAACACGGGACGCTTGCTCGAACCATTGACCAAGTTCTACAGATCGTGAACTTTCAACATTCGGGTAGCAAGGTCCCTCCATACAGTGTAATGGCCTTGACCATCCAGCTTGCATGGGAGTGCGGGAATTTTGATGCTACTCTCAGACATGATTGAAAGTGAAACGAGAAAGTGTACTTTGTGGTAAAAATGGTGAAGAGTGTATAAGGGTGAGTGGTCTCCGGGCTCATAACCTAGAGAAAGTGTGTAGGAGAAGTAAAGTAATTGATCGTGTTGATTGTGCTAGCTAAGGGGGAATGCCCCGTATTTATACTAATGAAAGGTAGTACAAAAGAGATACAATGAGTCATGGACGTGTGAGTAATAGAATGACTAATAGGAAAGTGAGTCATACGCCGATGACGAATACTATAATGAAATGATGAGAATCTTCCAGAACTATGAAACGTGCCGAGCGCCCTATTTCAAGAGCTTTGACAGCTTTCGGAAAATGGAACTCTCGCTCGGTGGAGCAGTTAGGTCTAGCTACTTCACAGTATCTCACTCGTCTATTTGCATGTTATTCTATTTAGACGTAATCAGCAAAGGCCCCATGATTGAGATAGGTATCAAGAAGAGCATACACTAAGAAGAGATAGTTATACATATCTAAATAGAATAGTCAGGTATCTCTGTCATCACGAAAGGTTTCAATTGGATGGTTAGATGCCTCCAGTTTCTGTGGTCTGGTGGGTTACAGCTGTCAATAGACAAAGAATGGGGTGCTTTAAGGGAGACGACATTCAAGTTTCCAACTCTTCTTTAAATGGCAAACCCTAAGCACTACCGTCATGATATATAATAGTCTTCCGTCTAAGATTAATATCAACTCTACTCTTCTAAAATTACAAGCTCACGCGAGCAAGGAGGGGCCCAGCCTGCCGCACAGTGGCAGGTAGCGCCGAATGCGTGCGTGAATTACATATCGATGTTTATTTCCACCATTACATCGAATCCCACGCATATCCGAGCCATTGAACAGGGCCGGATCTTTATACATACACATTCCTTTAGTTATCAGCAGTTCCCCGGACTGATGGTTAATTTCATATGCGGCCGGAGGCCGCTCCTCACTAATATACTATAAAACCCCCGAGTCCTCTCGATAGTCCTCTCGCTCGGGGTTTTTGACAACTTTTTATGAAAGATTCAGTCAAGATTAAGACATGATCGTGATTGCTAGTACTGCATCAAGTAGCGGGGTCGGACAGACAGCTAGCTGTGTTCTCGTAGATATCTCAGAGAGTTAGGATTTAATGCGCTCCAAATCTCTGCTGAGGGGCACTCGGACGGTTGAAACTCCCCTTGAATCAAGGTGAGGAAGGCAAAAATGTATCGAATCTCGTCGGCCCAGTGTACTGTCGTATGTGTCGGACCACCCCAAGACAAGCTAGGAAGGATGCATACAGTACCACAGCGAACATAAGCTCAACAGCACTGTGTATAATTCAGTACCCAGAACCAATCCTGCCCTACATCTAGTAGCTATTCACCTAGCATGCAGGTTCCCGATATCCCAGTCCACCACACGTCAAAAACCATAAAACAAATACCATACCATCTACCATAGTAGCTTGATGGTTATTGTGTCGCCCAGAGGGGCCGAGGTCTACTCGAGCAAATGATAAAGGTCACTTGTTCGAGTCACCTCACAAGCTTGGTTGAAAGACAGTGTGACTGGGTAAAAAGGAGTAAGAGCGAGAGCGCTCCTCCTTTTGTTACTCTGAGAGCTGTTTTATAAGTTTATTAGTGTGAGATTAAATGTGAAGCTTTATGCAAATGGTTTTATTCTGTAACTGCTTTACATTTATGCATACGGGTGTTATCGTGGGGAGGAGGTGCATCACACTCAGTCATACTCAATCACTCGGTCCCACCAATCACTCATTCCAATGTTATTACAGTTCGAACCCAACTCTTTTCGTAAAAGGCACCGCCCAACACCGGAACCACGCAGGCGAAAAGAACTCGACGCAACAGGAGAGACAAGCGATAGCCAAGGACCCGGACTACGGTCAGCCCGTCCACACAAAGAGAATGCACGACGTATAATTTTGGGAACAACCCGCTTACAATAACAGATCTAATTATTCATGAACGATCACTCGACTTGGAAGTAATGACTACTATTATTGCACTGAGTATCAATTCGGCCAAAACTTTCTTTAAAAAAGGTGCAAACCCCCCCCCCACAAGACGCACTGTGGAAGAGGAGGGGAAATTGGTTTTCCCAGAATATGCCTGGAGATTAAACTTAACTCTGTGTTTTTTTTACATACAAAGCCCTAACCCTATAGATAGTTAACAATATATTTTTGGGCGGATATGAAATTAGGAACCCTACGCGCAGAATCCAATGAATGTAATTCCACAATCACCACGTCTTTAGTTCTCTATAGTATTCTTATAGTCTTTCTTTCTTTCCTTTCTTTTCTTTCTTCCTTTTTTTTTTTTTTTGATGGCGATGTCTGGGACCTACTTTTAAATATGGGGCGGTCCGGGCATTTTTTGATTGGTTCTTAAGAACCGGCGTTATAGCTCCGTGTAGTGAGTATAGCCTAGTGTGTCGTGAAAGCTGGATCTGTAGAGATTTGTGTAATGGAAGGACATTGTATTGTGAAAATACAGAGTACATCAGCTAAAGTTGGGACTTTTTTTAATAATATTCAGAACCTCTTTTTGCCTATTTTCCCACTCGGTGTTGACCGGCGACTTCTAAGATGTGATATAATTTCGATAGTCATGATCACGGATCGAAGGATAACAGAAAATCATAGTTATTGACTAAGTAGCTAGGTGAAAATCTCAGGAACCGATCCAGAAATCCCATCCCAAACCCTCCCCATCCAACCTAAGAAAAAGCGAAATAAATTTGGTACAGAAGCTGAAGCAATAAAACCAACGCGATTTTTCTCTCTTTCTTTTCGTTTTTGGAGTAAATGATGTAAAAAACCAAAAACAGAAATGTACAGGGTATATAAACCGCCTCTACACACAGATTAAAAACAGGACGCAAAATTAAGCAAAAAGAAAATAAACTGAAATGGATACGTAGAAGGCAAAGGGTAACTAACTATATGTAATATGAAATACAAAAGCAAAATAAAACAAAAAATAACCAAAAAACAAATTATAGCTTACAATACGCCCCATATTTACCATCTAAATAAACCATTGCCTCGTCTACCAAGTCTCATCAAAATCATCAATCTTCAATGTTCGGGAATGGGTACCCTCTTGACGCTGCCGCATCCTCTTGAACAAGGCGTATAGTCTGCTCCGGTATCACAGGCAAGATGCTCTGCGCCGCAACCTTCGCCTTCTCAGGTGTTGTCTTCGGTGTCTCCATAGGGCTAGAGTCTGCAATTGGTGTTAATCTCGATACACCTCCATGATGCTGTTCCCTCCAAACGGAGCTAACTGATTTATTGGAGGCGCGAGATTCTGACCTGAGTTGGGGCCTATTCACGAGTACCTGCATCGGAAGAACAGTAGTCTCAGTTTCGTAGTTCTCCCCATACTCGTTGCCACGACGAATGACCTGTGGGAACAGGATCAATTTGACTGTTGCGCCCTCCTCCTCGAGCTCTTGAGCTGAGATCGGCTCTGGCCCGCGGTTCTGCATGCTAGAAGCTACGAAGGGTACCGTGTTGATCACCTCTCCTTGATCATCGTAATCGGGTCGAGGCGGGCGCTTCATGACGTATTCGGCACGCTGAGTTCGCATTTCGACGGCTAATTGAACAGAATGTTGTACAAGACTACGAAGCGACTCCATAGCTAAGCTGCGGTACTGAGGTGGAGGTGGAAGAAGGAAGTTCAATAGGTTAAATATTGTTTGAACAATCTCTTCTGTATCTGCGTCGCGCTTGGCTATGATAGCTGGTCTGGTTGAGAGGAGAGTCAAAGTCGTGGACCGCCATTGGTGAACAGCTTCATGTAATCCTACATCAGGTTTGGTTAGTGGTTTCTCCATTTGGGCAATAGTTATTATACGTACCAACTTCGGCCAAGGTCGTTTCTAAGGAGATTAGCTTTTTTCGTTCATCAACCTCCAATCCAAAGAGGTATCTCGTGAACACATGCTCCCATATCATCCTGATAGTGATCGCCATGAACACTTCAGACCTCTTGTTGTCATCTTTAAGCATTCTTCGAACCCCTCTATCGTCAAGCATAACATGCTCCACTCGGTCCCTGACAGCCTCATCTTTTAGTCTGTGAACATGGACACACTTCTTTCCAATTGAAAAGCTTGAAAACTGGTTACACCAGATCTTGAGTGAGCTATAGAGTTGCTGGCACGAGCTAGAGAAATGATGCAGGTCCTTGGTATCAAGGTACTTATTGTCTTGTCTTGTTGTGACCTGTTGCTGTAATTTACGCACTTCCTCTCTAGCCTTGGTCAACTCGTCTCGTAACCTTTCGAGCTCGGAATCTTTCTCTTTCAATTGGTTGCGAATTACGTTCTCCATGGTTGCCTGTACCTCGGCGAAACTGGCTTGGAGTTCGGTATGCTCCTTAGATAAGATAGCGAGCTGTTCCCGCTTACGTTCGTACTTGCCAGCTAGAGCTCCATAGCTAAACTTGTAGGATGTTGATAGGCTTGTGTTTGTCTTGTTGAGGCTGCTGTTAGCCTGACTAAGTCTCTGAACCTCTGTATGGTAATAGTCCAGTTTCTTCCTCAACTCTGTTATCTCGCTATCTTTTTCTGTGAGGAGTGCCTTCCCTTCTTCGATTTCTTTGGTGAAGATCGCTGTATCTTTCCTATGCCGTTGAATTGATTCAGAGAGTGTTTTCTCGACATTGGCCTTTTCTTGAATTAAGCTAGTGTTCTCCGCGGCAAGACCTTCAAGGCGATTCTCCAAGTCAACGATTTGCATACTCTGTCTCCTTCTTATACTTGGTGGCCGGGTTGGCGATTTTGGTTCGCTAGCTTTGTCCCCCCATGATTCCTAAAAGATATGAGTTTTGGATTCAAGACGCGACGGTTCATAAAAGGTAACTCACATATAAATCGGCTTTCTGCAGTACTTTTCCTTGCTGGGGCTGATAATCACCTCCCCCGAAAATAATGTGTTCAGTGCTCGCATTTGGACTGTCGAGCTGACTGCCCGCGCGTCTTAAGGACGGAGTGACAGTTCGTCTCCGCTCGCCTCTTTTTAATACATCCATTTTTTCGGAGGGAACTCTTGTTATTTGTGGTGGAGTTGAAGATAGTGTGAGTGGAGTTAATCTTTTGGCCCGTTGAAGCGGCCGATGTGTTGGGAGACGTGATAGTAAGTCGTCAGTAGAAATGAAGTCACGCTCTTTTGCTGTTTTCGACCTGGGCAAGCTTGGCCTCACAAATTCTTCAGTGGAAGTGAAATTGCGCTCTTTTGCTGTGTTCGACCTGGGCAGGCTTGGCCTCACAAATTCTTCAGGTTTCTGTTCGATGATGGTAGAGAGACCTTTTTTCGGGGGGTGGGAAAGTTTAACGGGGGATCCAAAGTTTTCTCTTCTTTCTCCTTCCGCAAGTGGTCTCCCTGAATATGTGAGGGGCTGATCGAGAGTTCTTTGCGAGAGCTGGAATGATTGCAGGTTATTTTGAGTATCTTCCTTGGTTAAGAAAGGATCGGATATGCTTCGTTCTCTTGCTGGTCCACCAAAAACACTTTCGTAGGGTTTATTTGGAATAATCCTTTTTGGGATTTCTAATTTTCCAGTTTCTGGGGCAACCTTTCCAGAGTCTTGGATTTCAGTCGGTTCGCGAACCAGATCAGGGTATGAAGGTGAGGGCGCACGGCCGTCTTTAGTAACTACTGTTCGAAGCGAGTCGCACGAGTCTTGACTCTGAAGGCTTACAGTCTGAGATAAGCGCCGTTCTTGATTTGAGGTAAGCGAAGCTGGCGCCTGAAGATCGATCTCTACCTGTGCTTTGTTTTTGTCGGACCCCTGTCTGACGGATACCTGGTACGACTGATCTGCTTCAACTACATGTGATATTCCAGTGTTAGAGATGTAAAACAATAAGGGGTTATTAGCGCGAAGAGAGATTACCCGTGACTTTATCCTTGATATTTTGATTCTCTATTCTTAGTTCAAGAGATGCCTGAGGTGGCGTGGCTTCGGTTGTGTTCTCGGAGCTAGAAGAGTGACCCTTTGCTTTTGTGTTTAGGGGCTCTGAGTTCTGTTCAACTAGAGAACGGGGTCGGATAGATGACGATCTTCGTGCTACATGACATGCGATGGATTAGTAATTAAAGTCGTGCAGGGGCGGGGGGATTGGGCTATTACATTTTGGGAGAATAGAAATTGGTAGAGAAACGTCAGATTCGGCGTATGGGCTGAGTTGAGGTGTTTGTATTGAGTCTGCGGTGCTAAGGAGAGATCGGCGCTTCCAGAATTCAATTGCCGATTCAAAAGAAGATGAGTGAGTGAGAGGTGGCGGCGGTGTTAATGAGGCTTCAGACAGTGGAATGCGGGTATCCTCGTCTAAACACGACTGACTTCCGGTTTCTGATGGTGGGGGTCCAGAGGATTCTTGAAGTATTCGAGGGAGGTTTTCTAGAACAGGAGATGATGCAGATGGTGTTTCTTCTATAGATTGTGGGTGGAGAGATACACCTTCGGGAGTGGAAGATGATTCGGTGGAAGTTGATTCGGTGGAATTTGTGCGAGTGAGAATGGGTGCTTGCTCGGGTGATAGTATTTGTCGAGGAGTCGTAGATGAGCTTTTGGTCTGGTCTCCAGACAGGAGCTCGACGGTCGTAAAACTTTCGGTTGGTAAGTCAAAAGTTGAAGATTGATTGGGGAATGCTGTTGTGGGGTTTGGATTATTGGTACTAGTTTGAGATAGAGGATCCTCGGCTTCCACAGTATGATATGTATTTGTGTTTTCTTGTTTTGATACTGATTCGGCTTCCTTGGAATAGACAGAAAATTGAGGGGGGATATTAATTGCGGGTATTTCATTATTATTATTATTATTATCGGATTGAGCGGTTTCGTTTTCTAGTGTGGTAATCACAGTCTTTTCGACTCATTAGTAACGTGCTGGCAAGTTATAGAACAGATATTAAACTCACTCTATCATGGGAGCCATGATCTCCAAGCTCAATCCCTATTCCGGATAACTGTTAGCTTTTGAATTGCCGAGCAATCCAAGAAAGTGAGTTCCAACCCTCTTCTCCCTCTTTCCCGCCTTCGCCCTTATCAACTTCTTCCGCTCGTGGCTCTGCCTCAATTGACGGTGACGGCGCCAATTCAAGTTTCCTGTTTTCCTCGACCCTTGGAGTGTCCCCATCAATGTCGTTGTCTGGAGATGGGAATCTCTGACTTGGGGCGTTGTTTGCTCTGAGGAAACCTTGAGCTTTGGAGCTGGAGGTGAACATAGGACTACGTAGCCCAACTTGAGCGACTGGGATCCCTTGGAGTTCGCCATCACCAAAAGATGATAAACTTGGGTCTTCGTCCTCTGGGTCACCATATATAATAGCACTAGGAGTGCCAAAGTTACGTGCGGCGGTCGAAAGTGAAGGTGGGTCCGGGGACGTAAAATCTTGGGGTCCTGATAGCGAGACACCGCCGGTAAATTGACTTTGTGAAGACTCCTGTCGCAATATTTGTGGAAGGCCTGGGTCTCGGGGAATATCAGACGGTAGGCGCAAGTGAGCGACATCTACCTTGGGCGAGCGGCGTCCAGGAAACGGAAGAATGTCGGGTCCATTGGGCGAGTCTATCGAGTTAATGACAATTTGAGGGGCCCGAGGAGTACTTGGTCGAGAATCGGGTTTCCTCTTAGAGAACTCAAGTAAATCACCATAACCTAGCGCAGGCGTTACCAGGGATGGTGAAGCAGGCGTAAGTTGATGGGTAGTGGTGAGTGGTGGTGGAGTTATAGTACTAGATACAGATCCTAGCCTCCCCTTTACTACAAGTGTCTTCGGTTCAACCATTGGGGCCGAGAAGTCAAGTGCGGCTGGAAACTGGCTGATCATGGACTCTTCGGCGGGTTTTGTTGCCTCCTGCATGCTTATCGACGACTCCTGATGGGTTGCAGGAAAATCCACGGTTTCGCTCCCATATTGATTTGACCTTTCTACTTCCGTTGTACTAATGGATGATGTTGATTTTGACTTATCTGCTATTGGGCTCTCGCGGTGATCGTTTGGGAATCGATCCCGGATATCCTGACTGTCTGTCCCTGATAATTTATCCTCCCTAGAAATAAAGTTAGTGATATTGTAAATAGATGAGTTGTAAATCCATCCTTACTGCTTCAATCCCTCGCTCATGCTTTTAGTTATCCGTTCATTCTCTCTTTGTTCAAAATTTTCAACTACCTTGCTCCCTGTATTCTTATTCGGGCTCACCACTGGCGTTGCAGGCTGAGTTTTAGTAATGGGAGATCCACCCCCTGTTGAAAGTGTTCTCAGGATGGGAACCCCAGACAAAAAATCTCCAACACTTGGAGTCGTTGACATTTCGGCGCTGACTACAGAAGATCCAGAAATATCAGCTCCCTGAAGCGACTTCCTCTTCTTTTCCCTCTGTCTCGCCTTCTTCGACCTTCTCTTATTAACTTCTGATAATGTAGGCGTCATTGGTACTGATGTCACGGAGAGACTGGCTTTCATCGGTACTGATTCATGTCCCGCCGCACGGTTTTCCTCAACAACTTCGGACTGTTGAATGACGTTTTCCTGAGGCGATACGATGTCTTCCCTGGTCTCAGTGTTTGGCGCAGCCTCTTCGACAGCAGCACTTGGAACATCAGGGGATTCTAGTTTTGCAGCCACAGGGGGAGGGATATACTCTACCAGCCCCTCAGGAATTTGGTATGACCCAAGACCCTTTGGAGTTGGTGACGGCACTTGGGGTTCGTTCTCCTTGTTTTGTTCATTTTTTAATGATATATACTCTTCGGCATCTTCCTCGAAAAATTTGTTCTCCCGAGTTTTCTTTTCGCTGGGTGATAGAGGTTCAAACCGTTGAATATCTGTTTCAGGAATCAAGGCCGAGGCAATAATAGGTCTTTGGAAAGTCTCGAGAGATGGTTTGTCTTCGTTTAAGCCATATACCGAGCTTTCTTGAAGTTGACTCTTCTCTTCATTATCATTGCGGATATTTTCGGTGTCTGTGACAGGAGAAGCAGGCCTGCTTAACTCACGCGGCTGAAACTTGGCCATTTGTGCTGATTCTACCAATCCGTGGGTTCGTTCTTGAAAATCAGATGGCTTGGCAAACACTTCTGCCTCAAGCGAAGGCAGCTTCACAATGTTCTCGCTCTCGAGGTGGATATCTGACTGTCCAATACCTGCAATGCTTTTACTATGTTGGACCCCAAAATCGGGAGTAGAGAACGGTAAAGTCTCTTTGATAGGAACTCTCTCATCCTCGACAGGGGTGTGGACCTTTTCTGGAGTATCGGCTATGGACATCAGTAGGAATATCAAGGAACTATGCGGATTTAGTCATACCTTTTCCCTCAATCTTGCTCTCTTGTGGTAGTGTTGTTAATTTGGCGGCAACTTCTGGGATATCGAGATTTGGTTCGATAATAGCGGTGTCTGTAGCTTCAAGCCCCCCGGCCTTGGGAGAGTAGAGCTCCACTGGTTCCTGGAATAGAGGTAATGCCGAAAAATCCACGAATGATTCTGATTGTTCCAAAGACTGTTTGCTCAGATCATCCTTTTTACTTCCCCGAGTTGCCTCATCGTGGGGACGTTCTTGTGTTTCAGGGAGAATGCTCAAGGATCCAGCATGCTCAGGCAGAGAAGGTTCGAGGTATGGCGAAGATGTTTCTGGTTCGATAATTGGCCGAATCCCAGGTGAGACTGGAACGTTCACAGAGGTTTCGGGGTGTTCAGAGACGTCCTTGAACCCTTCATACTCTGTATGTTCAACCATGTCATCCTGCTCTACTTTGGGTTCCTCCCTCTCCAACTGCCCGGTGGTATTATCTGGGGAAGTGCTTTTCCGCGACGAAAAATCAAACATATCAACGAACCCCTCGAGGCCAGGAGACACTGGTTGGGGCCGATTCCTTTCTTGGTGATCTGCTGCTCTTTCATCCTCAACTGGGCCCTCTTCATTTCTTGCGAGCATCTCGACCCTCTCGGCCTCCTGCGTGACCTGGCTCTCTTCAAGCTGGACATAGTTATCGGTTTCTGGCTCAGAGCTAAAAGTCTCTTCGAATATCTTCTCGGCCTCCTCCACGGTTACCTCGGGTTCTGCAGGGTGTGCAGGGTGTTCAAATTGGCTACCGGACTGTTTTTCCTGGACCAGATGTTCTGTAGTAAATTCGCGTTCAGCTAGAACATTTCCCTCGTCATCTTTATAGGCATGCTTCTCTGCTGGTTCTTCCCCTTCCTCTTGCCACTCTTTTTCCAATAAAGGTTCCTCGAAGATTGATTCTTGCTGAGCGACCATTGGCATTTCCGGGGTGGCTTCTTGTTCTTTCCTATCCTCTAAGACAGATACATCTTTCGGAGACTCTACACTGTCAATCGTATTCTCCATTTGAAAATTATCTTTTGGCGCAGTAGATTCCACGACTGAGGAGATATAGTCAAACATATCGAGCGACTGCTCTTCAATGGAAGCGGGTTGGTCAACCACGGGAGACTGCTCAACGGGATATTGTTCGGTGATCGGAAACTGCTCAAAATAAGGAGATTGTTGGGTAGATTGTGCAATGGCAGAGATTGTGTACTCATCAGTGATTAGGTCCTCGTGATTTTTCTCCTCCTTTTGAATCGACAGGAATTCCTGTTCGGTTTCAGATGGCATTTCAAGTTTGACACCTTCACAGGCATCACTTTCATCATCCTCAACCTCTGCCGAGAGAGTGTTGGGTTCTTGTGCGTCTGCTTTTTCTAAGCTATCTCTGGTAAGGTTGATTCCGGCTTCGAATGTGATAGGTTCAGCCTCCGGCTGAACGAGGTCCTCCATGGTTTCTGTATCATTTTTTTCCCTCTCTCCGTCATGGCCCTCACTTTTAATTTTCTCCTCATCCAGCTCACTCACCTTTTCCTCCTCTTTTTCCCCTTTCGCTTCTTCCACCTCCCCCACCTCTTCTACTTCCTTTACCTCCTTCACCTCCTCTATATCCTTAAACTCTTCCACTTCCCCAACCTCTCCCGCCTCCTTCACCTCTTCCGCCCCTTCTAGGCCCTCAACCTCTTCCACCTCCTTGGCCTCTTCCTCCTTAACCTCTTCCATCTCCTCAACCTCTTCCACCCCTTCCTTCTCTCCCTCCTCCTGATAATCTATTTCTGTGTCGTTTTCTACCCTCGGTTCTGGAATTTCGCGGCCCTTGCTAAACTCAAACTGTGCACTTGGTGTAATTGACTACATTTGGGAGACTTGTCAGTAAAAGACAAAATGAAATTAATACAGCCAACTTACTTGAATCTCCAATGGAGGAGGCGTATTATATCTTTGCTGATGGATAGACTGTTCTTCAATTTGTTGCGCAACAATTGGCTCGAATACATCCTGAGTGATAGATTCAGTAGAATCCTGGGTCTCATGAATCTCTTCAAATTCCGAGGGCAAGATATCCACGGTATCTTCGGGTGGTGCCACGTTTATTTCTGGGGCAGGGCTTTCATCATCGTTCATCGGAAGCGGCAAGATTTGAGCGCCCTCAACGGAGAAACGGCGAATTATTGATTCAAATTCAGGCTCTTCCTGAAGCTCGTAGTCTGGCTGGTTGCCGTGGCTCCGGTGCTCAGGTTCTGTCTCCATGACCTCGGCTGTTGTAGTAGGCTCGGCTGTTGAAGACGACAGAGGAATTGAATCTTCATTGGGTAGCTCGAAAAACTCCGGCTCCATGTATTCTTCGATACTTTCTACAACTGGCGAGGCCGGTTTAGCATCGAGATCTGATCTACTCATATATTCCTGCTCAGATTCAACTTTAAGGGTATAATCTGAAAATGCATTTTCTTCTGACGGACTTCCTACGACCATCTCCTGGCGTTGTTCGGGCGTTTCGGTCGTTGTGGGCTCCTGCTCTAAGGTTAAAGTACTATCCTCTTTTGACAAGACTTCTGACTCTGAGTTTGAACCTCCTAAGGTTTCAGTCATTCTGGGTTCGGATACTGAGATTGGGAAGCCCTCAAAGCTCAGCAGACTCTCTACACCCGGTTCCTCCTCGGTTTCCAAGACTGGAGAGAGGTCGAAAGCACCCATTGACTGGCGACGGGATTCATTCTCAGTTTCGAAGGTGTATTCTGGCAGTATGGGTTCTGGCGAAGGATCAGGAGTTTCTATTGCCTCTATTACCTCAATAACTTCTGGCCTTTGGACTATTGCAGGATCCTCGGTTACTTCAAACTTAGGGGCCGTCTTAGGTTCCTCTGGCTTCTGAACTGTTGCAGACTCCTCGATCCCTTCAAAGTTAAGGGTCGTCTCAGGTTCTTCTGGCATTAGGATTGGGGAATCCTCGGGCAATGGCACGTTTTCTGGCTCTGCAAGGACACTAGTAGGCTCCGGGGTTTGGAGTGGGGCCTCGATGAATGATGAATAGTGACTAGAATGCTTAGGCTCGATATCGGAGGGCAGTGTGTATTCGAGGGTTTGTTCTTCAATCGGTTGCTCGATATTGGATTCTTGCACCTCCACGATGGGTTCGACAGATACTTCGGTTAGGTGATCCCAGGTTCCTCCGTCTCCGGGGAGAGGAATATCGGCTGGTTCCGGGAATATGTCCTCCACCGAGAGCTTTCTATTATCGGCCTGAACTTCTAGTTCGCGGTAGGTTGTTTCTTCGTTCACCGGCCCATTTTCTTGGCTCTCAGGCTTTAGGTTGTTTTCAGTGGGCGCAAAATCAGGCTCCCGTACCATGAGGGAATCTTCCTCGGAATCACGACCATTTTCGGATTCAAGTTCAGTAATGGTCAATTCATTCTGAACTGTATGCTCAGCAAGCTGTGCACTAGGAGCCTCGGGCTGCTCCTCATATTCCGTGGGTGGTAGCTGGGCTTCGGACTGGTGGCTATCAAGCAATGGCCCCAGGGCAGGCGATTGTGGTTCTTGTCGGAGGTCTTCCGGACTCATTTCTATGATTGTTGGCAATAGAGCCCCTGTTGAAGTAGTATCCTCGTAGTCTCTAGATTCGAAAGAATCTTCATATTGTGATTGTGAGCGGTCAATGGGAGCTGCTCGCGAAACCTCTGGTGATGCTGAACGGCTGAAAGACATAGATGCGAGAGATCGAGAGTCATCACCTGCCGTGGCGGAGGCTGCCCTACTGATCGCTGATACCGAAGACTCCTCGAAGATAGGGGATAATGATGTGTACTCCCTGTCTGGTATATCCGGAATTTCATAGAGCTCATTTGGAAGATCGTATAATGTACCATGCTCAGGTTCATACATCTGCTCGTTGCTGTCTGGAACAGTAGCTAACATCGGGGATGCAGGCTTTCTTGTGTATAGCTCATCTTCAGCCACGATTGAGGGTGAGGCACTATCCACCGATCTAATGGATTCTTCAAAGGTTGAATATGTTGATGTTGGCAGCTCGGAAAGATCGGCTGTATTGGTGGATACAAACTCTGTGGACTGTAAATCATTGGAAATGTCAGGTAGTTGCGAAGAAGGTCTCGAAGTTGATGGAATATTTTCAATAGTTGGTTCCTGGGTAATCACCTTAGTTACTTGATACGGTGGCAGGATTTGCGGATGAGGCTGGGTCTTACATTTCTTTCAATTTCTGAGTGGCTTGGAGAGCCGGGTTGGCTAGGAGAACTGGTATCGAGACCGGCCACGGAGGCCACGGCGGACACCGCAATTGGAGATACTGGAGATACGTCTTGACTTAGGAAGTGTGCGGTGAAAGTTTCCCCAAGACCTACGGAGACCGGGTCATTTTCAGATGGCGATCCAGCTGAAACCCAGTCAAGGGAAGCTGATGAGGAGCTGCTGGGCGGCAACTGTGGTAAGTCATTTACATCGGGGAATTGGAATTCTGTCTGTAGCGGCGGTAATTGTGATTGAGCAACATTGTTTCCAACCTGAGATATTTGCATGTGTGGCCCATTTTCTGACAAATAGTGACTGTCTTCGGGAGCCAGGTCTGGAAGATGCGGAGAAGATTGGTTACTGTTTACTTCCGGCTGTTCCTGGACATTGTATCGAGTCTCTGGTTTGCTAGGAGTAGGCGCAGATAGATCATTTCCTATATCATATTCATATGATGAGAGTAGGTCTTTGGTTGACTGTCCGAACTCCTCAATAGGTGAGTCGGGAAGAGCCGGGAGGGTCTCAAGCATATCGAATATAGGGTCTACTGGCCGCTGTTCTTCCTCAGTTTGGGTTGTCTCACCGCTCAATACTTGTTCAAGATCAGGAGATTCATGAAGTCCGGAGGCCGGAAGTTGACGGTTTCCCGAGGCCTCTGATGAAAGATTTGGAGATGGAGGGCTACTTTTGATTGGATTACCATCTTCGCTATACTCGGTGACTGTTTCAATTGGCAATGGGGAATGATCATCCACGGCAAGTATTGTATCTTCAAGATGATCGTGGTGGAGGGGCTTTGGCTCACCCGAGAAGATTGAACTAATCGGTGGGACTTCAATGCTGCGATCACCTTGATCTTCAGATGTGAGAGAATTGGCTTCAACCGGTGCCGGATAGGGCTCGGGGATGAAATTAGGTACGGTTGGTGGTTCGGGGTTTTGGATTAGGGGTATCGATTCTTCGGTTTGCGGTAGGGCGGGGTGTTCTTCAAAGGTTTCTGGAATATTGTTTTCTGATGAATCACCCAAAGTTGTTGGAGGAAATTGTTGGGTCTCGGTGATTGGAATTGAGATATCTTTGGGGGAGATAGAACGCTCCTCTGAGAAGACATTAGGAAGCTGTGCCCATGAAGGACTACTTGTGGCGTTTTCTGAGAAATTATGAAATGCTGACTGAAAAAAATTCATGAAAGGGGATTGTGTCTGGCTCTCAAACTGGGGTTGAAAATTTCCGGCAGCCGGGGTTTGAACATATGAAGAAAGCCCGCTAAATGGAAGGGCAGGGATCTCCTCATCGTGTGCTAGGAGTTGTTCTGAATGTATGTTTTGATTTATGGGAGAAAAATTGTCAGGAGACGATGGACTGCTCTGAGGTAAAGCCGGGTGTTCTTCATAAATATCAACCACGGCAGACTTTAAAATAGGAGATGGAGTACGAGAAGAAAATGAAATATTATCAGAAATGCGTGATTGTTGAATTGGGCTGTACAGAGGGGAATTAGGTGATGATTCTATCGGTAAGGTTTCATTAGATGGCGGGGAGTCTCGATCGTCGAAGATATCAGGGGGTTCGGAGAACGATTGCGTATTTTCATGCTGTCCCCTAAAGTCGCTACTTAGATCAACTCCCTCGGAACGAGTTAGCATCTCAGCAGAAGTAGACTTTTCGACATAGTTGTAAGACTTAGCTACCGGTTCCCCGTCGTGATTATGGGCATGGGAATTGGCAGTTTCTTTCACCTTTCTCTCTATACTGGCGCTCTTCCTTGGAAGACGAATGTTGGAATCTGACTCTCTCCCATCGTCCGTTGTTTCGGCGGCCTGGTTCTGCCCTACGCTCCCTGCTTGTGATTCAGATAGACTTCTCAACGACTTTGTCGACTTTCTTCTCAATGACCCAGATCTTGCGCTTGTCAAAGGAGCACGTGAGTCCTCAGCCGCTGAACTTGAAGGAGCATCCCCCGCTACCCTCTGGCCCTCTCCACTCCCTTGTGAGCTGTGAGTAAAACCGCTCTGGTGCATACTATCTCCCCCAGAGGATGATGATGGGCGGTAACTTTTGCTATCAGTATCAGCTCTAGTCAATTCTGCTGGTCTCTCTCCCTGCGTGGGAATACGAGATGTTGTGGTTGATCTCTTGAATTGGCGAGCGGCCCTAAATACTCCAGATAAACTCTTCATATCACTCAATTTACGTTCTGACTTTGGCCGCTCAGGTATTTCTGCGGGTTCTACAGGAGATGCCTCGTGGTGAAGAGATTTAGTCTCAGCATGTTGTGTAGCCTTAGCCATGTTGGCTTCAATGTGCTGTGTAAGGCTTGCTGCATCGATGATCGGGGGTTCTGGTTCGTCGCGGTTAGGTGTGGGCGCAAAGCTTTCACCTCCAACTATGTCATAGCCCATATCCACGTCTCTTAGAGAGGATGCTCCCGACCCTCGCGGTGGAGTAAATTGCTCTGATTCTTCGGTATTGTGCCTTGGATTACCGGGCCTGTCTTTTGGTCCACTGGCGTCAGAGCCCGATCTTTTGTGCATTGGCCCCACCGATTCTCCGCGCGTTTGAGATGGCTCCCGACTCCTTGACGAACTCTTTTCACGTTTAGACCTATTTGCCCATCCAAATATCTTCCCCACCTTCCTGACCTTAGACTTCGCCCTGCGCAAAGACTCCGTCTCCGCCTTAGAACCACCTTCCTCTTCATCGATATCTGCACCCTCAGCAGGTCTGAAGCCCTCTTGGCCTCGGTATGCACTGTCGATTGACCGTCGTGAATGTCTGTCATAATGTGGCTCATTCTCATGTGATTGTGACTCATGTGTTGTTATCACGCTTTCCATAGATCGCCTTGGAAGATTTAGAGGTTCTTCAGCTGCGTGCTGGTCTGATGGTACCCTTTCCCTTCTACCGCGGCTACTTTCAGATTCTACCATTTCCCTTTCCTGCCTTTCTCTTCTCATTTGTGCCTCTTCTTCATCACTCTTTGGTACTCTTCCCCTCCTTGTGCCATCGTCCGTATCGAGACCTACACCACTGTCAGCTAAGCTAGGGGTACTATCCTTGTCCTTCTTTCGTCTGAAGAACCCCGAGAGCGAGGATGATCTGGATGTTGAAGGTCGCTTGGGCTCCTCCTCTTCACGAGTTGAACTGAGACTTCCGGAGACAGAAGCAGATCTAGCTGCAGGGCCGCTTCTTGTAACAGCGTGGGCACGGTTTTTCCTCTCCTGTATAACTTCCGGCGGCGGCGCTGACTGTGCATGCGGGATTTCCGGAGGGTTGGCTGGCGCGTCAATTGGTCGCGGCGGAGGAGCGGGTTCTTGCCTCGGCCCTAAACCTTCGGGTGTGGATGAATATGTGGGATTTGGTACAGTTGGCGGCACCGATGGCTCATCTTGATGCACCGAATGCGAACCGCTTGCCAATTGCTCTTCGGATCGAGATCTAGCCTCCTCGCGAGCTAGGATTTCTGCCTGAGATAGATAGGCCTCTGCGGAAAATTCATGCTGGCCAAGCTGTCTCTTTGCCTTTGCGCTGTCCTCATCCTCAATTTCCTCGATAAAGGCACTGCGAGGCCTGGCAATAATGCTTGGTCTACGGCCCGTGGTAGTTACGGGTGTTGTTTCTCCAGCCTCGATAACAGTGCTAAGCCTGTGGGGCTGAATATTACCAAGGATCAAACCAGGATCGAAGCCAACTGCTTCGGCGGAGGCTGCCGCAATGGCCATCAATTCGTTATCCTTGTCCTTCTCCTCCCGTGTCAAACGCTTACCGTCATCTGAAACGATTCTTCCCGTTCCAATTGCTGCTGTTGGAGTGGTTGACGCCTCGTTATCCTCAAATGCAAAGATATTGGGCGGGGATGGTTGCTGCCTGGAGATTGGTGCACCTTGGACGGGAGTACTTTCGTTTGTGTAGCCGGTTGGGGGTGTTTGGAATTGATCCCTTGAAATCGTGGAGGTTGATGTAGTATTGGAGTCCACAGAGTAGAGAGTGGAAGCAGACTCGGAGTGAGTGCGTTGAGCACTCTCGAGTGTGGGACGATTAACGTGTGCTAGTGAGTTGTTCAGTAAATTTTTACCTCAATATTAAATCTAAACCGAAAGTAGGAACTTACCTGATGAAATTTGATCCTCTCGTGAACTTTCTTTCAAGTCAACCTCTTTTGACAAACTTGATGCTATTCTGGATGTAGATCCGCTAGAGTGAATATTTTTTGGTGGCTCGGACAAGGACCGACTCTCACTAGCAAGGGCAGGGCGATGAGGAGTCACTACAGTACCATCAGTTCATCATCGAACACATTAAAATCCAGGAGCGCCTACCAGTAGATGAATTATTCTCGTGTGACACATGCTCAACTCTTGAATCCTGTGTAATGCTAGATGTGGATTTAGACGCCGATTGCGAGGAGTAAACACCCGTGGAGTATTCAGAAACAGAACGATTTTCCCCTAAAATAGCGGGGCGGTTGGTAGACGCTGTATTACAATCAGATGATGCTTTTTTCCCGAGTGAGATTTCATGGGAGAAAAAACATACCGGGCAGGGTTTGGCTATCTTGCGTTATTTGCCTCCTATCTGATTCCACCTCTCGAGAGAAAGATGATGATTCTTCACGAGATGCAGATTCTGAGTGACTTTGGATAATAGACTCGGAAACAGAACGACCCTCGTCTGCCAGAGTATGGCGATAGATAGGGTCTATACGAGACGTTAATAATGACCATGCTTATCAATTAAAGGGCCGAATACATACTAGACGAAGTTTTCTCACTGCGTGGAATCTGTGGCAATACTACATCAGGGGCGACCTCCTCGTCGTCGAATGCACCAGGGAAGCGGAATTCCCCGGTTGAATCATGAACATTCTCTTGGGATGTTTGGGCCCTTGAGGTGACTTGTGAGGATTCCTGACGACTGTGATCCGATTCCGAGCGCTGGTAACTGGCTCCAGATCGAAATTCGGATGAGTCCTGTGCCCCCTGGGACCAAGCTGGAGGTAAGGCAGGGCCGTATTCGATATCTGAAGACTCCTTGGAGCGAATGTAGTCAGAAGACATTTGTTCGTAGATTGACTGAGCTTTTGAGCTCTGGGATGACTGGTTTTCCGTGGTGAGATTTGGAGGCAATTTCGGACCATACTCCACTTCGGAGAACTTGGGCTTAGTAGTCTGTTGGACACTGTGATCTGAAGAGGTTTGTTGGTAGCTTAATTGAGAAGATAGACTTTCTGACTCTGTTCTTTGGAGCACGGCGCTAGAAGACTCAGTGGTCAAGTACGGCGGGAGCTCGGGACCATAAAGCATATCGGCAGTTCTGTCAGGCGTTCCGAAGGAGAAGTTAGGGGGAACCTGGGGACCTTGGTAGACTTCATTCTGCGGCTTTGTAATAAGCTCCATGGAGAAGTTGGGTGGAAGTTGGCATCCTTGATAAACTAGCTCTTGGGTTTGACTATCCTTACGTAGTTCTTGCTGCTGTTGGGAGTCCGTCTGCTCATATTGCTGAGAATCACTCTTTTGTTCATAGCCAATGACCGCAGAACCAAGATTAGGCACTGTCGGTACTGGGGCGGCGGGCGTTCCAGCAAAAGGAGTTCCTGTGACAAGAGACGGCGTCTCGCTAATAACTGAGGCCGCTGCCTTCACAAGCCCAGATCCAAAGCTACCAAGACTACCCCATCCATATCCTGAAGAGGTTTTTGCCGCCTCGGTAGAAGTCACCGATTGATCTTTTGTGATTGAAGAGCCAATATCAGCAGTTCCTGAAGGGTGTTCAATTTCGGAGGTAGTTACAGCCCTGACCGGCTCAACTCTTGCTACGTCCACAATAGAACTCTTATCAGTCATTTTCTCGAACTCCGAAGATGTAATGGAGCGTTCAACCCGTCTCGCAGTCTCCGCAGCTGTTTTGATTTCAGAAGAGGTCGATGATCGTGAGATCTCCGTCTTTGATGCAGTCTCAGATATGGCTTGCTGGCTCCTCTTCTCGAATTCGGCAGATGTCTCGGCAATAGTCACAGATTTTGCGATAGAGCCGGAGGAAGCTTGTTGGCTCCTCTTCTCGAATTCGGCAGATGTCTCGGCGACCAATTGTGATCTAGAAGCAGACTCGGATGAGGTTCTCTGGCTCCTCTTCTCGAAATCCTCGGAAGTCTCAGCGGCCACTACCGGCTGTGGGAAATAAAACGGGGGCGGTGGGATAACCGGAATGCTCGAATCAGTCTGTGGGGGAAAGTAACTCCCATAACAGTGGATTCGTTGTGGAAATCTTGGTGTGCCCGGAGGTGGTGTAGGCGGCGTTTCGATGAGCTGGGGAACTCCATAGGGAACCGTCCATTTTCCTTCAGTAAACCCGGGGATGTCTCCTTCTGGTAGGGGATCGTATGTGCTGTAGGGGCGCTTTTTCTTCTTCTCCTTCTCCTCAGTCTTATCTAGCCCTGCATGCTCACGGACAAACTTAACTTCCTCATGACGAGCTACTTCTGCTTGCTTGTCGCGCTTCTTGGATCTTTCTCTGCTTCGTTTGACCTCTCGTTCTTGGTACCCAGGCTGAGCCCTCTTCTCCCGACTGCGGGCACGCCTCTTTTCCCTCTCCACCCGCTTTTGTTCTGCCTTCTCGGCCTCCTTCTCGGCCAGCTGTCGTTGAAGGTCCTCGAGCTGTTTCTGGAGCTCGATACGCCTCTGCTCCTTCTTTTCGTTCTCCCAACGCCTCCGGACCTCGTCCCTGATGTACTTCTCCTCTTCTGTCAAATTCTTGTCATCTTCTTCTTCGTGGGCTTCCATGCCAGACACGGACTCTCGGACTACCTGTCGCATTTTCTCTTCGGTCGCTTCAATAGTCTGCTCCGTCTCTACCCGCGTCTTTGTCTCCCTTCTCGACTCCATTTGGCTCCTCTCCTGGTCCGCTTTTCGCATTTCAATTCTCGCTGCCTCTGATGCAACCCTTCTTGCAATATCCTGGGTTTCTTCCTGTTTGCGCCTGAATTCGGTTTCGACCTGCGAGGTCTTTTGCTTCTCGATCTGTACTTGCATAGACTTGCTCTCCTCGACCTGAACCTGAGCAGTGTACTCCCTGGTCTTTTCCTCCTTGAATCTCGTTTGTTGCATTTGTTCCTGGACCATTTGGCCTTCCACCCTCTTGAGCTGACTCTCCTTCTCTTTCTCGGCGCGGATTAGTGAATCGAGCTGTTGGACCTTCTGGTCGTGCTGCAGTCTTTTCGCTTCAGTTTCAGCGGCTACGATTTTCTGTCCTTCAATCAGTGCGGCTTGATCCCTCCTCTTCTCATCGGCAATCTCAAGCTCCAGACGCTGTACCCGTAAGTCCTCCTGCTTCCTAAGTTCGCTGATTGCCGTGGCCTTCCTTTCTTCTTCGATCCTAAGCCTGGTCTCTTTCTCCTTCTCGATCTGGATCTGCTGCTGCACTTCACGAACTTTAGACTCATCCCTCGACCTATGGGCTTCAACAACGGTCTGCTCAAGCATTGACAGTCTCTCAACCGTCTTTCGGCGCTCCTGGACAATCTCGGTACGCTGGATCTCGATGGTTTGCTGCTCATGCCTGTTGCTGTGCATCTCGGACTCAAACTTGATTCTGCGAGTCTCCTCCAGAACCCTAGCCGCCTGAGCCTGACGATCCTGCTCCTTCAAGAACTCCATGCGTTGAGCCTCGAGCGATGATTTGCCCTGGATTGTTGTGTTAACATATGCATCCTTCTTCTTTTGGAATTCGGTGCCTGAAATGAAGCTTTCCCGCTGCTGAGTAGCCAGTACTTCCTTCTGCTCGGCAATGTAGGCTTCCTTCTGCTCCTGGAGTCTCTGGATCTCGACCGCCCTCTCCTCGAGCTGCTTGCTGACCGCAACGCGGCGCAACTCGCTCTTCTTCTCCTCATCCTTGGACATCTGGAGCTCCTTCTCAAGCCTAAACCTCTTCTCAACCTCGACCGCCTGGACCTCCTCAACCGCCGTCTGTGCCGCAGCCTGCTTCTCAAGCTCTCTTGCTTGCTCCTCAAGCTGCTTCTTAGTCCTCTGAAAGAGCTCGTCATTCTCCTTCTCGCGCTGCAGGCGCTGCAAGGTCTGCTGTCGGCACCACTCCCTATACAACTTCTCCGCCTCACCTTTAATCGCCGACAACTTCTCCTCATCCTGCTTCTGCCTCGACAGCCTCGCCGCATCATCCTCCGCCTTCTCGCGCGCCTCCCACTCCAGCTTCTTCTTCATCTCGACCACCGCACGCTCCTCACGCTCCCGCTTCAGCTTCAGCTCCGCCTCCTCACGCTCCTTCTTCTCGATCGCCAGGCGCAGCACGTGGCGCTCCTTCTCCTCACGCTCACTCTTCTCCTTGTGCGCCAGCGCCGCGCGCTCCTCGCGCTCCCGCAGCTCCGCGAGCTCCCGCTGAATCTGCTCGGACCGCTCGCGCTCGCTGTTGTAGTGGCGCTCGCGGCTCATGATGTCGTGGCGCTCGCGCTCCTCGCGGTCGGCGCGCTCCTGGGCGTAGACGGCGGCGACTTGGGCGGCGGTGGCGGCGGCGACGTCTTGTACGAGGGTGGCGCTGTAGCCGGCGGTGTTGGCGTGGGAGTGGGAGAGTTCGACAACGCCGGTGGAGACGGAGTGAACGGGGAGGGCGGTGATGTTGGTGTTTGAGATGGAGGTGTTGTTGGTATTAGCATTAATGTTTGAGGTAGTATGGTGGATTGTGGTGTTGTGATTATTGATTATGGTGGTTGATATTGGGGTCATGGTGGTGGTCGTGGGCGTGATGGGGACAGTAACAGACGGTGTGATAGCAGTCGCAACATTAGTAGTAGAAGTAGAAGCAGCATGAGCAGAAGAAGTCAGAGCATGGGCTGCAGAAGCTGTAGAAGCAAAAGTAGCATTAGTAGCAGTAGTCGTGGTCGCAGCAGGTAATATCTGCAACGGGGCATTGACAGTCTGCTGAATAGGCACTGGTAAGGGCCTCTTTTGCTCACTGCCACTGCCAGCAACATTCGTGAATCCGCCAACAACCACATTCGTCCCCGACGATTCGCGGTAGTGAGATGATGATTGCTGCTGCTGCTGGTGAGAAGCCGAATACGACGACTCCTCCCGCACGAAAGAGCTGGAAGACTCGGTGACGGCCTCGCGGCGCGCAATGTGTGTGGTCGAGGACGTCGAGGAGGACGGCGCGGGCTCGAATACTGTGGGATCATTGGTAGCCTATATGTTCACCGGAGAAGCGCGCAGAGTGGACGGTTTGATTAGTTTATGTTTTTGTTTATTATACTAGCTAACTAGAAGAAAAAAACACAGAGCACGAAACAAGCAAGAAAGCAAAGCAAAGCAGAATAAAACACAAGGCAAGGAAAAGGCAAAAGAATAGAGAGAGAGAGAGAGAAAAGCTCATACCATTGGATAGACCTTTGTCAACTTCACCGGCCCCGACTCCGACTCCGACTCCTCGCCGCGGCTGATCTTGCCGTCGCGCCCCATAAACACCTTGCCCCCCTTCCCGCCCTCATCGATGACGATAGAAACCCTCTTGGCCTCCTTCTTCTCCTCCCTCTTCTCCTCCTTCTCCTCCTTCTTCTCCTTCTTGCTCCGGTCCGAGATGGTCTCGCTGCGGCCGCTAAACAGGCCCCCGAAAAACCCGCCGCCGCTCTTAGATGTAGTAGTAGTAGTAGTAGTCGTCTTGATCTGCGATGCCGACTGCGAGTGCGAGTGCGAGTGCGAGGCAGACTGTGAGTGACGGGCACTCTCATAGCTGCTGCTGCCGCCGTCCACCGATGCCATCCGTTTCCCGCGGCGGGACTCACTACCACCGGCAACAATAACAACCGCGCCTTTCGCCGCCCCCGCCGACCGCCCGTCAACCCACACCTCCTTCGTCGACCGCCGCTCGCCGCTCGGCAGCGTCGTAAATACCTGGCTCTGCGTATCTGCGACCGTCGTGGAGGTGGAGATGCTGCTCTTGCGCGCCTTCTCGCGGCTGCTCGTGAGCTCCGTCGTCGAGTGCGACTTCTCCATCTGTGTGCTGCTGGCGGCGGCGTGGTGGCTCTGCGTACCGATCAGCGTGCTCGAGATGGCGCTGGTGCTGCTGGTCTTTGTGATATCGATTGCGGCCGTCGTGGTGCCATACCGCGCCGCCTCCTCGCGCCTGCGGTGGCCCTCGATCCCCTCCTGCCACACCTCACTGCCACTACTACTCACCGAGCTCACCGACCGACTGCGACTACGTTCTCGTCTCGCAACAACAGTCCCAGCCCCGCCAAACCACCCAGCCTTGCGCACGCCGCCAGAGAACCAGCCGCCCTGTGTGGACGCCGCGGTGGTGGTGGTGGTGGTGGTGTTGGTCTTGCTGCCGCCGCCCCACCAGCTGCGCGAGCCGACAGAGCTGGAGCGCCTCACGCCCGCGCCCGCGCCGATGACGGCGCTGCCCGTGCGCCTCGTGGGTGTCACGGGCGTGCCCATGTCGTCCCATGAGCGCCGGCGGCGCACGCCAAAGACGCGGGAGCCCGCAGAGCGCAGCGAGGACGCGACGGAGCGGGTGCTCCTTAGTGATGCGGTGCGCGAGGCGCCGTATGCGAGGCCGTCGTCGTCGGATGATGATGAGCTAGAGGATGAGGATGATGATGAAGAGGAGGAGGTGTATTTAGACTTGCGTTTGCCTTTGGAGTCGTACTTTGTCTTCTTCTTCTTACCGGAGGAGGAGTTGAGGGAGCGGAAGAACCAGCCTGTTCGCCGGCGGGAGGAGGATCCGAGGGAGGAGGGTGAGGAGGAGTAGCGGCCGTAGGCCAGGCCGTCGTCGGATGCGCTGGAGGAGGAGGAGGAGACTTCAAACAGCGCTGGCCCGCCGCCGCTGGCAGAGGCGCTGCTGGAGGCGATGGAGGTCTGCGATGCCGTGTGGTAGTGCTTGCTGTTTGTGCTGATGGCTGTTGTGGTATTCTGCACCTTGCTGCTGCTGCTCGCCGCGGCGGTGTTCTTTGAATCTCGAGAGGCGAACCAGCTGCCAATGATCGACCCGCCCGCCTCGTCCTGACTGCTCCTGCGCCTCGGCAGCCGGCGCCTCTGCACCACCGTCCCATACCCCGCCTGCTCGCGCTGCTCCTTCAGCTCCTGCCTCCGCAGCACCTTCTTCTCCCTCCTAATCGCGCGCGCCAGCGTCCGTCTGCGCCGCGTCGTCTCCGACATGCCCGAATCACTACTACTCGAACTACTGCTACTACTCGAACTGCTACTACTGCTCGTACTGCTACTACTATCACTGCTAGTACTCATCGCACTCACCGCCCCGTGCTCACCCCTGCGAAACACCGGCAGCCACACCTTCCTCCGCGTCCTGCGCACCCGCCAAGCGCCCCTCCGCCGGCTCCACCGCTGCCCGTAGTGGTGCGGCCGCGGCGCCTGCGTGTAGCTCGTCCCGGGCGTGAAGCACGCGGCACACACGCCCGTGATCTCGCTGTACAGCTCGTACTGGCCCACCGCGTGGCGCTCCTCGGCGCGCAGCGACTCCCACAGCTTCTTGAAGCTCTGGCGGAGCGGCGGGGGCAGCGATGGGTCGTGGTTGTGCGTGTGCGGGGTGCCGGAGGCGCCGGTGAAGTAGGATGCGGCTTCGCCGCCGCCGGTGGTGTGTGGGTGGAGGGTGTGATTGTGCTGTGGGTGGTTATGGTTATGGTTATGGTTGTGGGTGTGGGTGTGGGTGTGCGGTGGGTGGTTATGCACCAGCGGCCCCCCTGCTGTACACCGGCGGCGGCGGCGGAGGGGTGCGACGCGTGCATCTGCATCTGCCACGGCTGCTGGACCTGTCCCTGCGGCTTCACGCCCGGCACCTGGGCGACGGCGACGTTCGAATTCGCCCCCGCGGCCGTGGGGAAGAAGGGGTTGATCTGCGGGACGGGCACGGGGTTGTATCTGCTTCCGCCGGGCGTCGAGGGCGACGGCGAGGGCGGCGGCATTGGGATTGTCGTTGTGGTTGTCGGGTGGTGCTGCGATGAGTATGCGAGCGGTGGTGGGGGGGCGAAGGCGGGGTTGTACATACCTGAGCCGCCGGCGCCCGTGTAGAGGGAAGAGGCGTCGGGGGGCGTGTAGTAGTCTGGATTGCTGTCGGGGGCCCGATTGGTGGTGGAGGTGTTTGTGGTGGTGCCATTGGTGGGTTTGGCGGTGGAGGTGGTGATGTTGGTTGTGGGTTTAGAGGTGCCATTGGTGGTGGTGCCGTTTGGGGGCGGGGGGGCGGGCGGGTTTGGTGTTTTGGTGGACATGGTTGGATGGATGTGGTTGGGTTGTGGATATGGATGGTTATTGGGTGGGTATTGGCGGGTTGGAGGTGTTGGAGGTGTTGGAGGTGTTTGCGGGTATTACTTTAGTTTGTAGATTGATATGGCTAAGCTGTAGATATGATTGATGATTCTGGCGATGATGCAAAACAGATATGGAAAAGTAACAGGCCGTAAAATGTTGTGAATAGTAGCAATAGTAGCTAGTAAAACCTAGGAGTTGCTATATGTATGGGAAATTGAACACTGAAGAATTGGTTGTGATTCCTCTTCCCGCGGAAAGAATCAAGCGTTTCTGGTCTTTCTCCTCTATTTCCTGTCCCCAACTCGACTAAAAGAAAGAAAGGACCTTGGCCTACGTGGATAAGGCAAGACAAGACCCTGTCTGCGCGTGTCGATAACTCGGTATTCCGCTGGCCAGCTAACGCAGGGCAGAGGAATGGAAGAGAGAGATGGATAGGCGTCTAGAAGTCCAATAATAAAAAAAATAACAGACGCCGTGCACACTCGTGTCCAGGATAGAGAGACCTAGGAAGAGAAAGATTCGTTCAACGTTTCGTTTAAAAAAAAAGTCGTGAATATCTCCCTCTGTTGGGCGTGGGAGGGGGAAATAAAAAAAGATAGATGATTGTAGAGGCGGATAGAATTTGTTGGGGGGAGAAGATATGGTGTGTGGATGTCCGAATGTGTCTGTCTGTCTCACGGTCCAAGGGAGGGAGGGGGGGGGGGTGCCGGTGTGGTGGTTATGGTGGTGGTGGTGGTTATGGTGTGGTGGTGGTGGTGGTGGTGGTGGTTGTCGATAATGATGATATGATGCTACTGCTGCTGATGATGATGAATACGTCTGTGTCCTTCACGCGCGCGCGGTCGGTCGGTGGGGTCTGTTTTGATTTCAAAGGCAGTAAAAAAAAAAGTAAAAAAAATACGGGTATGTACTGTAGTGTGTATGTCGTAGGGTTAAAGAAGTGATGATCGGCACAAGAGAGATTGACGATCCAAAAGGAAAGAGGGGGATTTTTTCTTCTTTCAATTCATCCCGAACATCAAAAAACAGCCTGTCAGAGGGAAGCAGGACCGGGCCTCGTTGGAGAGAAAAAGGTGAAGTAGACAACAATTGGAGGATTGGAGTGTGGAGGAGGAGGGAAAAAAGGGAAGATGCAGCGTGTGGGAAAGGGAAAACGGATAGGCGCTTACAATACTCTCTACGTAGGTTTAGAGGATAGGGGGGGGCCATGGGAGAGGCTGGTTACACTACTGAATTGGAGATGGACTGAATTGAGCTGAAAGCGATTCCCTGTTTACCCAAGTGAATATCTCCGGTATCAGTTTTGCGGATATCACTCGTTTTCCTAGCCGTGATAACTTGCAACTGCGCACTTCGCGGTACTTGTGAGAGTTAGTACCAACTTGGTTACTACTATTGCTACTACTACTACTACTACTACTACTAACTCTACCTAACTGACCATGACAATACATGTAGCCATGCTTTGCCTACCATCATTTGTCAGTCCCTTATCCCTCTTTATATAAACTCTAGAGCATGTAGAGCAGCTCTCCTGCCTACCTACTTCTCAACTCTGTATGGCATCCATTTCTACTCCGCCCTCAGCGCAAACTTGATCCCAGCAAATTAATCTCGGGTTGGATGGAAGCTCGGACGCGTGGTTGGCTGCTAACGCAATGGAGCACACCCACGCTATGTTTTCGATGGCGTCTCGTTGTGTGGTGATTGGCGATCTCACACACACCCATACCACACACACCACCGAGCGCGAGTCGCTCGTTACCCTCCCAACCAGAAGCAAACGAACGGGGCGTGTTTTGTTTGGTCCGTCTGCAGAGAACCGGGCCTCAGAGACAAACAAGCGATCGAATAATCGAATTGGTGTCCAGAGCGAGAGTCAAGTGCATGGGCCAGGGTGTGGTGGGCTGCATGCTGCACACAGGGCTTGCTCATGGTTGCCTCCCTCAGCTAGCTATCAGATCCCTCGGTCTTCTCTTCAACGACAAGGGTTCTTTTTTTTTCTTCTTCCTTCGTTTTTGCAGCTCTGTCTGTCTGAGACACCTTATGTGTCCTTTGGCCCAATCACGTCCACGCCCATCTCTACGGCCATTCCGATTCTCAACTTCTGCTTGGTCTGCGATCGCTTAGAGTCAAACCTTTAGTCCAATCTCAAATTGCAGACCCTCGCAGCTAGGCTTTTTCAGCTCACTTTGCCCCACACTCCTTATAACGCCGCACCCCGGAATAAGAAGTTAGAAACGAAATTTCGGAGTGACAGGACGAAGGCATAATGATCCAAATAAGCTGCATATTAACACCATATCCAATTGAGCCTCTTCAAGTGATTACGCGTGTTGCCTATGTAGCTGCTATCAAATGTAAAAGTGTGCATTTCTGTACATCGGTAGCTAGGAATATTCGACAAACGACAGAGAATCCCGAGGTGCACTTACAAGAAGTAGGCAATTAGTTCAAGAGTAACCAGCAGTGTCTTTTACACGGGCCAAATCGAATGATCTCCGGAATTCCTCAAAGAAATAAACCCATGCAGATCAATACATATACTCTATTATATATGGTCGTGAGTGTACATCACCTGAGCTTGAATATCCGAAATAAGGTTTTGAATTCCCCGGGTGTTACAGATCATCCCGACCAGGTTGGTGCATGGTTATTAATCCGAGTGAGAATTCGTGATCATAGTAGACACTGTAATAATAGTAGTACCAATGCCACCAAACAGGCGTTTTACTTCTCGTTTCAAGGAGGCGTAAGTACATATGCCGGTACGTCCCTCCCGCGCGTGCCTGTAACAATCTTAACCGCGATCAACCCATGTACACGATAGGGTGGAGTAGGTAGAGTGTACAGTCGCTCGCCTACTGACGGCGGATCCTGTCTGATGGTTCTGTTTGCAGTAATTTGCCCTTGGCGTCCAAAACCTAACTCTTTTATTGGCCTCAAATCCCTGACCGCCATTAGACAGGATCCGCCTTCACCCCGTGAGTGACTGTAGACTCACAAGTACTGTCTCCCTTGTCTAGAGTAAGGCACTCCGAGATGTGAATGCCGCAGAGTAGGTAGGTACCTTCTTTACAAGTACCCTTGCATTTATCTATCACATGTCGTCCGGAGAACCTACTTACACATAGGTAATTAAATTTCTTTCTCTGGCAAAAGCCAGAGGAATTAATTCAAACGATGATGTACGCATACGATCGGTTCGTTATCATGCACGGGCCTGCTCGATCAGCTGCAGCTGAAATTCTAGCCCTAGCCCTAGGTGTGTGTGTGAGTGCTCTGGAAGGTCTGGATGAGCTCCGCTGAAGAATACGTAAGACCAACGCAGACAGCTCGTGATGGAGCTTTGGTGTTTGGTGTTTTGTCGCTAGATGTGCTGCAGTATCAGCTGACTGAAGTCTGTTCTGGAGAAACATGCGCAAGGTGATAGGTAGATATGTGTAGGTTATGAGGACATCAACCGATCCTTGCAGCTCCAATATCGATATCTCATGTATTGCGGGACCGAGTTCCTGGAGGGGGACTCGAATGAACAGTGTGAGGATGTGGGGGGATAGATGAGCGGCTAGCCATTGCGAAAGGGCCCGCTGTCATCTGGATGGATTTTGTCATGTTTGAGCTGAAGTTAACTTGATTGGTTTAGAAGGTAAGGTCGGTTTCGTCATTGTATTTATTTGTGGTCTAGCTGGCGAGCCGCTACAAGTTACGTGTACTTTTAAATTTGCCATGTAATTTTCTGGGTTAACCTTTGTGAAGCGTACTATATAATCCATCTTGTACTGTATTGTGGGGGACAGGGTAAATGCCCGAGTGATAAACCATGAGCCATGGCATCTCTACTATTTTGCCCCAAATGCGGTTACCCAAAAGATCGATTCGGGAACATAATCATTCCCGAGAATAAGTACCTACGGAACCGCTGATAGTTAACCCACCGGACCGCCATGATGTCGATAGCAAACACCAAAGTGGCAGTCAGTTGCAATATTGTTTAATTTAACAACCTCATGGTCCCTTAATTTCAACTTTCAATAATGACGTAATATTGTTTAGCTTAGAGAACATTCCTATCAGTCCAAGTTTGTTAGGCAACCGCATTTGGCATGATAAGTAACAATCCACTAGCGTCACTCCGAATCCGGCCAGTTGTAGTTGTAACCACTGGCATTCATTCCTATCAATCTGATTCCCCCTACTCATACTTGGTTGTAACTCTTCCCACAGTCCCCTCCTCACCCTCTAGACTCATCTCATACACCACAATGCCTGAGGTCACAGTCATATCCAGCGTGTAGTCTACTCTGTAGAATACTTGACCCTTTCCATTCTTGTGTTTTGAGAATCGTTTCACCGGAACTGGCTCGGATGTCATTACGCATAATTTTCTCACAGCTAGATTTGGAACATGTGTTAGCAGTAATTTTTGAGGAGGGATCTAAAGGTGGCTGACTGGAATCCCGTTTATCCGGCGCAACCTCCTCATCGCAAACCCAAAGTTCTGTTCTTAGCTGGTGTGTGTCACCAATCAAGTCTGTCTCTGCCACTGTACGGTAAAAAGGAAAGGATATTTTCTTCTTTTCCGTTGTGACATCACCCTGGTGGTCGTTAGTGTCTACTTAACCTAGCCGGGTACGATGTGCACATACCCGTTTGATATACCACTGTATCCTATTTCTGACCACCCACTCACACCGCAACTCGTGCCATTTCTTCTCACTTTCTTCATGCTTTGTTTCGTCGAACTTGCTGTCGTGGACGACACCATAGTAGCGTCTGCTGAGGCGGGATTGCACAGCTGCAATGTCGCCCTGTAGGCCACGGATGATTGCACCGCGGACGACAGCACTATCCCGATTCTACGAGTCAGTATCTCATAAAGTGGAGGCTAAAGGGTAAACTTACGTCCAAGCGTTTCGGGGTTGCATAATGGTAATTTTGCCAGAGCCCCATTTATTGATTCTTTGGTAGAGATATTCCGAGGAGCCAAAACCGCCAACAAGAAGAATTGCCTACAGGTATTTTATGTTAGTTCGAAAGTATGATATGGTAAATGGTAGCAAGACATACCGCGACAGGGCCCTTTCCTGATTTCAAAACTTCAATGACTTGTTTTGATATCAGTTCCAAGACCTGCGACACAACGGGCTCAAATATGTCTCTGACATCCTTCCTATAGTTCCATGGTTTAGCGCTGAGGTTAACCCTGCGGTGGGGCCGTCCACGTACCTAGTAACTTTCAAGAAACCTCCTTTTACTCCTCTATCGTCATCATCTGGCACTCCCATCACGGGGACCCAAAATTCTCCACCCTCCACCTGCCCCTCTCTATCATCACCTCCATCATTATCTTCATCGGTCAATACAAACTCACGCTTGACATAAGTCTCCCAATACTGAACCATCTGGAACCTGGCACGATGATCCATAGCCTCGAATTGCTCCTTGCCAATCCGGGTGATAATGAAATCTTCAAATCGGCGGTCTAGATATACAGCGCCGCAAAGAGCACCGGTACCGATGGCTACTTCGTTTAGTTGTAGGGGAACGAGGGAAGAGATCCGGTAGGATATCAGGTCAACGGTGCCGCCACCGGCATCGCAGACGACGAAGCAGTCTCCAACCTGAAAGGCAGTATGGTGTCAGTTTATTGTTTATATTAATTTTATATATATATATGTGTGTGTATTATTTTCTTCGACTGAGTTTTATTCCACCGCGATGCTGGCCTTTATAGGCAGAGCCCAAAATTCCTGTCGGTGTGCTATGCTTAGTTACTGTTAGACCTGCCCTGCGAAAACAGATAAACTGAGTCCAACAAGTGTAGGAATAAAGTGTTCAGCCAAGAAAGCTGTATGCTTTTAGCGAGATTATATCTCATGAGACGATATATCCGGTAGACGTTCGATGCCGGTGTGGAAGCTCTCCATCGACAACCCTAACCCTATGACATATATATAATAGATAATAAATAAAGGTATTTAACCCACCTTTACCGAATTTGGCTGAATACTCCTAAGTGCATATTCCGCAGCTCCCTCTGGCTCTGTGATTAGCTTCAATAAGCCCCCACTTCCCTCAGCATCGCCCCCACCATTCCCGAGGCCCAACCCCGCTCTCATAGCCGCCTCCATGGTCATTTGCCTTGCCTTGTCGCTCCATACGGCCGGTACGGTGAGCACATACTCAACCTGACTCCGGGATATCAAGTCACGACCCAGGCGGCGTTCGAGAGTTTGTTCAGTGTACTGGCGCAGTGCAGTAAGGTAATCGGTAACTATATCAACAGGCTTCTTCCCGCGCGGAAGTGTAGTGCGTTTCGGATTTACGAATGTCGGCCGCGGTTGTGAGGGATCGAGGAGGATCTTGATCCATGAGAGCTTCTGTGGATCTGTGGGAGGTACCTCAAAGCCCCTGTTTGCGCTCAGATTTCAGCGATCGCAATTTCTGGAAAGGGAGGAAATGCATACCATTTGAACCCAAGGGCTGTCGACGATACTAGCTCACTTCCGGTACTTGGAGGTCGTGATAATGATGCGCTGAGTTTAGGGCTTCCAACTTCATTGGGACTGGCCGCTCGAGATATTGGAGGTGCTGGGTAAAGAATATCTGAGGGTACTTTCCCCCAATCTTTGCTGGTTTGTCCCGGCCAATGCGTTATTACTTCGTATTCTTCGGGGGACGATGTTTGCGCCCAGGCCACCGCGCTGTGTGTCGTTCTTTATGGATTATTAGTGAAACTCTGTGGAGTGAACGATGCGAGGCATGAATCATGGTTACCCGAAGTCAATACCGACAATGATGCGCTCTAGCACTTCGCCATCATCATCGGTTGGTGCTGGCTTTTGTCCTAATGCGAGACCATGAAGGCTGGAACGTAGTGAAGTAGTCATCGATCCTAGTAACTGAAGCACACAATTTTGGACAAAGTTTCGCGTTAAAGATGTATCTATATATGTAGTTTAGGCGCTCGCTTTAGAGGGGATCATTTAAAAGCCGAGAAAAATTGATGAGGGGGCGAAGGAAGACTTGTGACGCCTTAATCGACCGAAGCCCAAGCTAGTGGGTGGTGGTTGATTGCTCAAATCTGAAACGTGAGAGTGTTTATCATGCAGGAGGGTGAGTGAGTACCAATAATTCATTCTTTTTATGCATGCGCCGGGAAGACGGGCTGTATTTGGGGACCATGGAGATGCAAGTAAGCATTGGTGGACAAGTAAATTTATAAGGTCCCTCCCCCGATCTGATCTAGGACGCCCGCCTTTGATCTGTGCCTTTGAAGCTCGAAGTTTCTATTTTTATGACCATAAAAACCCTCTTGGAGATTATCTGGATAAGAGGACCATATGTGGTATGATATAATACGTTTCGAAAGCCTCTGGATAAACACGCGGATATTTTACACCATGAATTCCCAGAGAGTGGCACCGATCCTGAGCGCTCTGCAACGAAGTGGCGTTTGCGACTACTTCAGGTGCCCTGATATGATATTGTGTACCTACACATGTCGATAAGTATCCTCTTCTGTAGACACCATTCATCACTCCGCCTTCATTCTAGTCACCGAAGAGCTAATTTCGGCGGGGTACATATGTACCTACAGTTCGATGTCGCGGCCCCTTCGGGTAAAGCTAGTAAGGAAAGATGGAATGATTCTAAGCTTCTACCACAAATATATCCTTGTAAGAGCCGCGTGAGGAGCTAATTCCCACGTGCTTCTGTAATGATACAGATTGCATTATAGTAATAACCCGTTTTAAGGCTTTGTTTGAATAATTGCGTAAAACTATAGGTCCTCTAGCTATAGCTATAGCAGTTGTATCCTGACGTGACAGTGATGAGAGATTGAATTCATGCCTCCCATAATTTGAAGTGGAGTTTGAGTATATATAGGATTTGAAAACCTTTCGTCTAAGCTAGGTATTGAGATTAATTATAATTCCCCGATTGAACTATATATATAGATAGTAGCTGCTTTCTAATTGGACTTGGTTCCAATTGTAGTTCTGCTTAAAGTGCTTATGTTGTGCCCTGCATCTCGAATCGTGTAAACTCATAATCCATGAAGTACTATTAACAGGTTAATTACCGAAATTACCTTGCAGACTTCAGTGTGGGCGTTGTCATGTTGATATTTTCAACGGCCGAGTGATTTGTTATGAACGCTGAAGTGCCTGGAGCCTTGATCAATTGACATAATGCATGTAATAATATGAAACCGTGGGAACACCTAATGAGGATGGGTTTTACGAATCCCGCTGTTATTTAGCTCAACTTCTAGCGGCTGGCAAACAGTGAAGTGTATACATGTAGGTAACATGTGAAATTCATGCGACGGAGATGAAAGTCAATGATCAGCATTCAAGAATCTGTAACCAATTTAGTGTCCACCTATAAAGAAGCTAAAAACCAAATAAATTAACCTTAAAGCTCGACACAAGGACTGAAAACATCAACGTATTAATCCCAAGATTCGTTCCCCCCGATTCTAAATGCGCGCGTCCAGCTGGAACAACGTTCCCAAACTAATCAGTGTATAAAGGGTAAGGATAGCCGTTGAGGTCTAGACATTTTGAGTTGATATAAAAATCAACGAACCAGTCTCATATATCGATATAGGATGTAGGGAACACCGAGTATAATGCCGAATTTTTTGACCTTTTTCTGTCCTGTGCCGTTATTGTTGGCAATATGCACGTTCCATGTCAACCCGTGGTACTGAAGATACTTCATTGACGGATGTTCTAACTTCGAGGCGTATAATCGAGAACTTTATCCGTACACGTGCACTCGGGCAAACAGACAAACAAACTTATGAATGTTCTAAATCCAGCCCTCGGTCGATCAGAACTCACTCTCACCGGTAATCAAGAGTAGTCTCAAAGATCCCAATGAGGTGAACACCGGGCCGTCAAGTAGCCCAGGAAAGGTATAATCCCGCCACTAGATACGAGAATTATCATTTTCTACCTCATTCACTGAGTACCTCATAGGTCAATATATCCAGATACTAACGCATAAATATCAGTCTATAAATAACAAAAGAGGGCAAGGTGCTGTTTGGGTCGTACATTCGTGCTAGTGTCGGAGTTTACCGTAACGGGCAAGCGATTTGTTTCAGCTTCTGCAGTGCGACACTGTTTATTTACGAGAGCAAACGTTGACTCTAGATCTAAGAGCTTAATCAGATGTGTGAACTCTTTCTTAGCATTTAGGGTTGAACAAGCTGCGGGTTTGTAATTGCAGAGGTTTGTTTGCTACGAATTCATTTAAAGCCCCGTGCATACATCTGGATGGTATTGAAGAGGAATGTGTTGACGTCGATCGAGTGTATCCTAACTAAGGTGGTCCTCTCGCCCTTTGCAGTATGTAGATCGATGAGTGGTGTTCTCTCAGAAGATCCTTTTTGCTATTCTTCCGCATTATAATGTATGATGAGCACCAAAAGATCACATATAGCTTTATATCAACAGATTCAGCGACCCAGAATGTTGAATATGGACTTCTGGACGAGTTTTAGTCGTCCGCCAGGCCTAGACGTACATACACAGATTGCTAGAAGATAATCGATATACGAGGTGTGGAATGGTATGGAGATACTGTTATCGGTAGTTAGCTAGGGTATGTAAGTATACGCGACGTATACCTAGACATAGCTCAGGAAACTGACTTGCAATTGTATTTTAAGTAGATAAGAAATAGATATATAAAGGGCCGGATGTAGCACCAAGAATACAGGTTGACACCCCGAAATAAGTACTAAGCAGAGTTATTTCTTACTAATAACTTAGTTAACCTCCTAGAAAAATAGTGAAATTCGGAGGTTGTACCATTATAACGAGCGCTAGCTCATGCTATGGCCTAGCGATTTGAGATCCGAGAGCATGGCCGATCTCAAATATATTAGTATTGCGGGGCCCCCGAGCTCGAGGGGATAGCTGATATGATATAGTTCGATTTTGAGTCATTATGAGCTAGAAACCTTACCAGCGTAAAGATCAAGTGAGTAATGGAGCTTCTAGGCGATACGCCGGACTACACACAGTACCCGAATTTCGAGTTTTTGGGATCGCAGTTTTCATAGAATTGATGTGTACCTGCTCAGCTTTTTGTGCACGCTGATTCACCTTTTTGGGAACATACATGGCAAAGTCAAGGGTTATGAGCACGTGGGATCGGAGACATGTACCTAGTACATACGTCACACAACACATAGAGATAGAGACGTCTCCTCCATAACGCCTGTAGAGCCCCCGGATCCATCTATTCAACATGGGCAGCTACATGTATGTAGCCAACAACTGATATTTTCTTGTTCACCAAGGCTCATTATGGTGTTCAACCAATGCATCGATATATGATCAGCTACATGCACTCCACATACTCTAGGTTTATAATAATCTTTGGCATCTGGAATTCTTTCTTCCATAACTGACCTGGCTATGGAGATAGCTAGCCTCGGATAGCGGCTGAAGATAATATTAACAATCATTGATCAATAAACGTCGGCAGGCAAAAAGAAGATACATATCAGTGCGACTAGGAGCTGATGATGGAGACAAAGTACATACACACATACATGTATATATCGTATGCCGCGTGAGTACTTAGCTACATGTACGCAGTACGCCCGATGCCCATAATCATAAACACATTCAGCTTTGTATTCAGATAGGTCCCCACCTTACAAGCTTCAATACTTAAAGTTTAGCTTACTTTTGCATTTAGATGATCTGACTGTTTTTACTGAGCTTCCTTAGGTCTCATATTTCACAGGCTTGGTGTTTGGGGTTATTCACTCCGGATCACTCAAGTTAAGGTTTGATGTCATGTTAAGAGTCAGAGAAATTACCGATTTGGTTAGTAGCCAGATATTCATTGAATATTATGACCATACGTATGCAGGGGCTTATTGGCAGCTACAGTTTGTGGGGCCCTCACTCACGTCTGCAGACGCAGGCGCTGACACTGGGCAATAGCTTTCTCCCACCTTCTCGGCGAAATCTCGGGGAATCAATATAACTCAAGCTTTGTGGGAGCTGCGGTTGTAATACAGGTAGTCTTTATTCTTCGGAGTATATGAATTCGAAGGTCATTCATATATACCAAATTACAGGATCCGATGGAAGGCGGGCTTGGTCGACTGGGCGGGGTGGTCGAGCATATCTTGGGCTTTTCTCAAGGCATCGGCCACAGTTAAAACTAACCCCGAGCTCTCACAGCCTAGCTATATACATAGGTACGTGTAGTGATCGTGAATATTTGTTGGGCGAACAGATAGCCAAAGAAAGACAACCAACAAAGCTGCGTTGCCCCTTTCATGGACCGATGTGAAAGGGGATCAAAATATCACTGACACTGTTGTACGTGCTTCTGTCATGATCAGACCGCGTAGGTATTCCAGGCGGTTTGGGATAATCGCGCTCGCGTATCTAAGTTAATAAACTGTCTGCTTTACTTTAGGATATATATACACTTTATCTTTTTTCTTCTGTTCAGTTAAGTCGGGATCCTGCGGTAACGAAGGTTCTCTTTTCGGCCACTCCCGTTAATCATAAAGAAGCACTAGCCTAGAAAGGAGGAACATATTATAATTAAGCCATCTCATATAGCAAGGGAATCCTTACACCAAGGTTCCTGCATACCCGTCTCATTCCCACAGAGAGAGGTGTTTGCATACTGTACATACATGTACTCTACTGACTGATACGTTTTTAAGCCATACAAAATCGATAAATCCGTGCGACAGGGCGCCGGCGGTATCTCCGTTCCAATCAGAAATTTAGAATTATTTGGAATTCTGCCAAAGGTTCTCTGAGCACAAGTCATTCACTTAATCTGCCCGATCGCGTTCGCTGTTTGAACTTCTAGAAGCGGAGATTCCCGGGAAATATATAACCTACCGGCAAAAGCTTGCCGCATATTATGGTGGATCATACCTCGGCTCGTATGCGTAATTCTGTGATTACCCCACAATTGCAAATGTCGCCCTCCAGCACCACAAAGCTTGTGCAAACCTCGATCCCTTATGGGTACCGTTGAAATTCATATGTATCTGAAGAAACGTACTTTCATATGTGGTCTATTATGTATATTCGCAATATCAAAGCTGACTGCCTTCCATATACACAGATTTATATCAAAGATCTTAAGGAAACAAGACTGAGTGGGTTATATACCGGCAAAGCCATTCGAGGAAATAAATAAATGATTTTTCGGTTTTTCCCGGGAAAATGGACGTGCATTAACTAGTCGAATGTCTCGTTTGGGGACTGTCGGCATGTAGATTCTGCCTAACTTAGCGAGTTCTAGAAGAGCATGCAATATGGGATGTACCGTTTGACCTTCTCTTTTCGTGTTGTTTCAGTTTTTTAAATGAAAAAAGATCTAACTTACTATAGAGTACCGGGCTTGCACGTTGATTCCGACGATCTTGCCTAGTACTATTATTACCTGCTAGATACCTAGTAGCTCTTTGCCTGGAAGAGGTAGATATCCACACATGCGTTACCGGATAGGATGAGATGGGCAAACCAGGAGAGTATATGGACCTGGATATCTATGTCTAGATAGGTAAATATTTACTATTATGAATCCGGTAATTCGTGCGTAAACATCTACCTATCAGGAGAGCTGGTTGATAAGTGTTAGCCCCAACTCAGTTATGTCTTACAGAGTACCAACCTTTGACACTTGTGCGTCTTAGTCGCGTTATTACTAGGGCTTGATTTGGCCGAACAGACCGGCGAAGCAGAAAATGATTTTGGGTAGAAAGCCACACTCATTACTTACCTACCAGACTGTGGCAGTATTGGCAGGTGTTGGCAGAGTAGGGGATAACCAGGTAGTTGTCGCTGGACCCACTACCGCTCTGACCGCCACCCCCCCCCACGCACTATTAATCGGGTCTTCCCAGAGGCACAAATTTCTCCAAGACTGTCCAACCAACAATTCTTGGGCTTACTTTTCTCCTCCTTTCTCCTCACTCACTAATACTTGTAAAGGAAAAAAGAAAGCCCATCGAAAGTTCTAAGAAAAAATACCTAAGAGAGACGTTATCTAGTGGAATGTCAAGTTCCCCAGAATTATGCTCAATGGTAATCAGGCCGTTGTAAGTAACATTTCCTCTCCTCTTCCGCTCGTCAGATGAATATATGAATTAATCACCATCATTCTTATATAGGCCTTTGAATGGTCTTTTGCAGGCTTGGCTCTTATATTTGTGCTCTTAAGACTCTATGTCAGGATTTTCCACGGACCAAGTAGTAGGCTCAACTGGAGCGACTGGATTGTGGTGATAGCATGGCTGAATTTTGCTGCTGGTTGCGCCTGTGATGTTGAACTGAATCGATTAGGATTTATCCATCCTGCTTCTTCATATCGCGGTAACTTATCCATGATTACTCCTGATCCAGAGAAGACTGTTCGAATTCTAAAGGTATGTGGGGGACAAACACTCGCAGCACTACAAGCTATGGAGCTAATCTAAAGATTCAAGATCATATATTACTCGATTTTCCCTTACATCATCGACTTATGGCTTATCAAAGCTGGTATTCTAAGTTTTTATTATGTTGTTATTCCAAGGACATTACCGTTATATCGATGGTTCCTGCATATGACTGCTGGCCTTTGCCTTGTGACCTTTTTTATGGTCTTCTTTATAAACATGTTTTGGTGCGATCCAATTTGGAGCAACTGGTACGTTTCCTAGTATATCGCCTCTACTATTGACGTGCAAACACAGTCCTAACTTATCGTTTAAAATATACAGGTCTCTAGATGAAGCAGAGATTTGTGTTGCTAGTGCCAAGGAGCCCCCTTTCTTTCTTACAGTTGGTAGCACTATTATCACGGATCTATTGAGTATGCACCCAGTTCTCCCTATCCAACTATATGATTTTCTCTGCACCTATGCTCAAACCACTTTCTCATAGTATTCTTCCTTCCATTTCCACTGCTTCAAAACATCCACCTCCCGCTCCGCAAAATGGTCGGCGTAATCGCCCTATTCACACTCGGCTCCCTCACAATCCTCGCTGCAATTTGTCGTGTCGCTGTGATCGCAAGAACCGCAAATGTCACCGAAGTCACTGCTTGGACCGCCGTTGAGTGCTCCACTGGCATAATAGTAGCCTGCGCCCCGGCTCTTCGGGTGCTCCTTATACGCCGAGAGCGTAGCCCCTCTGGCGGCCTCTCAAAATCCACCAGGTCCTACCCAAGACCGGGCCCGCCCATCTTTAGCGCCAGCGATCGAAACGAGATATGGGATGGAACTGACGCGACAGCACCGCACTGGATCCGCATGGCGAGCATATCCGGCAGCGCCGCTGTATCACCGCGGGAACCACAATTTGACGATGCCGTGATAGAGGCGCTCTCGAAACAACTAACACCGGGCAGGAACAGCCACGACTTTCGTAACTCCAGTTTTAATAACTTCGATATGGTTGCACCGATTCCGAATATGAGACTACAACTTGGTCGAGGAATCATAGAGCATGCACCAATGTCACCGCATAGTACTAGATCACCCGTGGACGACCATATGACGATTGGGTCAATATCACCTCGAACTATATCGCCTCTGACAAGTCCAGATTTTATTCGGCTGGACCACCGACCCGGATCGGACGATGTCTCGCTGAACCGATGGGACACCAGCGAGAGTGGGAGACTGGAGCTGGGAAGGATCGTGGAAAACGCGGCGGGAGCGAATCGGCCAAGGTCCGTTTCAAGAACTACTTGTGACAATGGACCTAAATCTGGGCCGAGGGGCTTTTTATGATAATGGTTTTTCTTTTTATGATGACCGGGAATTGACGATGATATATCTTCCCGATCCTTTTCTCTTTTATTTCTTTTGGAGTTTCGATGTACAAAGGAGTTTACTGCGCTGCATGTTACGTCGTTACATGTTTTTCTTTTCTTTCATCATTCTGCTTGTGGTAATTACTGCAGTACTACATACATATCTATTAGATACATGTAGTTAGGAAGGCAAAGGCAGGTTGGAGATTGTTGATATTGCCTTCAAAAGGGCTGCATGCATTACAACTGTAGGGGAAGGGTGGGAGGGGAGAGGGGGTCTCGGGCCGTTCTGGATTATCGGGCACAAACTGGGGGCCTCAATATTGGACCCATGGAGCACCTACCTACTCAAGCTTGGCTACTTTATTTACCGTTCCTTGAATCCACCTCGCACACGTGTTGTCGCACCATGCTGGCATGACATCAATTGGATCATTCTAGTGGTGGACATGCTAACAATATCTATCACAGCTCCTCTGAGCAGAGACGCATCTACATATCTATCTAGTCCCGAAATTCGGCTTGTGTCTGTACGATACCGTAACTACCCTCCATACACTCGGGCCGAGTCATGGATTGGCACTCGACCGGCCTAGCAAAAATGGTTTAGATTACTAACCAATGCCATGTGCAGCGCCACATGTTTGGCTACCGGATGAACCACCCGTCATGCCCTAAAGAAGATGGCATCATGTAACACACACAGCTCTATGCGGTACTTAGGTAAGAGATACAAGGAAGACACAGAGAGACCGAGTGCTAGATGGTTACAAACACTACCTATGGTTAACAAGGTATAGCTATATAGGGGTTCACCGTGGAGTAGCTCTCGTATTTCCTTGAGACGATCGAGCTCGTACCCTGGATCATATAAACCCACAAGCGTGTAACTACCTACATAAGGAGTTAGAGTACTTGGTGGAGTGCAGTCCTATATGCTCTGCTACTTAGAGTGAGAGCGTTGTATTAACGTAAATGTCTCTCAATTGACAGTCTCTGCTCGGCCTCACCCACATGTAAAGTAAAAACCTAGGGCTGGTCATCACTGCAGTAGGGTACTCCTCTCATGTAAGTTGGTATGACCCCCTCCACACACTCCTCTTCCCCGTTCTCTAGATCCGGGATTAAGTATTCTGTTCTAATTATCCCCCCCTCCCCCCCCTCCCCCCCCTCCCCCCCAGAGTAGATTAGTAAATACATTTAGAAGAAAGAAAAAAGTAACCGTGCAGGCAAGCAAGTCGCCAATCTGTCTCATAAACAAAAACATCGACACCCCGCGACCATATTTCGATGGCTAGCAGGCCACTCTGTGTCTTAAGTCAGACAGAGCCGTTGCCGATGTTTCAAGAGGAAACCGTAGTGGCAAATTTGAGGTGGAGGTGATGTTGGGGATGCGGGTGCGGGCGCGGGTGCGAGTGGGAATCATCCATTCTATCCGGATCCATGGAACGAGCGTATTAAGGATTCCTGATAATCACTAGACCGTACTGCTCTACATATCATGTTCTACGCGTGTTGCATATGGATTGTATCTCCCTCCCAATCCCCTCCTTCCCCGAAGCAGCACTTAAGTTGTTACACATGTTGAATAATAACGATAATAATAATTCAAGGAAGCCAGTATGGCGCGAGAAGCATAGGGTGGGTGTGTCAATTTCAGAGGAACTTTTTTTGTATGGGAATTAGAGAAAATTCCACCATTAGGCTAGGCATTAGTACCATTAAGGGAGTAGATCTCCCAATTTCTATAGATTGATCGGCTGTAAACGCCAAAGTTTACACACCTATCCACTATAGCTTCTCAAGCCATAGCCGCGGACATGGCCCCTGGGCTTTGTGCATGTCGATAGAGTACAGAGATCTTGTGGAGCTGATTCGTGCAGAAACGATTTCGGGTACTACAGAAGGGGCCGGGCCTTATCTATGAGAGGAACCTTGTATAATCCGGGTTAAGGATTGATCTTCTATGTATGTACTCTACCTAGTACTGAAGGCACACTTCCTAACGCAGCTTCTGGTTACTATAAGAAACACCTAACCCTGTGATATGAGTGAATGGTAGGCTTAAAAGGCCTGACCAGCAATTGATTAATCATCGACCTGGTCTTCTGCCTGCGAATGAATACTTGAGGTTGGTAAATCTTACACCAGGAGGACCTCTTCGGACCGTGCCATTGATTGCGAAGAGTGAACGTATGCGTGGCACGTTCCTATCGGCCAGAGGAAGTGACAGAGTCCTCCCCTTGTTGGATTTTGCACAACCAGCTGAAAAAAGCCTGGTGTGCAAAATTCGCGTGGCTGGAACACGCGGGAGGGCCACGCACACGCCTTGAGAGGCTTCTGTACTCTAGCTGCTCAAGCAGACCGTAGACGTACCACTACTAGTATTTAGGGATCCGGGGGGGTGTAGTACTCGGGGCAGGCAAGAAGAACCTGAAAATGACTTTTTATGGTAACGACCTCTGATTCGCGGCTGGCAAAAAGCTACACCAAATTGAGCCTCTACTTGCAGCTTACATTTTCAGGTTCTTCTTGCCTGCCCCGAGTATAGCTGGCAGAGAAGGTATGTAGAATAGGTAGGTATATATATGTAGAGTACCAGTGTACCTACTCTAGTGGAGATCCTCTACCTAGAGACCAGAATATGATAAGAACTGCAGAAGCGAGGGCTAAAATCAGGTTAGGACCCGTAGATTGCACATTTTCGATACTTGCAACCCCCTGGAGAATACTCGCACATATCGTGATATTGCGATGTATCTATCACATCTGCGCAGAACATGTAACTTCAGCTTCCTAATATCCACATACTGCACTAGCTTGAGTAAAACCCACGGCGTTAGCCTGTGGGATTGGCTGGTAATTTCATTAATTTCGAGACTGCAGGGCTTTATTTGGATCCCCTCTCAAGAACTGGTACAGTACGGGTAGAAGGAAGAATACCATTGGATGGCCCTGTTTTTGTCTTTATACCTGACGTTGGTAACATGCATATGCGCTGTGTTAGACACTGACAGTTGGCTGCAATATTCCGACTTCGGTAATTTGTCTCGCGATTTGTTTTAAACTAGGGGATGGCCACTTTTTTTTCTTATTTTCTGTCCTACTCTCCCTTCAGTTATTTATTGTTTAAGAGAGGTACGATCCCACCAGTATGGCACCCCTCCGAGTTCAGGACTGAATGATATTCATAGTGCATCGCTGGACGCTACACACTCGTCTTCATGGCTTTCGTTCTACTCCCACGCGGGATCCTAATGTTTTTTATAACGCTGGTCGCGTATCTTATTCGAGGGGTACAAGCAGCAGTGAACTTTGAGGCGTGCTGTGCACAGGTCCCCGTCTCCGACGATATCCGACCGTTCCAATGGGATTCATGTCACTCAGCCTACAACTCATCCGAAAAGGATCCTCTAAAGATGTATTCGGTTCCCATCATCACAACATACGAATGGTGTCGACAAAACTGTGAAAGGAGCGGCGATTTCCAAGTCAGTGATACAAGCCAATGGCTGACCCCGCTCGCAGCATGGATTATTCCAGCCTCTGCGTTGTTGCTTTTGCTGCCTATATCGGAACATCTCAAAGATCACAAACAGCTGTGGGGTCGCACGAGGAAGGAGAAGTTGATGGCACACTATATCCATAATTGGTTGGGTCCTGTATTGCAATATTTGCATATTCTAGGAGATCCGGCCAGCGCATTCAACGGGTCTCTAGCACAAATGGTTGCGGATTGGAATTTGTGTATGTCGATGCATCGACCCAACAATGGGAAGCGAGAGAAGGAGCTCATTTTGACCGTTATTCTTACAGAGCAGGCAGACTTCTTTTGTTCTCCTACCAGAAATGCACTTGAGTTAATGGCTGGTTCAAGTCGTGCGAGGGAGTATAGTAAGACAGCGTGTCGGATGATATGGAGTGCCAGGAAGAAATTTAATACTGCTGTTGTCCTGCCTGTTGCTCTATACATAGGGGTGGCGGCATCGGTCTTTTATGACGCCTATCAGAAACTGGGAGATAATGGCACATCGTGAGTCCTGCCAGATCCCATGCCGTAGTATATTGCTCACTATTCAGTAGTCATAGCCTTGCGTAAGTTCCTTACAATAAACGCAGTATACCTGGGCCTTGGTTAATAGCTCGGTATAGTTATGGAACTTGGTACAATTGGGTTTTGTTATTGTCGATTTTCAGCAATTGCTTTGCTTCCCACTCGAACCTCGACGCCGTACGTAGCGGCATGGAGTTGATAGTCCGCGGTGTTATCGAAAACCATAGTCCCAAGGAATTTGAAGACTTAGGATGGGATAAGCAAACAGCTCAAACATGTTCGGAATCATACAACATAGCCACTGAGTCCTTAATGGTATTCCCACGTATGCATCCCCCAATGAATCCTAATCCGAGAGCTCTCTTTGGAGGATCATTGGAATGTAGGGGAGCTCCATTGTATAAAAGGTATTGGAACAGTTGGTACTGGGTCAGGTGGTTGCATAAGAACGGTGTGGATATTTCCAGACCAAAAGAGGGTATATTCAGCTATGACATCTTTTGGGTTGACTGGGCCTCGAGAAATGTGAACCCCTGGGTATGTTCTCTATCCAGAGGTAGATTGGTTGTTCCTTGCTAATCTTTCTTAGGCAAATTACCTTGCAGGACAAGTTCTCTCATGGCTCTTTGTTCTATATTCATGCACTTGCGCAGCAATATGTAAGAATCACCCATGTAACTTTGAACTTGTGCAAAAGCTCACTCTAGTTCAAGTATCCTACACGACCCCCAAAGTTGGGTTAGGCTGCAGGTCAATGAATCATATCCTATACGCCTCCGTTTCCCTCCTCAATGCCGTTGTTAGGGTTCTGAAAGACTGGCTGAAAGAGACCGAACACAGGCGTTCTTATTGTTTTGTCACTACGGTATATCATTTTCTTGTGTGGCTGAACTCGGTAGTTATCCTCATGGGCGGATCCATGTTGCAGATTGCGGGGATATTCAACAACTGTTATTGCAAGGCTGGAATATTAAACCGAGGTCCTGACTCTTGGATACCTCTCAGCCCGAACAGCTTTGCACATCAATACTGGGCGAAGAAAGTATGGCTAAGAGTCGCATACGGGGCTTACGGAGGAATTGCGATGATCGGTTTTGTGGTGTTGGCTTTTCGGCTATATATTGCTTATGTTGTCCGGAAAGGATTGCATTGATTATGTAGGTTTTTAGTGAGAGTTATAATTATTGTTTTTCCATATCTTATGGGTAATCATGGCAGGTTAATTGATGTACATATCTTAGTATTTTACTAGCTCTTCGGGATAAATCATGCAGCATCTATCACCATTCGTTTATCTCCTGTAAAGAGTGAAGACTCGTCCGTTATACCACCGGGAAGCTAACTCCTGAAATTTAGTACAAGGTAGAATGCATAATGTCTCTCTGATTCCGCCTAGGTGAAGTGCTGTCGAACGCAATCGGACCCCGAATCTTTGACATGGGCTGCATGTGAAGAGCGTAGGGGTCAATGAACCTGTAGCCCCCTTCCCTAATTCGTATTTACAGCCATAGGCCAAAGCTCGTAATATACCACTTCTCATATTGGTCTCATCATGCAGACTAGGTTTGGAGACACTAGGAATGGAGGTAAAGGAATGAGTACTGGCTACTGATGACGAAGGGTAGATGATAATTTGATTGCCGGCAATGATGGTCGTATATGTAGATGAGAAGGAGTGAAAAAGAGCATGTGGGAGTGAGTGATATTGCCACAGTGGCTGATGATATACTGTGTGTTGTGTAGTCGTGGGTACGTATGCATTCAAAAGGCGGGTAGGCACCTCTCATTAGCAAGCAGCTATCGGCGTTTGCATGGAGCCTCTTAGCTACATGTATACACTTCCACACTAACCTTTCTCCTCAATTCCAGCCGGAAGATACATGTACACATAGCATAGCGCTAGCACCCTTTTCTAAAGGTATCAATACCCTCAAGTCCACCACATGCTCACTCAAACAGCGCTCTATAGGTATAAGGTAGGCACAAGTACTATAAACATCATGATACATAAGATACCGAGATAGGTGATCTGTTTTTGGTTTAGCTGGTTGAATATAGCTATATTTCCACAGGATGTTATTGACCATTTTTAATAGCTAGATGAATTTAGAGAGTGGGTGTGGTCGGATACTATAAAACATTCCGAGTTCGATTTACCGATATATGTCCGTCATGGCCTGCAGTCCCGCGTTGACACTAGCTGTGATCGAAATTGAAAAAAGCAAATGCAAAAAAGAAAAGAAAATTAATAATCTGCTCTGTCCCAACAAAAGAGTTGAGTGAGCAGATATGATACTCATCTTTCCAGCCATCGACCCATGTGCCCAGAGTCGCGCGTTAATGGTATTACTCGGAGTAAAAAAAATGCGTTTACGAACAACCTTCTAGGGTATACGCGTAGCTGTCTACGTACATGTATGTACTCATACTCCAATCCACTCTTAGACTAATAGTTTCAGAAGAAGCCATCCTTCTTATAATAATCTGGTGGAGCAGATAGCCGTGGGACAAGGCATGCATATGTCGTCATAAGACGTATATATTCACAGAATATCACTCGCTGGTTCAACATTAATATGATCATCGACAGAAATATCTGAGGACTTAATGATATGATTTCTTGCCACGGCTTCTGTTTAGAGTACTGGGAGATCTTTTGAGTGGCCAGGAATACGGTTTGCCACAATATGAGCAAGCCACTAGTGCAGGCATATTCCCGCTCATACGTGCACCCACCAACCCCGGCGCACGCAGCATTCCGACTATGGGACGCTTCATTTATATGTAAATTGTTCTCCATAATGTCAATTATTCCCATGCCAAATATTCTCCACGCAGCGCCCCATCTAAAGCAGCCGTGGCAAAAGTGGCAATTGATCTATGAACCGGCAATCGCTGTCTGTATTTTGAGTCCTATTTAATTCCCGGACCGAAGGATATTTGTCATGACGGCTTTAAACCGGCCGTGGTAGCTAGCTGTCCTGATCAGATTTTCGCCGGTGGTTTGAGTGTTGGGGGCGAACAGATAGATACCTCCACAAGACCTGTACTCAGTGGATTAAATAGACCAGAAACCCGAGAAGAATACATAAGAATTCTCGGAGTAGGAGCCGGGTTAACAGATAAGCTACAAAGATCAATTTTTTCACTGGGCCTCTGGTGTCTATCGGGATATCTTTAGAAATGCATATATATTCATTCTCTATCTGCATGTGCTCTAGTGATTATGCATGTGTGTACTGTGGGGTCGGGAACTTGTGAAATCAAGAAGATTTGCACATCTGATCCCTGTCTATCTAGGTAACATAAAAGAATACGTATATAAACTCCATGTTCCCCGCTCAAGGAACATAAAGAGGCCCTTAAATCCTAGGTTGAACTCTCCCAAATGTACCGCGCTGATATTGGAGCGGCCATCTGACTTGGACCTCTAGTTGCTTTGCTGCCCTCATGACAAAGCTGGAGTCCCTCAAAAACTCTCGAGCGATGAAAACAGCATCAACTTGCCCTTCTTCCAATATCTATAGGTGCAGCCCAGTTAGAGTCACCGAAACATCAGGCGTACAAACACATGGGATCCATACCTGATTGGCCTGTGCTCCATCGGTAATTCCGCCCACCGCACTGATCAGTAATTTCGCCGCCTCACCACCTTCTTCAGTGAGCACTTTTTTGACCTTTTCGGCCAATGAAGTCTGGTATTCCTTGATGTGGACGGGAATTTTCTGCTCTTCGTGGTTTCCAGCCGATGAAACATCAAGAAGATCCACACCGAGGGGATACAGGAGTTTCGCCAATCGTATGGTCTGTTCGATATCCCAAGCACCAGGATACTTTGCCGTATCTAGCCAATCTGTGCCCGAAAGCCTACGATTGGTCATTATGTTAGCACCATACTTATCTATAAGCTCGGCGTTCGCATCAACTACAAACCTTAGAAAGAAAGGCATTCCCTGCGGTATGCGGGACCTTATCTCCTGTATAGCCTCCAACACAAACCTTACTCTGTTCTCGAACGGCCCACCGTACTCATCTGTTCTCTGGTTGGTCGCCGTGCTCAAGAACTGATGAAGTAGGTACCCGTGTGCTGCGTGGAGCTCGACAGAATCCACACCTGCTTTGACAGCGCGAACTGCAGCATCACCGAAGGCTTTGACTATGTCTTTGATCTCGGCAATCGAAAGCATCCGTGGAACCGGATAATCGCTAGACCACGGAGTTGTAGTTGATGACACGACATTGTCCGGCCAACCACCAATATCGGCAGTCGCTGTGTTGGAACGACCTAGAAAAAAGTAAGTATTATATTATTATAGTGTAGCAACTATATTTTCGGGCGTGCCACGTTAACTAACCCCTTGCTGCCAGCCAAGGTGCGACTGTTGATGCCTTCCTGCCAGCATGCGCGAGCTGAACACTCAAATGATGGCCTTGTGAGTGTACGTATGTTACTATTTTCGAGAGGGACTCAATTTGACTGCCGGAGGGGTTTAGCCATCATGTACCAACACCTCCATCTTTGAAAGTATGAAAACTCACGCGTCCTCCCAAATCCCCGAATCCTCTGGAGAGATTCTACCTTCAGGCCTTACCGAAGAAGCTTCGACCATCACCAGTCCTGCACCTTTATACGCAATACCACCCAAATGCACCATGTGAAAATCCGTCAATTTACCATCGGCACATGAATACATGCACATCGGCGCGCAAAAAGCACGGTTCGGGAATACAGCATCACGGATTTTGAGGGGCTCAAAGAGCTTGGGCAATTTGTCTTTGTGAACGGGTTGCTCTGAGAGAGGAAGGGCTGATCCAGATGGTGGTGATTGATGCGGTGTGAAATAAGGGACACCTGGCGCGGCTACATTGCGCAAGTCAGATTGAGAAGTCATTCTTTTTTCTTTCTTCTTTTTATTCTGGACGGTGGGGAAATTGAAGTTTCGGTGTCAAATTTTGGACCGGTGTTGGTGTTGAGTTGACTTTGCCAGTGAGAATTAACAACGTTTGCCTGGATTTTTGAAACTCTTATCGGACTTCTTCGGGGGGAGAATGACGTGGATGTCAATTTGTAATGGTTTGAGGAGCAACGCCGGAGTTCCATAACCTTCCCTGCAAACCTTGGTCAGACCATGCTAAGAGTAGAGTACTTGCTTACTATATCGGAGATATCTCCAACATTCCAGACTAACGGAGGTTGAGCTTCATGGCGAGAATAGTAAGAGGTTTCGAGCCTGAACTCCAATTGCAAAAGGATGTCCTAATGTTTCGGTGTTCAGGGCACCACCGGAGCTCAGGGACATTCCCCTCAACGCCACGGCGCGTGCCTACGGTTACGTCGACGGAAACAGTAGTTTACATATAACTGCATAAATCAATGAAATATCACAAATCTCATTGTGCGCGAGTCGGCGATTTTGACCTGGTGTGCTACATGATAAATCATCCGTGGCACATCGTTTTTTCTTGTTTTAAGCCTGCATACGCTTCCGAAGCTGCCTTGCGTAACGCAGTCTGATCTATACGAAAAGCTCCGATGGACACCGATAGATTCACAAGCCACGGGACAACTTACAAACACAAATTCTCATGTGAATCGCCTTTATCATACACATCTCAAAGTGGAGAATGGTCTAAAGAGCTTGTCTTGATCCTGGTACTGAGCAAGGTAGCTTTATGTTCAATATCTGCTGTGTTCAACAACCAACTGCACCGCCAAAAAAAACATGACAGGTACCTCTACATGAGTACAAAAATAACCCCAAGTATCATGTGCGAAGCCTTCCAGCGGCTGGAAGCAGGGTTTGAGGTTTCAAAAACAACACTGAATTACGTTTTTCTTCGCCGGAGGCATTGGTCCAGTCAAAAACTCCAGATATCCCCTTATTCACGATACACAAGAAGATGCGCTGGCAGTGCCTAGTATTCGTCAGATGATATAGGGCATAGATGGCATGGTTGTTTCCGAAAATTCAAAGAAACGAAGGCATTGAGGAAGTAGATATCAGCTCCAAACCGCAGCTTCATGAGCAGGTTCACAGCATCCTCCTCCAAATATCAATTTCTTTTTTACTTTTTTATAGTCCGAGGCTATCACTGCTATTAGGACCGCACATTTCAAAACTTCCTGGACGTTATTTGAATCTACCTGAATGTTGCCGACTTTTGTACCCGAAATTTTCTTTTGCCGATCGGCATAACGCTCCTGTCTGCCGAGCCGTTGGTGTTACACTAAACGGGCCGAGTACATTTATCGGATATCGGATAGCTATATGACGTCAAGCAAGCTCAACATAACATTTCTATTATTCTCCTTCTTCAATTCACGCGATGTAATAGAGAATACCAATAATACATATAATAACCTCCAGCATCGCTAGATACCTAAAAATCCGCTTATATCAAACGTGTGGGATCTATGAGCGGTTGCTATCCACATCACTTCAATGCTTTCCGCCTCATTCATGCATCAGTATGAGGCGAGCATTGGTTATGAATATCCCACTAAATTCCATTACACATTATTACCCCCATGGCCTGGACATCCCCACGCCCGAGCTCTCGCCTGTATATACAGAGGAGAAACATTCAGTCTCGTACTCTGCCTTGCGAATTAATGGTACGTGGCATACTATATATGCATCGTGGCATCTGGGGATCAGTCACGGATGGTGTTGAGATATAGGTAAGCCCCCTCCGAGTGTTTGGCCGCGTTCCAATCGAGTCTAGGCGGAGCAACTCCCCGAACTCGATGTCATCTAATCCGCTTTTTGCTTCGAGATTTTGAAACGTTTGGCATCCACTGGCAAGACACAAGTGGATGTGACGCATACGGAACCCTTTTTGGATAATTTACCCACTATCTTTTCAGCACTTTGCAAATTTGCTCCTTACATCCAGAGGAGGCCCCCATTTATATTTCTTTCTTTCAAATGAATGAACATTGCACCGCCCCCAGTCTGCCACCACCTATGATTGACGGAAGCACACCTTTACGGTCATCGCGAAATCTGAGGTGGAGTCTCGTGATTGGGGTAGTACGTATAGACCTGCAAAGAGTCTCGTTGCTATGTACATGTTGGATTGAGCGAATATGGGGCGGGCACCTTGGAAGCATGGTATACTCTAAGACGGGGTTCCCCACATCCTGACCTTGCAAGCATATAAAGGGGGATAGATCGCCTGGAGATGAAACAGCTGGCCATCGTCAACCATATATTCCATTCCCCTATAAACTGTTTATTTTTTTTTTTAAAAAAAAAAAGATCTCTTTGCAATCATTACCTAGAAATGAGAAACGTAACTACTCAGTGTTTGAAGCCATCCTCGGCCGGGGCCCACAAGGCCGAGGAATCGAAATACCTGATCTCCGGCCCCCAACCACAAGAGGCCTCCCAACTGCAGAAGACCTTGAAAGAGATCCCCCGCTCACATATGAAAAGAACTTCGATGGGTCTAGGGACCAGGTTCTCGGTTTCGAGGGTATTGCAACAAGGGATACCCCCGAAACCACCTCATCCGAGGGGGCTACTGTGAGTTGAGACATATCTAAAGAGATGCCTTCCATCGCTAATACCAATCAAGATCATGGCAGCCGTTTCTCGAGCGGAAACACATCCCCGAGAATTGGTTACGGATAGTGGCGTGGCTGGGAGGCGGATCCACAGAACGCCAGCATCGATCAGGCGTTTCCTAGAACATACTGAAGACGGACAAACACTCTTCAGGTTTTCTGGGCCGCCCAACCCTTCCCCTGGGGCTCCGTACGAACGGCTTTTCGGCGATCTTGATAGTCTAGGCCTTGCCCCACAGGAAGAATCCCCTGAGGGGGAATACGGGGAAGAGGGGCCTTCTCGAGGCACCCCTCAACACCGAAACATTGGGCAGTCATTGGATGAGATCTTGTATCTTCCATCCTGCGGATAAACCAGGCCACGAGGCCCAGTTTGTTTGGGTCGGGTCGGTTTTTTTTCTTATTTCCTATATTTCTTACAATCTCACGTAACATTTCTTATTCTTAGTCCCGGATATTTTATCATCCCCACACGAAACGAAAAGACGAAAGACGAAAAAAAAAAACTGGAAAAGACAGAGAAAAGAGAGAGAAAAAAAACCTTGTGAAGAATTGGCCTCAGTCTAGTCACTTTTTCAACGTCCATTTTCAGAGATATCGATGTTTCCTTTGCGGGCATTTCCTCTAATTTTTGCTTCTGAGTCATAGCGAGTTAAATAAATATCATACATAAACCGAGATACTGCTGTACCTTTAATCCAGTGTCTGATGTGTGTAACCACATTAACGTCCGAATCACGAATCAAATAAGGGGAAGTGTAGGAAAGCCAATATGCCACGCAGGTTCCCCAGACTCAGGCATGCGGTTGCCTGAGTTATTACCAGGTTATCATGTATCTACCTCCATCCACATCCACATCCACATCCACATCCACATCCACATCCATCTGCATCCTCCTCTTCCTCCTTCTCTTCCTCCTCCTCCTCCTCCTCCTCCTCCTCCACATCTACCGGCTCCTCCGCCTCATCCCCATCACCAATGTCACATGAAGATCGGGCCCGTCGAGGATTTTCATTAAGCGCCAGCTAATTAACCAACCAGCTCGCTCTGCGTTTTGTTTGGCCGCCGTTGCTTCTGCTGTATGACCACCATCTTAAGTAGCACCGGTATCATGTAACGTTCTACAGCAGTCAGCTCACCACATGTATGTAGGTAGGTAGGTAGGTAAGATGGCCGGAAGAGGGAGGGAGGATCGAAGGGAGGGGAAAAAATATAGATTGTGATCTATACTCTAGTCTATCTAGATAAGTGACATGACACTTCCATCTGTGTCGTGCAATTGCCAATCCCGGGGTAAAATAAAGCCGGTAAGGGTGGGTAGTGCAAGGTGAGAGTGAGTGGGTGTGGAGATGGGTGTGGAGATGGGTTGTCGTTAATACTTGGCCAAGTTTATCAGATCCCCATCTAGATCTAGCTAGGCCGTTGTTATCTGCCATCCCTTGTTTCTCCAGGGTCTATCTGCCCTCTAACTCTACTAACTTTAAAGCACTGCTGCCACTACATCTCTATGTAGCTACTATAATTACTACTATTGCTACTATTTCTGAAACAGGAATTAGTTAGTATTCCAGATAAAGCCTAGTCTCTCCGACAGCAAGCGAGTGAGATCCCATGACCCCCTACCCTGCCCCTACCCTATCGGGACATGTCGATAGATAAGAGACAATCGTTCCTCGCCCGCGCGGCCGGTGGTGCACGAACCTCCCCCATCCCCGCCTCATCACCAACCGCGCCGGCCCCAGAGAAAATCGAAATATGCGAATAAAAAATAAAAAGAGTCAAAGAACCATGGGGAGAGAAAAAAAAAAAAAAAAAAAAAAAGAGGCCCCCTCGGCTGCTGGGGTGTGTGTGTAGGCGACAACTATTTTTATCGCATATTGGGGCCCGAGCTTGGGCCTGGGCGGATTGCGAATGTCACTGAGCTAGAGTACCTATCGGTTCTGTATCCATGATCTGCACTATACGCCTACATGATACCGAGTTGGCTCTATCCTAGGGTAGGCAGGTAGGTCTGCTGTGGGCTACTGAGATGTGGGAGAGTTATGTAGAGCAGCAGATATCCATACGGCCCGTGGCTGAAACGGCGGGCGTGGGGGAGCCGGGGGAATGGTTGAACGGGGAAATATGGGGGGGTGGGATAAGAAGAGCTCATCACATATGTCGAGAGCGAGCAAGGTCTAGAAGCTTGAAGAAGTTCAAAGGGGGTCCGGGGAATGGAAAGATTGCCGAACCCAACTCTATGGGTTACAACTTACTAGACTGGGGGGATGAATTTTTAATGGTGCTCAGTCCCCTGGTTCGGATGGCTAGACGGTGCGGTTTAGAATCTTTGGGTTTGGGTTTGGGGTTAATGGGGGTTCCCTGCATGGATTGAGGGAAGGGAAGGGGAAGAAGGGAAGGGATGTGCGGATTTGAGGTTGATAGCGATGTTGAGGAAGAAGATAGACAGACACCCGCACGCACACACAACCCGCGAACACGATCAGAATCGATATCGATATTGATATCGATATCGCACCCCCCCTTCACCCCTCCTCTTCGGAGAGAAGAGGGAGGGGGGGGGGCGTCCAGAAGGAAAAAATAATGTTGTTATTCGAGGGGGCGATATATAAAGGCAGGGCTGAATCCCCACTAGCTGTCTATCGACTCGTCCGTCTATCTACTCTCTTGGTTTAATCGCTTGGGTGGTATGCCGTGGCCGGGATGGCGGTGGAAGGAGCGGCGTCAGTCAGCGAGAGTGGTTGTTTTTTGGTGGTTAGGCGCAACCCAGAGGGAGCTTGGCGCTTCTGTCAAATCTGACGACGTTGCAACGCTGCACCACCCACAGAAGTCTAACCCTAGGAGTACCACCACAGAGCTACGCCTACCTACCACCGTCTGCCTACCTACAGCAGCAGCAGCGGAGTAGAGTACCCCCCTTCCCATCAAACCCCCAGCTAACTGCCCACCACCCCCCCCCACTACTGGCTGGCAGACGTGGTGTTTCATGGGCCATTCAAAAACTTTGGGGGAGAAAGGAATAGAGAGAGAATGTCGACCACCCACGTCTGGGTGCCGCGTGTTCAGATAGGGATAACCCCCCCCCCTCCATCCATCCATCCATCCATCCATCCCCCTCCTAGCTCCTCCGAAATCCCTATTTCCCCCGATTGAATATACACGGGCGATATCGCGGGAGTAGTGGTGGATTTGTGGATTGGAGATGGGAAATGGGAGATTTGCCGTGAGAACGGCCCAGGGGGGGTATGATCCGGTTCTTCTTCTGGATTGATTCTTTTTTCTGCTGGCTAACAACCTATTTTTTTTTCCTGCTAACTTTTATTTTTCTGGAAGGGGGTTACATATTCTACATAGAGTACAGGAATTGGGCCTGCCTACATTAGAGTACTGAAGAGGAAGTGCAGCGAAGGGAATTTTTTTTTTCCTTTCTTACTTTCTTTTCTTCCTTCCCTTCGGTCAGCCATATTTGCATCTAGGCGAGAGAAGAATTCACGAAGAAGGTTCGCGATGGGGGGGGGGGGGTGGCCGGGGGGAAGGGGGAGGGTTGCAGAAAGCAGAGCACAGGTGGGAACTTATTCGCTGTCGTTTTTTTTTCTTTTCTCCGCACGCATGAATTGATTTTTTGCTTGGCCCTCGATATAGCTATTAACCTGTGGGAACATGTACTCTACGTCCAGTTAGTTACTGTTATGTACGAGTACTACTAGCTACCGGTTGCATGGTACGGCGGCGCTGTACCATGTACCATCCCACTTTTTTTTTATTTTATTTTTTTATTTTTTTATTTTATTTTTCTTTTCCGCCCACCGTCTGCTGCCACCCCCCCCTCCCCCGAGGGGGGTTTTTAATTATTATTTTTACCAACTAACTAGCCTACTATAGCTTTTTGGGGGAAGCTCTAGAATGTGGTTAGTTAGCATGAGTTTTATACCTACATACATTACATATGTAGCTAGGCTGGGGCTGGGCTGGGCTGGACTGAACTGGGGCCGAGTTGGCCATTTATGAGAGGTAGAGAGAGCATCCATCATGTAGAGAGAGGTCGAGTGCTTTTGCTTTACTCTACTTGCTCATGTAAGGCAGGTTAGAGTACATGGCATGGAAGTAAGGTACTCTCTAGTTAGAAGTCACCGATCTCCACCCATGTTAGTTATGTAGTTAGTTTTAGTTTTCGGTCCTGTCCTATCCCACCTGCCTGCCTGCCTACCTGCCCTGTTCTGTTCTGTCCTGTACCTGTCCTGTACTCACCTCCCTCCCCCCCGGTGTGTGGGAAAAAAAAGCGTAAATCTCCGCTTTCCATTGAACGATGTTACCTCTGCACCCCCCCCCCCCCCCAGTACCTACATACATACCTGACCTTCGACCCCCCCCTAGCACCCCCCTCACCCCCCCTCCCTCACCCCTCATCACCATCCCTCTGCTGCTGCTACTACTGTCCCGAAGGCCGCTCCAATTACTTTTCAGTGTAGTTGCCAGTCTAGTGGATTGGCTAGGATTGGATCGGGTGGTTGGATCTTTCTTTCTATCTACTGTATCTTCTATCTCTGCTCCTGTCTGCCTGCTGCTGTGCCATACGTTAGTTTGCCTGGTCACCCTCCCTGCTCCCTCTCCCCTCCCTTCGAGGAAACTGCCTTATAGACGCCGAGTCTGCTTGTCCCGATCTCGAAACTATACACTCGTTCTTCGAGAGGGCCTTGAGACTGCTTCTTTTTTTTTTTTTTACTCCCATTGCCCTTTTACAAGCCAACTTGTTCGAGACAGTACTACTTTGGTTGAACAGACCGCCGATATCGACATCCTCCTTCCCCCCACGCGCAATTTCACATAACTGCTATTTGCCAGTATCTGGTATAGCTTAAAGTCGAAGTCGAAGTCGATCATAGCTATTGGTTTAGCTAGCTCTTGTTCACAACAATTAGCACTCAATCCCATTACTCAATAACTCAATCCTCACTCCAGGGATCATCACCACCACCACCACCACCACCAACCAGCCAATCAATTCCGCCACCTCGGAGAAATAGACCCCCCCCCAAACAGCGATGCAATCCCTCATGAAGTTCCCCAACGAACTTCTCCTGCAAGTGTCCTCGGACCTGACCGCGCGCGACCTCAATGCCCTTTTGCGCACCAACAAATTCTTCGCCCGCCTGCTCACAACGCCGCTGCGCACCCTTGCCACCCAGGACGTCTACGGCACCCCCGCCCTCGTCTGGGCCGCTGACCGCGGTCACTACCCACTCATTGCCTACCTTCTCACCACGCCCACCGTGTGCGTCAATGCCGCGGACCCGCTCGGTGTCACAGCGCTCCACAAGGCGTCCATAAACGGCGACGCCGCTGTTGTCCGCCTGCTACTTGAGAATGGAGCGGATGTCCACGCGACAGAGGCAAAGATGGGCGCCACACCGCTACACTGGGCCGCGCTCTACGCACGAAGAGAGATCGTGCAGGTGCTTGTTGCGGCCGGCGCAGACGTCAACCGGGTCAGCGGCGTGTCAGCGCGCACCCCCCTACAGACTGCGTGTGTGGCGCGCCATGGGCTCGAGAGGCGCTGGACGCAGCTTCGCGGCGTGAGCGAGTGCATGGACATAACAGAGCTGCAGGAGCTACAGGAGCTGGCAGAGACGGCGGTGGTCGAGGTTGTGAAGGCGCTGCTGGCGCACGGGGCGCACACGTGGGTGCGCGACAACACGGGCAAGACGGTGCTACACCTCGCGGTCAGGCAGGTGGGCAGGTGGGGGCCCCATGGGAGCACGCTCCCCCAGGTGCTTGTCGAGGCGGGCGCAGAGATGGGCGTGCTGGACCACCTGGGGTGGACGGAGCTGCAGACGGCGGCGCTGTACGGGTGCGTGGGCGTTGTGCGGATGCTGTTGGAGAAGGGCGCGAAGATTGATGATGCGAACCCGGCGACGGCGCTGCACGTGGCGGTGCACTATGGGAAGGTTGAGGTTGTGAAGCTGCTGCTGGAGAAGGGCGCGGACGTGGATGTGCGGGACAGGAAGGGTAAGACGCCACTGCATGAAGCGGTTTTGGGCGCGCCGCCGGAGCTCAGGAGACTGTTGTCGAAGAGCAGGGTGGATGTTATTCAGAAGGCCAAGGAGGAGATGGTGGGATGCTACTGCGTCGGGGCGCCAGGGTCGATGCGGTGGATCCGAAGGGGAAGACGGCGCTGCATTATGCGGCGAGCGTGAGGGATGCGGTCACGGTGGGCATGCTGCTGGGGAACGAGGTTGAGCCGGCGGACGTCACGGTGAAGGATGAGAAGGGCCGTACGCCGAGGCAGTATGCGGAGGAGAATGGGTGGATGGGCGTGGTAGAGGTGTTGAGGTGCCGGGAGGAGGAGTTGGGCGTTGGTGGTGTTGATGAGGGTGTTATAGTTGAAGGCGGGGAGAGCAGTACTATCAGTAGCAGTAGCAGCAGCAGCAGCAGTAGTAGCAGCGGTAGTAGTGACGAGGGAAATGATAGCTAGGCGTTTTTTTCGACCTTTGGGTTTTTTTATCTGTTTTTTTAGTACTGTTTTTAGTACTTAGAGATTGGGCATGGTTTCTGGTTTCTGGGGTTTCTTCTTCTTCTTCTTCTCGAGATTGTTTATCCTTCTTCTTTTTTTTCCTCCTCTTCTTTTTCCGGACCTCATCTCTACATCCATCCATCCATCCATCTAGCTACGAAGCAGCAGCAGCAGCAGCGGTGGCGGACGTCCGGGCACATATATCATCTACCCGCCGGATCTTTCTCCCGCTCTCACTAGCTGGATGACTTTGCTACATGTAACCTCTATCTAGCTAGCTAGCTATGGATTGGTGGATTTGGGGGAGGGGGGGGGGGGTTGGTGCCGGTGTGAGATGTGAGAGAAGGGAAGGGAGTTTCGTTTTTTTTTTTTTTTTTTTTTTTTCTTTTCTTTTTCCCCCGCCCCCGTATCTCATCTCTTCAAGGGTGTGTGTTTTTTGTTATCTCTGTTTTTTTGTTTTTTTTTACTTTTTTTTTTTACGCTTTTTTTTTTTTTATTGGATTGGGACGTAAAGTTAATTAGCTAAGTGTGCCGGTGTGTGTGTGTGTGGTGTGTGTTTTTGTTTTTATATAATAGAGGGAAGATAGGGTAGCTAGCTAGGGGGGGGGGGGGGGAGGGAAGGGAGGGAAGGGAGGGGAGGGAGGGAAGGGAGGGAGATAGGTAAGTTGGTACATGGTAGGGAGGGCCCGGGCCGTGGCGGGGCGGGGGGGGGGAGGGTTAGTATATCATGGGTTATAACGTCATGGTGTTTTATTTTTTATATTTTTTATAAGATGGGATGGCATGGGGCCGGGGCACATGGGATGGATGGAAATAACGGGTTATTAGGTACGATGGAAATTTTATGGGTTGGTTAGAATATGGGGCGTTTTTATTTTTTTTTATTTTTTTTTTTCTGCTTCTTCTTTCGTATTTTTTATTTTTTTATTTTTTTTATTTTTGTTTACTTTTTATTTTTATTTTTATAGCTAGAGATGTGGCAGGAGATGAAGAGGAAGAGGAAGAGGAAGAGGAAGAGGAAGAGGAAAGGGAAAGGGAGCCTGGGGGCGGGTTTGTAATTAATTCTGTTTTGATTGAGCAGCTGCAATTGAAGAGAGAGGCCTAGGCCTAGGGGGGCCGGCGTGGTGCAAGCAAGACTTGGAAATATCTATGTTCGTTTTTTTTGCAGGGGTGTTATTTTTTTTTTTTTTTTTTTTTTTTTTGTCGCCATGATGATACATGTGAAATGAGGTGTGAAATGAGCATGAGTGAGGGGGAAATGTGAGTAAAAGTGCATGAATGTGAGCGAAAATGTGAGGTTGTGGAGGAGCACCTACCTGGAGGAGGACTCGAGGAGGGGAAGGAAGCTAAGCTCAGCTACCAGCTGCCAGCTACATGTACCTGCTAGCTATGTAGCTAAGAGCTAAGCTAAGCTCTAGACGGACACCTTGTTGGCTACATCATACATGTATCGATGGCGTAGGTAGATAGAGACGTAGAGCTCAGGTGAGAGCTCACAATGTAGGTAGGCACCCTACCCAGCTACGTATGTAGATAGTGAAGAAGTGTAGCTGTCAAACATCTTGTGTGTAGAGATTAGATCTACATAATGTAGATACACCCCCCGCATCCAGCCACTCGGAAGATAAGTGTAGAAAAAACCGGAACACCACTTTGATGATATGCAACACCGATAACGATCTCTGCAAGCACACCTTCCGGTACTTTTCTTCCCCTTGAACGCACCCCTCTTCTGCTTCACATACCTGGCTGCATAGACTGCATAGCATAGCATAGCATAGCATAGCATATGCCATGGTGTAGGGTTGGGTAGGGTCTGTAGGTAGATAGAGGAGGCACATGTATGTAGTGTCATGTGCCCTGTTCTACAGCTTCGACATCTACTCTAGAACGCGCGCACGAAAAAAAACAAGGAATCATCAGGCCGGCCGGTGGAACTGACAGCGAGCTGTGCTGTGCGGGCCGTTGTCGATGAGTGGTGCGATTCCCGACGTCGACGTCGACGTCTGCCCTAGGTACTCTAGCTTCCCTTTAATTCTTCCCCTCGATCGTGGTGTAGGAAGTGAAGTGGTGTTTTACCCGGTTGGCTGGGTTCGGCACTTTTTTTTGGGGGGGGGAGGGGGGGGTTGTTTCATTCATATCATGGCAGGTTGTGTGTGGTAGGGACGTTGGGTTTATTATCTTGACTTTGACTGAGGGGTTCGCCGTACTCTATGATGGATGGATTATCGTGGATATTTGCTTTTTTATTGATATGTCGTCAATATTGCTCTATGTAGCTTATCGTGGTGGTGGAACTTACCGGGGATGGATTCATGGGCCCTGGGATGTGGTGTGTGTAACCGTCGCACAAGGGCAGAAGGGCAACCCCACGTCATTTGCAGCCACAGACACATCCACTAATGAGAAACACCCCCCACCACAGCCACACACAGACACCCCACCTTGAAGAAGAACACACACCACCGCAGTATCTGAGATCTCATCTCCCCTTCCCCTTCCCCCCTCTCCCCCCACATCTCGAGTGAATCCCCCCCCCCAATCACACTCTCAGACAGAAACACCCCCCAAAACAGCCATGAAACAACGTTTCTCCTCTCTAGATCTGCAGGTAAGTCAACAGTCCCCTCCTCCCCCCCCTCCCCCAACTACAGCACCCCCCCCCCCAACTACAGCACCCCCCCCCCCAACTACAGCACCCCCCCCCCAACTACAGCACCCCCCCCCCCCAACTACAGCACCCCCCCCCCACTCACACCCCACCAGGTGATAGCCCACGAGCTCTCCACAACCCTCACCCCCTCCCACCGCCTCACAAACATCTACGACATCACCACGCGCATCTTCCTCCTCAAGTTCTCCAAGCCCAGCAGCAAGCACCTGCTCCTCATCGACTCTGGCTTCCGCTGCCACCTCACCACCTTTGCCCGCGGCACCTCGCCCAAGCAGTCCCCCTTTGTCGCAAAGCTGCGCAAATGCCTGCGCACGCGCCGGTGCACGGCCGTCCGCCAGGTTGCGTCGGACCGCGTGCTGGAGTTTGTCTTCTCCGAGGGCGCATACAGGCTCTACCTCGAGTTCTATGCCGGCGGCAATGTGGTGCTCGTGGACCGGGAGGGAACCATTGTGGCGCTGCTGAGAGAGGTGAAGGGCGGCGAGGGCGGCGTGGGCGAGTGTCGGGTCGGCGCAAAGTATGAGGTGTCGACGCGGGCTGCGGAGGGCGCGCTGAGGGAGAGGATTGTCGCGGCGCTGGAGGCATCTCTGGAGACTGAGGATGCGGTGGCGACGACGACAACGACGTCCCTGCCGAGTCAGGGTGCGGGAAGAAAGTACAAAAAGAAGGCGAAGCGGAAGGGCGGCGATGAGACGGTCAAGAAGGTGCTGTCGGCACGCATGCCCGAGTTTGCACCGGCGCTGATTGAGCACTGCTTCCGCACCACGGGCGTGGACGTGGATGTCAAGGCCGAGGATGCCCTGGCGGACGAGGAGACGCTCGACGGCGTGGTGAGGGCGCTGGAGGCTGCGGAGGGGATGATAAGGGATATCATGGCCGACGTCAATGGCACGGGCATCAAGGGCTACATCATCGCCAAAGCACCCCGCGCACCGGCCGAGAACACGGGCGGGTACAAGAAGGACAAGGCCGCCGACAAGAAGAAGAAGAAGGGCGTTTCCTTTGGCGGCGGCGGCGGCGACGACGAGCTCGAGGCGCAGCAGCAGCAGCAGAGCGCCTTCAGCACCACCGAGGCCATCGAGTCCGAGCAGCCGGAAAAGGTCCAGGAGGAGGGCGAGGCGAAGGGAATGGTCTACGACGACTTCTTCCCCTTCCTCCCCATCCAGTATGTCAACGCCCCGGGCATCAAGACCGTCGAGTGCCACGGCTACAACACAACCGTCGACTCCTTCTTCTCCTCCATCGAGTCGCAAAAGTCCGACTCGCGCATCACAACAATGCGCGAGAACGCCGTGAGGCGCCTCGACGCCGCGCGCACGGACCATAACCGCCGCGTCGAGGGCCTGCGCACACTCCAGGAGATCAATACGGCGAAGGCGCAGGCGATCGAGGCGAACCTGGACCGTGTCGAGGAAGTCATTGCGAGCGTCAATGCACTTGTGGCAAAGGGGATGGACTGGGTCGCGATGGGCCAGCTCATTGGCGTGGAGCGCAAGCGCGGGAATCCCGTGGCCGAGCTGATTAAGCTGCCGCTGAAGCTGGCGGAGAACACGGTGACGGTCACGCTGCCGGAGGTGAACTACGACGACGAGGAGGACGAGGAGGAGTCTGACGACTCGGCGGACGAGACGGACGAGGAGGGTGATGACGATGCCGCCGCGCCCACGAAGCCGAAAAAGGCGGCCAAGACGCTCGATATCGACATTGACCTGTCGCTGACGGGATACGCCAACGCGTCCTCGTACTTTACGCAGAAGAAGGTTCTCCTCGTCAAGGAGTCCAAGACCATCCAGTCGTCGACCAAGGCGCTCAAGTCCACGGAGAAGAAGATCCAGACGGACCTGCAGAAGGCGCTGAAGCACGAGAAGGACGTTCTGCGCCCCGTGCGCGCCCAGCACTGGTTCGAGAAGTTCCTCTTCTTCATCTCCAGCGACGGCCTCATGGTGCTGGCCGGCCGCGACCTCCAGCAGAACGAGATCCTGTACCGCCGCTACTTCCGCCGCGGCGATGTGTATGTCAGCGCCGACATTGAGGGCGCCGCCATGGTCGTGGTCAAGAATGATCCGAAGACGCCGGGCGCGCCGATTCCGCCGAGTACGCTGGCGCAGGCGGGGACGCTGGCGGTGGCCACGAGTAGGGCGTGGGATGCGAAGAGTGGCATGTCGGCGTGGTGGGTCGCGCATGAGCAGGTGGGGAAGATGGTCAGAGGGGAGTACCTGGACACGGGCCGGTTCGAGATCAAGGGCGCGAAGAACTTCTTGCCGCCGGCGCAGCTGATACTGGGCTTTGGCGTCATGTGGTATGTGGATGAGGAGAGTCGCCGGCGGCACGGGAAGCACAGGCTCGGGGAGGAGGAGAAGGAGAAGAAGGAGCTGGAGGATGCTACCGCCGCTGCGGAACCGGCGGGCGAGAACGCGGATGGGGCTGGTGATGGCAGTATGGTCAATGTGGACGACGATGATGAAGATGAAGATGCGGCCGGGACTGAGGCTGAGGAGAGTAGCGACGAGGAGTTTCCCGACGCACAGATCGAGTCTGCGGGCGAAGAAGAGGAGGAGGTGCAAGAAGAGGCTGAGCCCGATACCGATGCCGATGCCAATGCCGAACCCAAAGCCCAAGAGCAAGACTCGGAACCCGACGAAGACGATGACCGCACCACCACCACCGACAGAGCCGACACCCCTTCGGGCAGCAAACACATGTCCGCCAAAGACCGGCGTGAGCTGCGCAAAGCCCGCCTCGGCGGCGGCGGCAACAGCGGCCCCACCAGCACCGACATCACCGCCAAGGCCGCACCCCCGAAACCCGCACAAGTGCGCGGCAAAAAGGGAAAAGCCAAAAAGCTCGCGACCAAGTACGCGCACCAGGACGCCGAGGACCGCGCCCTCGCCATGTCGCTGCTGGGCTCCGCGGCCGCCGCAAAGGCCGACGAGTCGGCGGCCACAAAGGCGGCGAAGGAGGAGGAGGCGGCGTTCCAGAAGGCGCGCAGACGCGAGCAGCATGCGCGTGCGGCGCGGGAGGCGATGATGGCGGAGGAGGCGAGGCTGCGCGATGATGATGATGATGATGAGACGGTGAGTGTGCCGCTGGATGCGTTTGTGGGGACGCCTGTGGCGGGCGATGTGTTGCTGGATGCGGTGCCGGTGTGTGCGCCGTGGGGCGCGATGGGGAGGTTTAAGTACCGTGTGAAGATGCAGCCGGGGACGGTGAAGAAGGGGAGGGCGGTGAAGGAGATTTTGGGGAAGTGGGTGGTGGAGGGGGAAAAGAAGAGGGGTGTGGATGGGGGGGAGGGGATGTGGCCGGCGGAGAGGGAGCTGATTAAGGGGTGGAGGGAGGCGGAGATTGTGAGTGTTCTTTTCTCCTTTTGCGTTTTTGGGTTTTGGTTTTTTTGACTAATGAGGGTAGATCAACTGCGTGGGGGTCTCGAAGGTGAAGATCTTTTCGGCGGGCGGTGATGCGGCGGCGGATAGGAAGAGGGGCCCCGGTGGAGGCGGCGGCGGAGGTAAGAGGGGCGGGAAAGGGGGGAAGAGGAAGTAGTGTACTGCGGAGTAGATGGCTTGGATGGATACTGTATATAGTCCTGTCACTGGAGGTATTCTCATAGAGGAAATCAAGGATACCAGGAGAATGAGATACTGCATGTTCCTTTCTCTGGGTTTGTGGGTGCTTGATGTGGAGATCCAAATAAAAGAACCATAGCTATGTACATTGAGTTGAATTAATTGAGAAATCGTGAGTGGTTTTGTTGTTGGGCAATTCCTTCATGGATTCTCACTCGCTTGTGCTATAGCTGGCAGTGTTGATAATTCACTAATTGTCTTACAGTATCAACATATATCCACATCCAGCGTGCAGTGAAAAACAACAGGGCTCGTGGGCTTTGCTCGTGATCCGACTCGATTATGGTATAAATGGTTTATTGGTTCCTTGAACCAACCGCGGAGGGAAGAGATGTATGATGTGGCCAGGTACGTGTGAAAATGGCTCTTTAGGTAATCTTAAGTTGTATAAAGGTAGATTCCACGGCTCGCCCGCGCGTGGCGGGCTGTGTGTTTCTCTCGGCGGCAAAGGTCAGCAGCTACATGTTGTAGGGACGTCGCGGGTGTGTGCACAGTGTTTTGGATGCGTGTAGGGAGGTCATGGCCAAGGTGTCTTTTGGCCATTATACCCCATGGCTCCCTCTCCTTCCCTCTCCATCCTTTCTCTTTATCATCACCGTCATCGCCTCTATCTATGAATAACATCGCTAAAACAAACGGTTTACAATCGTTGGAGTTCTCAACGGTAAAATGACGAACGGGCTTTATTGAGGTTTCAACACCGAGGGCATAACTCCTTGGCTAGCTGACTATACGTACTTTGGAGATAAAGCAATTAATTTCTCACTATAAGGTCGATGTTATCTATAAGGATGTTGTCTATCCTCCGAAAGCGATAATTCTCTATAAGGATACAGAGGGTCCGATCTGGACCGTATCCTTATATATAGCGAGAGCTTGATATAGCAGGAGTTACTTGCTCCACCAAGACAGCATTTGAGTAACTCGTTGTTGATGGAACCTGCCGACCTCTTTATTGTATGTCCCTCAAACCCATGAAAGCGTGACAATCTAATCTGAAAAATGTGTGACACCTGGTCTGTCACACTCCGCAGATGGAATTGGCCTGACATAGTTCGTTTGGCCCCACAGCAAACTGAGCCGCAGTATTTAAAAAAGAACTCAATATCAAAAAATAGCGATATTTGGGGTTTCTGCAGTTGATCAATATTTAGTGTCTGCTGGGGGGAAAAAATGAAGGGGAAAAAAATGGGCGGTTATCGTATCGCAAACCCCTGCATAGAAGATGGCGGTTGGCCATCGGTGCCTCCTATGGATCAGATATCTCTCTTCTAGATATTCTAATAGGGAAATTCTGGAAGGTAGTAGTTATCACCATGCATGCATTGAAGCTAGACCTGGTAAGAGGAAATCGAGGCTCATATTTCGACTAGCATATTATCAGAGCACTGACCACCAGCCGTTTGACATCGCGGCCCTTGGAATCTCAAACCCTTGTGGATTTTTAAGCGATATCGGCACCGTAGATTAAAACCCCAGAGTGTTAATCTTCGGGTTGTCGTCACCTACATGTATGAATGTAACCCGATTTACTCATCACGGATCACTCGGCTTGTTAGCACCTGGCAAGAGGCGGTGGAGGCTCCGCTCCGTCTTGGCATTATATCGGCCTTGGCATGGACTACTTCACGATAGAAAAAACCTCTAGCCTCTAGGTATGCATGGCATGCTATTCTTTGTGGGGCACCGGGGCCTGATTCTCCCGTCGGAACAGTTATATGGGCGCCCATTATACTACATACATATATGGAGCCGACTACTAACGCGTTTAACTGGTTGGCGATTGATGAATTTGTCTACGTAACCGCATGTGTTCCTGGGTGCGTTATTTTACCACTCAGTCGAAACGGCAAAGGCAACGTCTACTGAAGACTCCAAAGATTTCTTGGCTTGCAAATCTCAATCTCGGTAGAATTATTTGGATTGTTTGGTAGTAGGCTCATCTAAACAGCACAAGAGTACGCACACAAGCTAATAATTATGACACTACGTTATATAAACGCCAATATAGTATTATATGGCTGAAAATCGAAGCACCGAGCTAGTTCAGTTAGCGAGCTTCTGGTTATATTAATTGACAGGAAATATCGCAAGCCAATCATAGCATGGGGACTATACATACAGTTATCGGTCCACCAATAATGCCGGTATCATAACTACAGAAAAAGAACTATATCTATACCGAAAGTTTCTATCCACCGGGGTATTGTTGGGCCGCAATATTGGAAGTGACGTCAGCACCTCTCCGGTACCAGCCTTTGTTGTGTCTGGACAGCCACACACTTGCGATATTAGTGCAAGCCTGGAAATCATAGAATATCACTCGCTATTGCCGCCTGCCAGAAAACTGATAATCAGGATATTTTAAAATATAATTTACTAAAATGGATCGATGCCGGATAGCTCTGCACTATCTACCGCATATCTACGCTGCCATATTTATTACTAATGTCAACTTATGGAGCGGGGTTAAAGAGCGGAGCAAACCACGATCTGAGCAATCATCCCCACTGGGCATTAAGATGCAACAAGAAATCTCCAGATCTTTGGATCAACAAATTTCAATATATGTGCAATAAGGGTTGGTCACGTTGGGATCTACTAACTCAGACGGTAGCCTGCTAATGTGCGGGGCCCTCTTGTCATGGGTATATATATGCAGACTACTATGCAGCACTTATTGATTTGTGGAAATATGTAAGCGCACGGGTCAGAGTTTCAAGGTTTAGAATTCCCCCCCAATTCAATTTCGCCATTCTCCTAAATGATGTCTACCCCACTCTTGATCAGGGTGACTATTCTAGCAACAACAACTACTACATAAAGATACGAATAAAGAAAAGAAATATAAAATAAAAGATAGACATGACAGAAACTGTCTAGAACCTCCTAAAAATCCACCTATGTGAAATGATGGATACGGTAACCTAGTTCATCATGCGGGTTATGGTGGTCGGCGGGGTACTCTTGATCACAACCGGAACAGATTGTCCCTGAGAGGTTCCGTCCGAGTTCCACTTCAAGACCCACAAATCCTTCTGATCGGTAGGCTCGGCCCAGAACTTTGCATCCATACTCCCAGAAGATCCTTGGTACATAACACTTTGTCCGTAAAAGAGGAAACCAGAGGCGGTGGCGCCGGTGGGGAGGTCGCTGGTGCTGTTGACAAAGCCAACAGAGTCAAAGGCACCGCTGGTGGGGTTGATGTACAAGAATGGGGTGGTGCTCCAGGTGACATCGGTAGTGTTGGGTTTGGCAGCCCAGGTGGAAGAGTCGGAGGTCTGAGGGGTGACTGCGGAGGGGGTAAGATTTAGCCTGAAGAAACAAAGGAAAACGGGTGTAAACACTTACAAGTGACATTCACACTTTCATAGGTGAGATTGACTGGGGGGGCATTGCCAATGTAAGCGATTCCTAGAGTGAGGGTATGTTAGGACTATTGTTACTACTAACTACTACTAGTACTGGCATGATTCTAAAGCAAAGCAATAAGATACAAAGACAGAAAGAAAAGAAAGAAAAGACAAACCGTCTCCGTAGAAGACGGGAAGACCACTGATGTTCTTGTTGTAAGCGTAGAGGCCGAAGGTGGTATCGGTGGTTTGACGCTTGACACTACCGATGGCAGCAGCGGAGACAATCTCCAAGCCGATGAGAATGGCAGACAAGAATGAGCTCTTTGAAAACATGTTGACGATATGAGAGTAAGTAATAGAGAGTGGACGAGTTGTTTAAAAAAGGTTTAGTTGGCAGCAAGAGGGAAGAGTAAGGATAGTGAGAAGTTGAAGAAGTCGCAGACTTTGAAAGAGTTATTTGCTGGTGAAATATATTATGCACAAGAGAGAATAAAGCCCCATTTTAAAGAGGTATGTGATGCTCGAATTTCAAGTTTTTTTTTCCATCCTCTAGTTTTACTGAACTCGTCGGCACTGACGCGTTTACGGTCCGATTGCCCTCTCCAGCTGAAGGGGGTAAGCAGGCAGGCAGACACAACAACAAGTGCAACAGGTATTCCCACTATCATTCCTCTTTTCTCTCTACTGTCTAGTATTGCCGGCATGGGGTCTCGGGTAATGATTTATTGCCATTGAATATACTGCCCCACTAATCTGATCCGGCTTCCAATCCGGTCTACAATTTACTATAGAAACCCGTAACGGTGGTAAACTGGCCTAAACCTGAAACGATTGGGGCATTCGTCACCTCACAGTCGTAATAGCAGCGCAATGGTGGGAAGGCATCCAAATCCAAACATTCTGGAAGGGAAAGAGACTGGGGGGGGAAGGGTCGAATCCTGGCCAAGGCCGCGTGGTTCTTGATTCGGCCGCAGTAATATTTCACTCGGATTAGTCTTACCCCTTTTCGGGTATGGATAGTAATTTGCAAAACCCCTGTCTTACTTGTACTTGTATGTCTTACTTATCTCTAGCCCTGGTACCCGGCTTAGCAACGACCAGGAGACATAGGGTACGTACTTGGACAAGGTCTTTAGACTTGGCTCGACTCTCTTCTTCTCCTCTCCCCTGGAGCTAGTCAATTGGAATCTTGTACCTGCAGTAGGAACTTCCCGTTGTTTCCTTATTGGGCATGGTAGGATACGTGGGATTGGGACCGTTAATGCCAAGTGGATTACCGACTACTAATTGACTTCATGCTAAGATTTAGTTACCTGCAGGAACGTCCCGCCCCCGATAACAGTTACAACGCCTTGCTGGTGACAGGTCTAAGCCATCAATTCAAATCAATACCGACGATCACACTCTACCTCTGGGGATATTACATAAATTGAATTGCCCGGTACCCGCAATTACTATCCTTTTGGTGATCAGTGCGGCTTCTACAGAACCCCAAGGGGGTATGCCTCTTTCTATACAGTGTATCTAAGGCCATCTCTTGCTCAATGCGTTTCCAGAAGGAGTTTATGACTCTATGGTAGGGGGAATTGATGGGTACGTTGTTTCTATATCTGTCACCTTTAGGCAGTACCCTGAGAGTAAAGAGGATGCCTTGCCTATAATGGAGATCTTATATGTATATCAGACATGGGAACACTGCTCCCTCTGTAGCCAGCAGACAGAAAAACAACATCTCGGCTGGAGTTATCATGATGAATATGAAGTGTGACGATACGACTCTCCTTGTACGACTGATACGTGGACAAACAAGTACCTGGATAGGTAGGAGGCATATACATGTTGGTATGCTTCTTTATCGCTTCGGCAAGATTTCATAACGTACCATTGCGTACTATCCAGAGTCTGGGATAGCTGACGATATCGCACGAAAAGAAAGGGGGTCTTGTGACTACCTTTCTGGTAGGTGGGGCCTGGATTGAACATCTAGATCTAGAGAGATGGTCAAAAGCATAGACTCTCACTCGGGTATCACTCAAAGGTCGGCCGAGAGTCCGTATCCCGTCTTAACGCCACTTAGTGCCAAAAAGCTAGGCATTGCGTGCGAGGCTTCGTGATCGTGAAGACTGGGCGAAGAGGAGGGAAAAAAAAATCCCATACCCGTTACAACCGTAGAGGAGGTTCGTGAGTATTACTGCCGATCTTCGCTTAACAGAAGCCTCTATTGAAACTAGCGTGGCGGGGTTAGGGGGCGGGGGGGTGAAGTATTCCAGTTTAGAAACCCGCAAAGTAGTCCAATGACTGCATGTAAACAGCTACTAGGGGCCTTGTACTTTAGCATGTTATGACATGTAGTTAGGGCGCGCACGGGTAGGAAGGAGGGTGGTGATGGCGGGAAGGGGAGAATTGACGACATGTAAGCCCATTTTCAGTAATATGTCAATCACTAAACAGAACGAAAACGACGTCCGCATAGCTGAGGATACGCGGCCGACTCGCATCTACGGACAATTATAACACTTTTTTTTTTTTTTGTCCGTTTTCATTCGGGTTCAGGTTCGGGAATAGTTACTTGCATAGACCCGAGATATTTGGGTATCTCTGTAGTAGTTAGTACTTGTATATGGAGATATTTTTTCTATAATACGGCCTCCAGTCTCCCCCAATTTCTGATAAAAAAAAATCATCCGCTATCACTTCCACCTTCTCTTCACTACCACCTTCCCTTTACACCCTCTTTCTTCATTCTCTTCTCTTTTTTACTTTTCTTTCCTTCCCACATTTATATTCAATTCACTCACTCTTTCACTCACTTTCATCTTGGCCACCAATTGATCATGGGTATCATTTCTCGTTTTGCACTCCTGGGTGCACTGGCTCTTGGAGCAATCCAAGTTCAGGCTGCACCTCTTGAGGCTTCGAACTTGATCAGCAAGCGTTGTGTCAATTCTGCCACCGACAGGTCCTGCTGGGGCGATTATGATACTTCGACCGATTATTACAATGAGGTCCCTGATACTGGTGTTACTGTTGAGGTATGGGATATCTAATATGTTGATATGGCTGTTAGAGACTGACATTTGGGATATTTAGTACTACTTTGATCTTGTGAACACCACGGCTTCGCCGGATGGGTATGAGAGACAAGTTCTTCTCATCAACGGATCCTTCCCGGGCCCTACCATTGAGGCCAACTGGGGTGATACCGTTGGTAAGTGATAATGATAATGGGTTCTTACTAGATGTCCAAAATACTAATGATTTTAATTAGTTGTCCATGTCACAAACAGTCTCACAAATAATGGAACCGGTATCCACTTCCACGGTATCCGCCAAAACTACACCAACCAGGCGGATGGTGTTCCCTCAATCACTCAATGCCCCGTCGCTCCTGGTGAGAGCACCACATACACCTGGAGAGCCACTCAGTACGGTACCACCTGGTACCACTCCCACTTTGCCCTCCAGGCTTGGGAGGGTATCTTTGGTGGTATCATCATCCACGGTCCTGCCACTAGTAACTACGATGTAGACGCCGGTATCATGTTCCTTAACGACTGGTCTCACCAGACTAGCGATGCTCTCTACACTCAAGCTCAGACCGGAGGTCCTCCAACTCTTGACAATGCGCTCATCAATGGTACCAACGTCTATGATAATGGTGGTTCCCGCTTCGAGATGGAGTTTATATCTGGAACAAAGTACTTGATCCGTCTGGTCAATGGTGCTATCGACACCCACTTCAAGTTCTCAATTGATGGCCATAACATCACTGTCATCTCCATGGACTTGGTTCCAATTGTCCCTTACACCACCCAGGTCCTCAGCATCGGTATTGGCCAGCGTTACAATATCATTGTCGAGGCCGACCAAGCCACCGCCGACTACTGGCTCCGCGCTATCCCGCAGACCACCTGCTCCGACAATGATAATACCGACAACATTCGTGGTATCATCCGCTACGACTCTAGCAGCACCTCGGACCCCACCACATCTGCCTACACCCAAACCGACGACTGTGACGATGAAGACCTTACCAACCTTGTCCCCTACGTCTCCAAGACCGTCGGCTCCCAGGATGACGGTGACGACCTTGCCGTCACTATCGGCAAGGTCGGCAACCTCTTCAAATGGTACCTCGGCGGCACCACCATGGCCGTTGAATGGGCCGATCCCACGCTTCTCCAGGTCTACAACGGCGAATCCAACTGGGCCGACCAGTCCGGTGTCATCGAGCTCGCCACTGCCGACGAGTGGGCCTACTTCATCATCGAGACCACCAACACCGTTCCTCACCCAATCCATCTCCACGGCCACGACTTCTTCGTCCTCGCCCAGGGAACCGGTACTTATGCCGACACCGCCCCTACCCTCAACACGGCCAACCCCCCGCGTCGTGATGTGGCCATGCTTCCGGGTGGTGGATACCTGGTGCTCGCTTTCCAGACCGACAACCCGGGTGCCTGGCTCATGCACTGCCATATCGGATGGCACACAAGCGAAGGCTTTGCCCTCCAGTTTGTGGAGAGGTATGATGAGATCAAGACGCTCATTGACTATGACAGCTTGAACGATACCTGCACTGCTTGGTCGTCCTACCAGACCGCGGTCGGACTTGAGGAGGATGACTCTGGTGTCTAAATGTCTTTTATTATTTCCTTTATATTTTTATCTGGGAGTTGAGAGGTGAAAGAAAGGGTGGGGGTTCTTTTTTCTTTTTTTCTTTGGTTATTATACATTCCTTTATTTTTGCGGGGAAGTAGAGTCGAGTTGTGGTGGTTGATTGATTGATTCGCGGGGTGGAAGTGCGCGCATACATTTACTTTATTTTCCTTTGTTTGTTTGTCTATCTCACAGTTCACAGTCAGTTTGTTCGAGAGGTTGTGGAAAGGCAAGAAAAAAAATTGAACTCGTTTCAAAACAAAAATCATACCCCCATGGGGTTGACAGCTGTAAGAAAAGACGTTCATGGCATGTAAGAAAATCTCCAGTCCTTACCTTAGTTGTTTTTCATAGTGTTTAAATTTATATATATCGCAAACCATCATCGTTCCATGTTCTTCAAACATTTCCAGATCTAAATTCGGATCCAGATCCAGACCGCGCACAGACAGAACTCCAACTGTCGTTTGCTTTGCCTAGCTAGCTAACGGCGGGTAGTATACCGGCCTATCCATGTGTAGGGTATCTTGACTTGTGGAGATAGAGAGAGCCTTTGCTGACGTTGTCAGTTTAGTTTAGTACCCCAGCCAGGGTGGTTGTTTAGTGGGTAGTGCAGTGGTGGGAAGTCAACGTTTAGACCCTGGACCCTTGGAGGACATACTACCCTTACTTGAACCTCAAAACTTCCAATCCGCCGAGATGGGTAGAAGCGAGCTGTAACTAGAACAGTGGCTTCTTAAGCGTCGTGGTTGCTTCTTTTTTTAGTTTTGGTTTTAGTCTTTAAGAACTCCTCTCTTAAAAGTAAGTTGAATGTCGGTGTTGGGTAATACCGGTACCAAGCCTAGGTAAATACATCTCAACTCCACAACAGTTCAACCGAACAAACCGTCACTAACCCATCTCCCTACTCAGAAATGTTATACTCCACAGCCAAACAGCACCCATTGAATACTACAACTACAGATCTCTCCAAACATCCTCTCTAAGTACTGCAGAGCCAGTACCTACCCGAGCACCCAGGACCCCCCATGCTCACGCCCCAATGACATCTACCAAGCGAGGATTCATCATGACACCAATTGACCAGGGCTTCAATGACATCGGCTCGTCCCAATCGAGCTTGTTTTCCATTGCCATACGTTTCCATCCCAACCCTGACCCTGACCCTGACAAACGGTCATCCCGGGATGACGATGTTTCAACGGCCAGGGTCCAAGCGGAAAAACTCAGCCGGAAAAACTCAGTTAGCGGGGCGTGGCATTCGCTCCGAGCCTCCCTTCCCGCGGCGCAGTTGACAGGCCCTGGCGCGGATCCAAGCCAAGAGAGGCTTAAGTCTATCCCTACAGCCCTATGGCAGAATAGATCACCGTCTCTTTTTGCCGCCGTGGGGTGAGGTGAGGGCGGGTGTTTTTTTTTTCGTGGTGCATCAGAAACGAGGGCTCTGTCCGAGTCGTTCCGTCGGTGTGCATGATGTATGTAATAACCACATGGTAGGTCTCCTGCTTCAGGGACTTTGAAGGTCGGAGTGTTCGGTGGAATTTCCGCCACGAGTATTAATATGACGGGGAGTTTCGCGTTCACATCCGGGGTCCTACGGAGTATTTAATCGACAAACAGTTGAAGTCATGCGGATTAATCAGATAAACCACATATGTACATACTGCACGACGCAAAAGAATTACACGAGCTCATCTTTTTGGTAATTCCCCGTTACCTGTTTCGATTCTAAAGCGAATACACACAATGCTACTGCAAGATATAAAAAGGAAAAATAAAAGCCATTCAACCCAACCCCTCCATCATATTCGTCGTTTTAAAAACAGAATCATATCAACAACAACGAAATGGTCATTACAAGCATTCTAACAGTGTAACTTGGTGGTACGAACAGATAGACTCTTATGCTTCGAGAGCTCGCAACTTCCTAGTCATGCTATATTGGGATTCACGATTAGTTTCGCAGCAATGAATCATGTAAGGGTGAGGATAGACTTACAATTCAAAGAAAGCAAATTGAGTTGGGTTACTTCCGAATTCATATACAAACCTGGAGGCCAAGTAGCTTCCAAAAATGCTCCTGAGGTAGTTTAATGGTACCCTGGTAAGGATGACATCGAGGCCGATTTTCTCAATTAAGCTGGCTGGGAGAGCATCTTTGAGGACACTAGTTCTGAGTGGGATATTGTTCCATAGCTCAGTTTGCTGGAGCTCCTCATCGAGTTTTGTGATCGCCAATGAGAGCTCATCAGACAAGATTGAGCGTGGCTTCCCAGTCTCCTCAGCTTCACGCCATAAGGCTTCGAATTCGAGATGTGCGTTGTTCTGAATGGTCTTTTGCACCTCCTTGACGTAGGTTTTATAGAATTCTGGAGTGACACCGTCGCGGACGCACATGTTCTCGATGAAACCGGCATCATCAAAGGCAAGTGACGCAAGAACCTCCATGGACGAACTTGTCACACCACCCTTGTTGGCACTAGCATCCTTGTATAGGATAGTGCCCGCCTTCTCGAGTCTCAACTTGGCGTCCTGGGAGATGAAAAGGTTCGCTCCTTCAACAATGAAGGGAATGATACTCTTTCCATCTTTGATCAGTTGGCCAACGTTGCCCAAATCGATAGCTTCTGGTCTTCCACCGCAGGGCACGAAAACATCATAGTGTACATCACTTCGGAGGTGGAAGGTGTTTCTGAAGATCGTACCGTTTGTAACGATCTCGCCACTTGGTAGAGTAACGTTGACGTCCTCCACAAGAACACGGTAGCCTTCGGGGATAGCTTGGAAATGTCAAACTCTGAGATCATGAGACGCTCCCTGGCAAGACGGAGAAGCTCTTCATGATTCAGACCCTTAGGATCGACCAGTACACCAGAACCATCAACAATCGCGCAATACTTCTCGTTACTCAGCAGGATCTCGTTAGACCCTAAATCACCATCAGGTCCACCAGTTTGTAGCTTCATCATTTTGGAGGGATCGAGGTTCAATTTTCTGTAGATACCGAGAACGTATTCGCGAACACTGAGGGATGTCATTCCATACTCGTCGTGAGGAATACCGCCCAGACTAGGACTCTTTCCGGTGAAGAAGGATTTCCAGAAAGGAGCACCTCTGACCCTGGCGTGCTCGGTCGCCCAGTCCACAAGCCCGGCGGTGTTCTCATCAGGTCCCATGAACAGGATTTCGGGCTCTTTGTGGAGATCAACGATAGGATCCTTGATTCCGGGACTGTTTGGCTCAAGGAGAAGATCGAGAACAGAGTCAATGTACTTCTGGAAAGCACTCGTGGCCTTATCCTGATGATTGGCATCCAATAGAATGACACCTTTGCTTCCACCTTCGGGGATATCTTTATTCTTCCGTTGTTGAGTGTTTGCGAGGTTATAGTTCTCGTCAAAAACTGAACGAGCGTTAATTGTGTACGCTTCTCTGTTCCTGCTCTTGACAATTCGGATACCACCGCGAGCAATATCTCTGAATCTCAGATGGAACCCTCTAAACTCTGATCCGATGACCAAAAACATCCCGAACAATGGTTGAGGGTATTCAACAGTGGGAAGAAACTTGGGGTTCAGTCTGAAACTTAACGCTACCTTGGTAGGGGTGTAAAAGTTGGTTTTCAACACATTCTCATTGAAGGTAATGAAATATTGCATGACCTTTTCTTGGTGCTCATTGCCGACAGTTCTAGAAATCTTCGTCTTCAATTCACTGTTTGTCAAAACTCGATCCACTTGCAGACGTTGGTAACTGAGAGTCGGAATGAAATCATCCTGCTCCCCACGAGTCTGTACATAGTGTGCATTGGCAAATGCCAAGTATAGAGCGCGAACAAGTTCAGGGTGTTCATTGATGATCTCATAAATGTAATCAGCAGTAAAGGTCTCTGTACGAAGACGGCGCTTAAGCTTGTTGAGAGTGTCTGCATGGACACTGTTGTTGGGATCGAGGAGCTGAGAGACGGCGGTGTACTCTGTTCCCAGCCTATTCAAGAAATGACCGACAAAATGACAAACACAGTGCGCATATATAGTCTCCTGCAAGCTCAATCTTCCGCTAATGAAGTGTGCCTGGAACATATTTTGAGGAATGCAATAAAGCAAGCTGACTTCCTTCATTATCTGGTAGATTGAAGCCTCGATAGGAGGATATTTTGAAGGGTTAAGTTGGGTGTTTAGTGGTAAGGGTCGCAAGTAGATGGACATAACAGTTACACCATTGGAAAATTGTTCTATCAATTTATCAGCAACCAGTCAGAATATTTTCTTTCGAGTGTAACCATACCAACATATTTTCTGGCTGAAGTGCATCCATAATAATGGTATAAGTCGCTCAGCGCAGAAAACAACCCCATTGAACTCCCCTGTTTGAAACCGATAACAAGTCTCTTCTCTCTGGTTCCCTGAACCTCAAACATCTCAATAACGGGCCCAGTCCTCTCAATAACTGCTTTGACCACATCTTGGTAGACACCTTTTGTGTTTGGGGTGACTTTTTGCAAAAAGGACTTGTCCGAAACAACGTCCAGGTCGGATTCTGTAGGGTCCGGGTTAGGGTTTACAAAGTCACACTTGTACACGAAGTAGCAACGTAGTTGTTGGTTTGTAGATGTAAGTTGAGATGATGAGCGGAAAGATTCGACACGGTACGCCTTCTCGGGGTTGGAAGGGTTCAGGTATTTCTCATCGATACGTTGCTCGTACTTCGGACCAGAAAGAACTGTTATACCCGGAGTAGATGTATCGATGTATACGGCATGATCTAGAATCGTTAACTCGTGTATTCCTTAAAATGTGCCTGAAAACCTACCTTCCGCTTCCCTATCCAAGCGGATTTCAAGGCGTTTATCATCCCTAGAGAATGCTGCAACTTTCCCGGCATACAAGGAGAGAATATGGTTGACAATTGTTTCCTAAGGAAATAAAACCAATTTTATGTCAATGCAGTTCAAAACAAATCTAATTATTGATGAAACAATGGTTAGGTCTTACAGGTGCCTCGGACTGGAAGTACATGTCTAAAAATCAGTTAGCTCAATTGTTGCCTCAAAGGATTAACTAAATCAATAAATTTTGCAAATACTCACCATCAATTCCAAGAGAAGTGTAAAACCACTTAGTCTCGTTCTCAACGAACTCTGGAGGAATAAAACCCTTCTCCTCCAACAAATCCATCACTGAGAACACATCGAATCAGCAATGCATTTAATTTCACAATGAAATCAAAGAGTGCAGCGAAGGCTATTTACCAGTTTCCATCTGCTTCTCTCTTCCTTCGAAGACGGGAGCGACATATCCCGAGGCGTCATCCTTCAAAACCCGTTGGTTATGTTTTCCTTGGATGCTCAAATGGGTCGGGTGGGGGCTGGGAGTATTGAATCGTGCAATATCCGCATGGGTTCCGAGGTTTGTGGGTGCCATTTTGCGTTAAAGTTGCTAATATTGATGAAGGTAGTACTTTGTTGCCGTTGAGCGGGGGTAACGTTGCTTGGTGGTGGGGCAGTTCAACTATGTAACTACCTCAAACCTATATGTTCAGTACCAAAATCCCAATGAGGATAACAATTGAGATGAAGCTTCGAGGAAAGGAGCAGAAGGGGATCTCTTTATAAGCTGTTAAAACCGGTGGCTTTGCGTATCTGATAGCTCTCGCTCCTCCTAAGACAAAACTGGATACATTCCAGGGATGTCTAAAGAAGATAAGATCTTATACAGGATAGAGCTATCTTTGCTTCGAACAGGGCATGGGAAGATAATCTCACACAGGGATGACTGAACCAATTGATTTGATGATAACTTACCGTGATGAAACAAAGAGTTTTATGCAGGCCGGAGAGATTCGGCGAGATCCAAGAAAGATAGAGATTGATAGTTGAGGGATGGGGGACAAAGATGAAAGGAAACCCTGTGAACGAAACACACGACCAAACTTCCTGAGACTTTGTTCTGTGTGATGGCAGATAACTCTCATGAAAAACAGGTGGCGGATGACCTTAGTTATATACCTACCAAGAAAGGATTTGCATATGTACCAAGCACACCATGTACGAATCCTCTACGTGTCTGGACTCCACCACAACTCTTTCCCCCACACTGCTAGAACTGGTGAGGCCATTGGCTCCCTCTCTCCGTCCTATCCTGCAACGATGACGGCCCGCGAGCGATCCCATCAGCTCAGGAACCAAATCAGGATCCCAGATACAGCAGGACTCTCCGTAAATTCTCGGCAAAGTGTATCCCAACAACAAACACCGACAACCACGAGACCTTTCTTCTCCGATCCATCTCACGATGTTGCCCTTGCCTTTGCCTCCACAATTGGCCCCCTGACAAAGTACAAAGCTCAAAAAAGCTCACTGACCGCACTTACAACTCGACTAAGACAATCTCACGATGCTGCTTTTGCCTCTATTGGAAGGGGGTTTTGGTGGTGACTGTTGCTTTCAGCTAGCTGTTGCTTCAAATGGGGGCGAACGTGATCGTTCTCTAATTTCCGCACGGAGCTTCCCCAGAACACATGACTGTCATGATTCTTGTTAGAGAGCTACGAATTCCAACGAAAATCTCACGATGGAGCTCCTCCAGGTTTCAACCGTTACTAATGGATTGAATAGTTCCTTCAATGGTTACAATCCGTCTTTATTCGAAACGATGAATGTCTGAAATATGACAATCATTCCCAACATTCCACAAGAGATCAAGGAATATGAGAGGCAATCCCCAAGCCTTACAAAGAGGGAAAAATGCCTCCTGTTCTCCTCTAACGGCAGCTGTAAGCATCGTGCACCCACTCGTGACCGAGCCGGGTCGTTGGGTCTTGGTTTGTGCATACTACAGTAGCTAACTAACTACATGTAGCTGAAGGGGCCTATTTTTGGACTCCCAAAACCGCTCAGGAGGCTCAATGGAATTCTGTAATGGAGTAACCTCAATCAAGATAACGCAACATGGAGAGTCCGAATAGCTGCCTCATACTTTGTTATCTACGATAAGTAAAATTGGACTCAAGACAAACATTCTCCCCAAGGCCGCCTTCTAGAAGATCAAGTCCCCGTGGCAGATCGGTTCGAGAAAACGCACTATTTTTCCCCCGCCCGCTTGTCCTTCCGAACTCCTTGTTCTGCTGATCTGTACCTACTAAGCGCAATCCCCCACAAAAGCCTCAAAAAGGTCTAAATACGCCGACGCCAACCGAACTCAACCTTGTCTCGCGTCTCTAATGGAAGTCTAGAGTCTTCACTTAAGATGCATCGTGAATTCTTGCCTGCGCATCCCCAGTAGGATCGTCCACGAGGACACTCCCCATAATACCCGGAGTTTGGATCTCTTACCAGGGTTACTTACACAGCTCCCCTTCTTGGCCTGACTCCTGAGGCTCTTTGATATTGGAGTTGCCTAGCTGAACTCGTAGAAAAGCAAACAAGCCGAATTTACACGAACTCCCTCGTCATCTGGACAGTGGTAATAGGACCTGAAAATTTTCAAGCAAATAGGAACATACCTCCCCTGCATAAATGTACCTACTATACTTTCCAGAATTTTTTGGTACGTAATTGAGGGGGAAAACCGACAAGGAAAAAAGTCTAAGTTTTGCATCACAACAAGTCCTGTGGTCCAATTACGTATTCAACTAATCGAACGGCGTAAAAGTGAACAAAATAGTGTGGGGTCGAATCAGGGGTTTCTATCTGTCTCGGATGAATATCTGGGGAATGAAATAGGGCTGGGACCCGAGTCTACCAACCAACATTCACATTAATGAAAATTTGTTTGCATGGTACAACGTTTCCCCCTATCATAATCTCAATACTGACAGTTAATCCTGTCATTCGGTCAACCGACATATTCTCATCCCATGAATTCAAGTTCGTATTCCCGGGTAGTTCGGAGTAGTGAGTACTGTAAGCACAAAGAAAGCACCATGTTGCAAATTAAAAGCATTGAGTGAAACTTCCTCAGCAAGGCACTGCAAGGAATGAGGCCCAATCCACATTGTTTCGTGAGTACTTCCCTCTAAGTATTAGACTAGGAAGATCTTAGTGCCATTCAAATACAGGTCTTTAATTTTATCCCTGACTCCCACCTACTCCCACAGAATGGTCTTACAGCAACGGAATATTCGAGCTCATCTGCCTTATTGACGTCTTAATAGATCACCTATTGCGAAACCTTAGTCTGAGATTTGCCATTTATTGTAGTCAATAGAAATACCCTATTTGTTGAGGTACTCTACACCCTCTAAAACGCAACTAATAATATGCTGATGCTCCGATAGCCACCTACCTACTTGCGTATCTTCTGAACACCCTGCGGGTCTTACTGCCTAGAGCACAAGTGACATCTCGATAAAGCCTCATTCTCCGTCTTGGTGGTCTGTGAGATGTACCGAAACATGATCCGTGCTTCGGCTATCACCCGGCGACCACGCGTATGGCACCCGTGTTTATATTCTTTATGCATGTGGAAACCCCTCCGATACTCTACTACCCCACATCGATATTCGCCGGCCAGCTTGCTCAGACATTATGTATGCACCTATTGATGCGGATGGATGTGGTTAAATTTTCCCATCTATATCTGGGAGATGCATCGATGTACGTATATTCTACCTCAAAGCTTTCGGGGGACCGAAACCTAATATATATTTATACGGGTAGGAGCTTTAACAAACCACGGATAAGAAATTAAAATGCGCCCATATGTGGTCTTTATTATAACTCTTATTTATTATGTTATGTAGGTCATAAGAGCTCCATCATGCAATATCACTCACTTACTTTTACCCACCATCTACTATGGGAACGTCTTAATAAGCTATAATTGAAAGAATTTCTAAAGTCCTGAACGTCGGGTAACTACATACATGTAATATACTAGGAATAACAACGGCCCGGGAGGCAATGAATATCCCGACAATTCCGTTAATCCCGATGGTTAATTAATTATGCCATGCTTCAAATTGCACATCAATTATCCCGTGTCGTGGAGATCTTTTGAAACCGGCCTATTAAAAAGGTCCTATCATACATACATGTATGTACATATCCCGATACTCCACTTCGGCCCTTTCATTTCTATAAAGGCTATACTACGCATAAATGCTACATATATCTCTCAAACCTGCTGCGTTCAAGCTAGTTCAGATAAAGGCCAAGACTTCTCTATATCATGATCAAGTGTTCTTAATTATAAAGAATATTGATATCTTGATAATCTGATTCTTTATCTACATCCATCGATTAAATTATAAAGCAAGCGGAAAGTCGACTTTTCTAATAAGCTACATGGAACTAGGTGGAGGAGGTGGTAGGAGTATGTGCATACATTTATATATCCCTTTCTCGCCAAGCATCTAGAACCACCGGTATCACAGGCCTTATGTGAGTTCAGACAAGCCCTTTTTTGTACCTGGATTACCGGGCGTCTGATTAGCGGTCAAGACACTGCTAGAAGCTTGAATCTATACTCTATACCCCCAGGGTGTTACTACATGATGATGTAAATGATGTGACATTTGACCTTAACCCCCAACAACATATATTTCGACATGTACAAACATGCAGAAAACCTAAATTCCAGACTTGGGTAGAATCATCAGCGTAGATGATGAAATAGCCTTTGTTCCAGTAATTTGGAAACAAACAGCCTGTTTGAAGGACCCGGTAATCAGCTTTGATTAGGATTAGAAATAGTAGCTATTATGATCACAGCATTTCTAGACTAAGTTTTAATCTTATAATAAACGAGAGCCAACAAACCAAACTATTTGGTTGATCATTGCTAGCATGAATTCCAAAATATAATACCAACGCATCAGTTAACAACACCCTGGTATACCTAGATACATAAGAACACATAAGTGCGGTTATTTCGTGTAATGAAGATTAAAGACAAAGATATTGTAGTTGATAAAGGTATTTAAAAATCAAGTTGTCTAAAGCCTTGAAAGGAGTTCTTCGATTATCAATATAAAGACCAACAGTTTCGAAAAATGCAGGTTGTAGAATTTCCAACAAGACTTTTAGTGTCCCTACCAACCTGTGACTTATGGCCGTGCAATACTGTTTCTGGTAGTGATTCCTGACAATATGTATTCCAGATTATTGGCTGTTGCCCTCTTTATTGGCTAGGTCTCGAAGATCTAATCTAATCTTATCTCTTTAAACCACACATAGACCTATTTACTAATCTTACGTGGGTCACAGCCCCACTTCAGCCTCTCAGCCGCGCTTGACCCCTCCTCTGCAGTGGGCTTCTGGGTCTGCCGACTTGCATCTCGCCATCTCACCTCACCTTCAACCCCCTTCCTTATCCTTTCCACCTCATTCCTGCCATCTATCGTCCACCCTTTTAATAACCTTGGATATCTGCCTTCCGTAGATAACTGACGCACTGATAACCGCCGTACTCAACGATCTTTCTCGTCTTCATCTCAACTCAGATAATAGAAACAGCTCCAAAATGTTGATTAAGTTAGTGGTTACCTCTGTCTTTCAGCTCTTTTAAATCAGCTACTTCGAAGCTTTGGCGGCTGCTGACGGAAATTTCTTTTGTAGAGTACGCACCTTGACTGGAAAGGAGATAGAGCTCGATATCGAGCCTGAATATAAGGTGGGTAGTTGCCTATTAATTTGCTTGACATGGCTCACTCTTCCTATAGGTCTCGGCAATCAAGGAGCTCGTCGAGGTTAAGGAGGGTATCCCACCAGTTCAGCAGAGACTGATTTTCGGCGGGAAGCAAATGTTTGCCCCCTCCTTTTCCCCCAACGAATAAGCTTGTTGGATAAAGGACTAAGAATTTTGTAGGACCGACGACAAAACTGCAAAGGAATACAATTTGGAAGGCGGCGCAACTTTACATTTGGTTTTGGCCCTTCGTGGAGGGAGGTAGCAACTCCCTGTACCTTGACGACTCGCCAACCACTAGTTTGCTGTTCTTTTTCTTGGGATAGGATATAGGGGAATTCAACGGGACGGCTCGGATTAAGGGTTGAGTGTGAATAGAATCTCGAATTTGAACGACGGTGCAGACAAAGCGTGCGGCGTCTAGAAGGGAGCATAAAAACTGTTTTAGCATTTCTCTTCATTCATTGGGTTTCTTTCTTTCTTTCTGTTGCTGTCTTTTTGTTTACTGGCGAACGAAATATACGAAAATATCATTTTGAGAGAACCCGTTTTTCCTTGCAGCCATACTTCGGCTCCGAGAGGATTTCGCCACGTTCCGAGATGCCACGTGCGTTGCATGCGAAACCACTTTTCCCGCGCTTAATGACCCCTGTCAACCTACTGGTACTCGTGATTTTGGTTCGCTGAGTCCCAGACATCTTCAACACAGCACGTCCAGAGAATTCCAAATAGTAATACCAGGTGCGATGGGCCGCTTCGGCATGGAGATACTTTAGAACTATTTTATGTCCGAATCTTAGAGGGCCGATGGGGACCTAGTTATATAGCCCTTGCATGGATCTACTCTAGTCTTTAATTTGCTTGTTTACGATTTCAGATCTGAATCCCACCCTGTCGGTAAAGGTTTGGGTATTAGTCAAACTGATTCACTTGTATTTTTTGGGGTCCACTTAACTCATCTGGGGGTGGGACCGGGAGAGAGTCCCATGGATATTGGTTACCCGCTGGTATGGTCCACTAAAAAATGTGGGGATCACCGATTTATCACTCGTTCGCGTTGGTGGTGTATCAGAAAAGGGTGGGACCATAGGGCCAAGTCACAGTGATTTCTCAGCGGTGATTCAGGTCTCCCAACCATATTCACACAGTAAGCGTACTGTGACGGTGGTATACATTGGGTGTCAAAATGACTCCAAATACCAAGGAAAAAACCGGAGTCAGAAAACTCGATGGGATTAATATGAGTTCTCGGGAATCACCTATAGCTATAACTACATAAATAGCCAATTAGAAAGCTCGAAGATTTCCTATATTCTTTTGTGCGCAAATTACCTCTTATGTACATGATTTGGTATCATCATGGTGACACCACTTTGGTGTACTGCGTAATCAATTAATATATGTACATTAACATACATTATACGTGTCTTTGACCAACTTCAACTCCACACTTATCTCACGTATGATCAAACACTTCATGTAAGGTGGAACACTACCAAGATTTGTAAATATCGCTCTGGGTATTAGCTTAAACCCGAGTTCTTTGGCGTCCTTTTCTTGCTGGATCTAGATGTTTTGACTTGCAATTGGTCAATTAGAAGTATATGACATGCTCGGGAGACCAGATAACCCTGTTTATTGGTGTACATACTTTGTTAACTACAAATACTACATGTACTAGACAAAGGAAGATAATCATTGTGTTCGGGAAGCCTACGGAAATCCGAATCCAAAATTTCTTTGATATATTGGTTAGTATTTATATTGGTGGCTATGTGAATGGTCCGGCTTACTAAACAACATTATTTTGATCTCCTATAGGCGTTGATAATTAACACAATAAGGGGAACGTTATGATCTATTTCACTATAATTACTTCGAATTCCAATGATGATGGTACATGCTCGAAGCCTCAAAATTAGATTTCTCTTGTATACTATTTTATCAATGAAAAGCGATTGAAGCTTAACAAGCCAGATGCATATATTGTGCTGCATGTGTGTACTGAAGGACAATCGTTTACTAACGCTCGGGCTCTCATTAGTTTCACAGTGAGTTTGATGTAGTCAAACATTCTGCAACCATTTATTCGAGTGGCTGAAAGATCCTGGTATGGTCAGGTAACCTATGCGCTGGCAACTACAATCATTGAGTACAATAACTGATCGTTATCCTATTTATCTAGGATACCCTAGCAAAGAAAAAAGAATTGACCCTATGCATTTTCAAAAAAAACCGAAACCTATCATATGCCTCCATAGTAAAACAAGAAGGAGGAGCTCTAAGTTCTCTAACAATCGTATCAGCGTATCTAAAATAAAAAAAACAAGATAGAAACAAAACTTTTAAGCTCCCTATATACTCCTTGTGCCCAAAAGAGCACTCATAAGAGCAAGTGCAAAAAGAAAAGAAGATAGATCCAGCCCCCACATTCTACCGGCGAAGGAGAGTTCTAGTATACATATGCCAGCTCAGATAGCATCGTATATTCGCTCACTCTGAGAGATACCATCCTGCACCTCGTCGGCACTATCGGCGACTTCCGGGATCTTATCGACACTTCCAGTTCTGGCAACTTCTTGCTCATCAGCGGTTGCTTGGTGGCTTTCGGGAACCTCTGTGGACGCCTTCCTCGGCGGCTTCGTGTTTATCGCCTTATTGGTGATTGGCCCCGCGTCAATGCGTGTTCTAGTAGGGGCGTTAATATCCCCAGTGCCCACCTCCGCTTCTGCGCCCACATGTGCGGAGAATTCCTCGGGGAGATCTTCGTCTACCACTGCTTCTTCCCTGTGAGGTGTACATCTAATTCCCGACCCAGGTAGAGATGAAGACGACTCGATGGTATCCGGCGGTATGGTACTGTAAACCCTCAATGGTTTGTATTCGACTACTCTTGATTCATGGCCCGCGGGTTGCATCTCCGCGGCCGTTGTCTCCGACTCTAGGATTAAGGTTAACCCTATGAGTCGATTGGGCCCGTGTATTTCTGATCTAGTAGGGGTGTAAATGCTAGGCTCTCGTTCGACGTGAATATCGGGCATGTCTTCTACTGTGATGAAGGTTAAACTGGATTTCAAGCAAAAGGGGCCTGTGTGTGACTAGCTACCTTCGATACCTTCAAGTACTTGTAACACTGTAGGAAGATCATCATCCCACTCTGAGTCGAAATCAGGAAAGTACATGGTGTTTTTGCAAGAGAGTGACTGGTCTGGGGTAGATTTCGATGGGTCCGCCATATATTTTTCGTGCTGGGAGGTTTAATGTGTATGCTTTGTGGGAGACGTCGAGGTTGTTCAATTGTCAGACCACATATGTATATTGAAGATTCTACAACCACAATATAAGAAGACATTTATAGTCAAGTTAAGGAACGTCGTCCATGAGGTTCTATTGGAGACCGAGAGATAAGCCTTAGATTAGATGTCTTCGGGCCGGGACCTTGAACTAGTACCCGCACTAGTACTACGACACTTATCATCAATTCCCTTATAAGTCCTCATATATCACATCATACACGATAAACACGCGTAGACCCTGATTCAGCCTCGCAGCCGTACTTAATATGTGGAGTTTCTTTTCCGTTTTTCGTGGGGGTCCTATCTGTTAAGGCCGACCCGCCCTTTAGGTTTATTCATTGCTGGTTAGGGGCCGCCGGCGCCGGGGTTCGATCGTAAAAAGGATTGTCTACGTGGGAAACCTTCGGCATGTCACTATTTTACCGAGGGTAGATCCTTCTGAAACAAACAGGGTAGAATACATTTGCGGTGTTGAGGCGGGGAAGGTAAAAAATAAAACCAATATATCACGATCTAACTCTGCTGAAGTTGAATGGGGGTTAGCTCAGCTTGATGCCGTATTCGACCATAATTGAACATCGAGTGACTACTCATGAATTGCCAAGACTTACACTAGAAGATACTAGTACATAACGCCTCATTAAGCCTTGTTTCCCAAATTGGCTTGTTATTCCCCATTATTTGTAGCTTTCCATATTTCTTAGATACCCGGAGGATCAACAGGTATGTAGATGGTGCAAAATAGAGACAATGTCTCACAGCTGTCCTTCATACTCACGCACGGGCCGCCGGAAAGTGCTGTTACGGGTGCAATCACACTCTAGAATATACCACGGATGCTGAACAAGAAGTATCGGCATCGGGAAGCATAATCGGCGTCATGTGTGAATGGGGAAGTTTATGCCCAAAAATACTTCTGTTGGCTGAAGGCGTTGGGAGTACACCCTTGGCAAAAGCAGTCAATCGCCCAATTCACCAGCGGCGGGTACATGTACAGAAGACGATATAAAGCCAAGAAAATCTTCAAACCTGAAGAGTTTTCTAGGGAATCGGACAAGATATATGGAGATCTAACTTATATAAAACCAGCGTCAGTCAGGATCTGAAACACGTGAGGAGAAGGAAAAAAGAAGTACGTGATCAATCGAATAAGAGACGAGTGAGTGATATACATACAGATGATCAAGCGGAAGTCATCGTGTTCGGTTGGTTGGTAGATGTGCTCAGTCCGTGAGTTCATCCCAAGTGGTGGTTTGGGGATATTGACTACAAAGACTGTGTAGTCAAAATGCTCTCTTTGGCTGTTCCCAAACAAAGTTCAGGTAGTGAAGTAGAGTAACGGCCACATACAAGGGTTTGTAAATCGAGCATGTGCACAGCGCAGGATGGGACTGTGGGGAAAAAAAAAACCAGCACATAGATCGACGCACACAACTATTATGTAGTCTCGATTCCGGAAATTACTAACAAAGTCACTACCTAGAGTCACTTTGATGTACCAAGTTTTGACCAATCAACGATGGTTAGCGGTGCGTTTGGTAACACATTGTGGCTGCAGAGGATTCAGTACCTTTACTACCTACCAGCAGAAGAACCAAAAATGTGGGTGGTATAAACAAGGATCACCTATGGGATGGTACTCTTATATCCCTAGTTTGGACTCCTGCATTTTCTGATTCTTAACTACCTGGAAGGAAATGTATACATGTAGGTATTATACATACATGTTCAGCCGGCATTGTAACTGAGGCCTGTCAATAACATTGTTTCTACAATACATTGCAACTGCGCTTGTTTCTCTTGGCGCGTTCTTTTGTGGTGTGACGTAACGCGCAACCTCAGCAGACGCGTCTCCCAAGTCATCCACCTCACAAAACTCACCTCCACCCTCGTCTCTTCTATCACATATCCTCAATTGCACCACAAAATGCCTCCCAGAAAGCGCAAAGCTACTCCAGAGGATTCCGACTATGAGTCTCCTCCAAAAAACAAGACTAGCCGAGGAATTTCCTCCTCACAAGCGAAGAGGCGCCCCCCAGCACAAAGCATCAAGGAGATATCGACTTATGTCGCTAAGACTATGACCCCAGAATACACAGTAGTTCAGTCGAAGTCTTGCCAGAATATTCAAGACTACGACGTTGCCGAACGCTGTGTCACTTGTATCGAGAAGCAGAGTGTCTTGGGGACCTGTCGCTTTGTCGGTTTGAGAGCATTTAAAAAAGATGATCAGGGCCAAGTTGATACCACGGATTATGCATTCGGATTCGTGGAGGTAGTACCAAAGCCAAAGAAGCCGGTCAAAGTAAAAGCCACGCCTAAAAGGAAGAAGAAACCCATGAAGCCAGAGATTATCACTACCAGGAGAACTACAAGAAGTGCTGCTGGAGATAGCACAGCCCGGGTTGCATCAGGCGTGAGCGAAGTTGGGAATGCTCAGATCAATTCTCATTCAGATGAGCAGCAAGCAGATGCAAGCGATACCTTGGCGGCTGCGTCCGATCAGATGGATTCTCCAATCGTCAGGCACACCCTAACCTCGGATCAAATGAAAAAAGAGGCCGATTATGTTCTTCCCTTGATCGCATCTGTGTTTGCTGAACATCTCCGCCGTGAGAAGCATCATGAACTTACCCACCTCGGGCTACCGACAGAGGGAAAACCATTACCCGGGGGTGCGCGGCCCTTGTTCCGCGTTCCATCTTCTCCAGATACCCGAAGTCTCTGTGACGCATGCTCAACAAGTATTTATATGGGTAGCTATCTGTGCGGCTGCTGCGGGAAAGAGATGTGTCTTGGGTGCTGGGAAGAATGGGTGCCTTCTGATATCGCTCAGGGTAATCGTATCCGTCGCATTGACACTTGTTCTCGCCGCCGCCGCCATATTCGGGATAGTATGCTTTTCATGACTCGGGCAGCGGAGGGCGAGGTTGTAGAGCTTCTCGAGAGAGTTGAAGCTCGTGTTCCATCTGAGGAGACGCAAAAGCAGGAGCAGGATAATGCAGATACTGAAACAGATTCCATCCCTACCAGTCTGTCTACCTGGCCTAATGACAAGCTTAAATATCTTGCTACCCCAAAGACACACCACAAAGATATAACGCTGCAACAATTCAGGTCATTGTGGCGCCGTGGTGGTATTCCCCTCGTCTTGACTGGCTTTCTTGACCGCTTCAAGCTCCCCTGGGATCCCAAATACTTCACCCACCACTATGGATCTGTGCCCTGCAATATCCACGACTGTGAATACAACCAGGCCAAGGAAACGAACGTCGAGAAGTTTTTCAAGGGTTTTGCCAGCTCTGATATCTTACATTCATATAAGCTAAAAGACTGGCCTCCTTCTGCGAACTTCTCCGAAACCTTCCCAGAGCTCTTCAAAGACTTTGAAAACGCCATACCATTCCCCTCCTACATCTCCCGCACCGGCAGCCTCAACCTCGCCGCCCATTTCCCACCACAATACATTGCGCCCGACCTCGGACCTAAAATGTATAACGCCTTCCCCGCACCCGACTTCCTCCCCAAGCCCGCCGGCGAAACCAAGCTGAAGCACCGCCCCGTCAAGGGCACCACAAACCTGCACCTCGACCTCACCGACGCCGTCAACATCATGCTCTTCTCCGCCGGCGGCGAGAAAGCGCCCGCCGCCGCAACCACGCCCAAGGACATCCCCTTCTGCGGCGCAATCTGGGACATCTTCCCGCCCTCGGCCTCCACCCACCTCCGCGAGTACCTCAACAGCGAGGAATACCTCGAGGCCCACGCCCACGAGGGCGCAATGGAGCTCGACGACCCGATCCATAGGCAGATGTACTACCTCACCGAGGACGACATGATCAAGCTCTACGAGGAAAACGGTGTCATGGCTCACCGCATCTACCAGGAGCCCGGCGATGCAGTCTTTATCCCCGCCGGCTGCGCGCACCAGGTCCGGAACCGGAGGAGCTGTGTTAAGGTTGCGGTCGACTTCCTGACGCCTGAGAACGTGAAGGTGTGCAAGGGCCTCGTCGCGGAGGCTAGAGTTATGGGGAACCCGTTCCTGGGTAGGGCCGCCGGAGGAGGGAAGGAGGATGTGTTGCAGCTGTGGTCGTGCTTGGGGTTCGCGTGGGATGCGTTTGATGGGCCGAGGAAGGGGGCTGGCAAAGACGGGAGTGTCGCGAAGAAGGAGGAGGCGGAAGAGGAGGGGGAGGGGTCAGAAATCAAGGCGGAGGATCAGATGGAGGAAAGCGGGAATAGGAATGGAAATGCGGAGCACGCGGCCCGTATCGAGGTCGAAACCACTTCTGCCGTCTAGGCAGATATGGTGGGAGGTGCAGGCCAGAGAGTAGGCCTAGTAGGGGATATCGCATATACCCTTCCAATAGTTTTTTTTTTTTTCTGCACGCGAGTATTTTCCGATACTATTTTTTTTTAGCTTAAGGCGCATATCAAGTCTTGTATGCTCTTTTTGTTTTACTACTTAGCAACATATTACCCCAGTCAACCATGTTTAAGTCTTTTTGAGATTTCTGATATGTTATGGTATGTGAGATATCTGGGTCTATCTCTGTCTTGTATGAATACCTTGATTCGAGAGGAGGGGGGGGGGGGATATTTTTATCTTGTGGGCAGAAAGAATCGGCATATGGTGGTTATCAACCCTCACGGTACTTAGGAAGTATACAACTATGCAAGTCAAATCTGTTCTATTTCTTAGAGGCGCATGGTTGTGTAGTATATTAGAGCAAGTTCTCGATGCCGTGACCCATTGATCTACAAGCTGGCCTTGGCACTTCCACCCACCGAGAGTGATATCCCATGATGCAACTTACCAACCCACCTTACCCAACCGACACCGACCCATCTATATAGTCCAGTCCTGTTTCAAATGCTTGCCGAACTCCAGATCTGCCTAAAGAAACCCCCGTTATTCCCATCCGGTTCTCCGAAATTGTGTCGGGAGGGGGGTCGGCCGCAAATAACCCGAAGAATCGGGGGAGAGGGGCGTTGAGATCTGGGGGTTGCGAAGATTTTGTTACCCCTGACTTCGAGAATCGGTATGTACTACGTAGTTGGGATCTTCATATGAATTATATACCTAACCGAGAAAGACTACAATTATACAAGCTTTAATGCTCCGGGGGTGGAGAAAGGGCCGGGGGTGGCAGGGATATATTGGCAGAAGTAGGTACTGCTCTGTAATTTACCCCTTTCTCTCCGCAATATCCCCACAGTTTGCCTTGTTCGCCTTGTTCGGATAGATGGAATGGAGGCGGATCTTTGTTACCCCGGATTTATTGACTGGGCTGCAATTGGGTGGTTTTTGTGGGTATAAAAGGTAGTACTGTGTCCTCCTGTCCTCGCCGAGAGATTCGACTGTTCCTAGATCCTCAGGATATCCAATTGACGAGGCCATTATAATAATTCTTGAACTCTAGAGTATCAGTCTAATATCATTTAATAATGAGATACTTTGCGCCCCTCGTCCTCCTTGCTGGCCTCGTCTCCAGCAAGCCAACGCCAACAGTCCAGAATGCGACTCTCTACCTGTGTTCTGACAGCACTGCGGCAAACTACAATCCTGCCACCACACCTATTCAGGGGTATATATGCTCCTAATGTCTTATAAATTATAATAAAGGAATCAAAAACTCACATAATAGCACCACAGTTTCGGCTACTACCTCGGAAACTACCTCTCCACAAACTTTGTGAACCGCGCCCGGGGCGGCCGCTCCACCCGCTCTTTCATTAACGAGGGTCTCTGGGGTCAGCTCCTCGACATGCTCGTCCCCGGCGATTACGTCGTGATTGAGATGGGCCACAACGATAACGGCACTCCCGGGACCGGCAGTGACGTCGGCAAGGACCGCGCCGTGGTTCCGGGGATTGGGAACGAGACTGTAACTGTGACCAACTCGACCGGAGCGGAAGAGGTGGTTCGCACGTTCGGTTCGTATCTGAGGCAGATGATTAAGGATGTGGAGGACAAGAGCGCCACGGTAGTGTTGAGTGGGATGGTGCCAACTATGAGTTGGTCCAGTGACAACAAGACCTTGGCGACGGTGTGGCCGTTTACGGAGTATGCGAGAGCGGTGAGTGTTTCTGTCTGTTGAGTGTGGTTATGAGATTTGCGTGCTGACTTTGGAATGAAGGTTGCAGAAGAGCAGAAGGTGCCGTTTGTGGACCACACAAAGTACTCGGTGGCGAGACAGCAGGCACTGGGATATACTGCTGCGAAGGCTATGTATCCTCTTGATAACACCCACACCGATGCCGCAGGAGCTACACGTAAGTTGCCACATCTGTAAAAAAGTTCAAATTGAACCAACGGCTGACATGTCTGTTTAGTTAACGCGGAGAGCTTTGTCACGGCGGTGAAGTGCGCAAGTGGCAAGTGGAAGCTCAAGCAGGCCCTCTTGGGCAATAACCCGAACGCAACTGCTGTTAATTATCCATGTGCATAGAGTGCTGGAATCATCTCCCTCCGTATTTAGATGTAGAAATATGATGTGTAAATGTATTATCGGTCTATAAATATATTTGAAGAAAACAAAGACCCGCCCGATGTGTGATGGTGAGGAGGAAGAGAAGGAAGAGGAGGAGGAGAGGCCCTTTCTCTAAATATATATACTCAAGGTTTAAACGCCACATGTACCCCGATTCATTATGCCAACTAGCCTTACTCTGTAATAAACCGAGTGATAAACCACGACACCACGCCCCACCAAACCCGCAAAACGATCATTACCTATCTGCCCATTTCCTTGGCAGCGACCCAACACCCGCCGCCGCAACCACTGATAGATCAATTACAGCAGGGTGCTAAACTTCATTCTCTATATCTAAGGGCGATCCTACCGGAGTTGAATTTGAGGTTGAACTTGAATGAAGCATCCATATACAGCTTGCATCTTGGATGAATCCACAGGATAACCTAATTGTATTTACATGGTAGGTAATTTAGAAGTCCTTGATTGTGAAAAGGTGATGGATGGTTTACAGGATAATTTAAATGTTCGAAATTTTGCAACACGCTTGCTTGGCACTGTTTTACGAAGATGCTTTTTCGTTGTGGTCTAGTGAGTGACATTGCTATAGCCATAAGGCTACATGCAATTAATGAACTAAACAAAAAGAAAAAAAAAGAAGTGAGTAAGTTAGTGAGTGCACGCTAATCCCTATTTTCTAAAGAAGGGGCGAAAAAGAAAGAGAGAAAGAAAAAAACCTAAAGTCTATCATTTCACATTTTTCATAACCTAAAATCTATATCACAAAAACTTAAAAAGGGAAAAAGGAGCAACCCAATACACAGCCAAAAATCTAACTCCACGGCAAAGCCCCATAATCCCCCGCCACCGAATCCATCTGCAAGAATTCCGTCAGTGGGAACCCTTCCCACATCATCGGATCCGCCAGATCAATTCCCATCCCGCCCCACCCTTCCATCAACTCTGCCCCCGGACCCAGACCCGCACCCGCACCCGCACCCGCACCCGCACCCGCACCCGCACCCGCACCCGCCCCTGCCCCATACCCCACAGCCTCCGCCTGTGTAATAGTAGCAGCAGCAGTAGGGGCCATCTCTCTTTCCCTCTCTCTTTCCCTCTCGCTCTCGCTCTCCCTCTCGCTCTCCTTCTCTCTCTCTTTCTCCCCTCTACCCACCCTATCTACCCACCCCTTCAAGCCCATCACAACACCTTTCAACCTCCCCGCTGCATGAGACTGGTCGCCCTTGATCACATCCCCAAGAAACACCACACACCGGTCCACATACCTTCCAAAGCCTATATTGCCTGTACCGCCCCTGAAGATCATCTTTATAAGTAGCCCCACCGAATACCCCATCTCAATGTAAAATAGGGCTGGAAGCCTCCCCGCAAACGCCGGCGGGAACGACAGGAAAGTGTCTAGACACGCATGCACGGCCGTCAGACACGCGACAGCATGCGGAGGTGCTGGCGGCGGCGGGTTGGCGGGTGCCGGAATGATTTCGGAGAAGATGAATGGACGGACTTCTTCGGCGATATGTTCGGCGTGTAGGAGGCGGTCGTAGAGGTTCCTAACAGTGCATTGATGATATAGAGATAGTGCGGGGGTCATGAGGGCTGCGGAGACGGTCTGGTGGTGCCAGGTGTTGAGGCGGCCTAGATAGTCGGTGAGGATTGTGTGGCGGTGGACGGAGGTGATGTCAGTTGCGTCCATGGCAGCGCAGTACTGATCTGCTATGTGCGAGATCTGAATCCAGCGGGTGAAGTTCCTGTCGGTTGGTACGATGCCGGGGGTGGTGATAGAGGCTGTCTCAAAGAATTCGATGCACTCGCCCATGTACCGTGAGAATGGCAATAGGCAGGGGCGGCGTAGAAGGCGGGAGCTACTGTTTAATTGTTAATTCAATTTGCTCTATACCATGAATTGAAAAGATTGTGAACAAACTTTGAGCACAGAAAGTAACAAGATAAAAGCGCCCTCCTAGACTCGGGCAGCGCCGTGTCACTATTAGCCCCCCAGATCATAAACCTCCAGCCCGCACTGACTGGGAACTGCTCATTCAACTGCTGCTCTTCTTGTGCGGCCGAATCCTGGGGAGGTGGCGCCCTCTTAATCCCATGGGGCTTTGTGAGCGCAATATCATGAACCATTACGGCCGCCATGTGTATAAATTGGTTGATATTATTCCCGCCATATGTATCGGGGGATAATACCACAATATCGATATAGTGAGGGCCTGCACAAGCTCCAACGACTTTACGCCGCGGCGGATGATCTGCTCGCAGTAGCTGTTGAGTAGCTCGTGCTGGAGTGTGCTCTGTAGGTTAGCACCGAATGTTGCGGAGGAGGCGGCGAGAATGGCGAGAAACACCGTGGGCTTTTGGCGGCGGGTATCGTCGGATGTGGCGGAGGGAAAGACAACGCCGGGAAAGACTGGCGATATGGTGTTGATGTAGTGGGAGTAGATACGGTCTGCGAGCTCGATGCTAATGATGCCGCGATCTATCACATCCCTCTTTAGATACTTGACGGGGTCAACGGCAGGAGCGTGGGGTAGTGGCCCCGGAGGGTGCACGACCAGGGCAGGAGGAGCGTCATCAGAAGAGGTATTTCCCGGCCCACCAATTCCTGTCCCCTTCTCCACTGCGTCGAGGCGTTCCGTCAGCTTTTCGACCTTCCTCTCCAACTCAAGTACCCGCGAATCTGTAGTCTTCCTCCGCTTTCGCGAGTACGAGTTGCTCACACACTCCCTGCTGGCCTTGAGACAGCGGCCACATGGACGCGACGGGTCGTTGGGGTCAATGTCGCAGCGGACCTTGTGCAGACGGCAATACTCGCAGGCTCTGGCGGGCCGTTGAGTATTGGTGGTGGTGGCACTGTTGGCTGCCGGGCTAGGGTCCGTGCCGGACGGGGAGTGTGAGCCGCCGGGGGAGAGGTGCTCGTAGTCCATCATTTGGGAGAGGGTTGGAGTGATGCGAATGAGAAGTTGGCATCGCCTTTCTGTGCATGCACTCAATGGGACGCATAGAGTATATGCTGGTAGATAAAGTCAGGAGGTGAATCTATTAATATGCGGTATCCTTGTATGTATTGTCCATGTATCTTGCAGTAGTAGTTGGCACCAGCACCAGCACCAGCACCAGCACCGGGGGTGAGGGGGAGGGTACTGAATATGTTATGTTGATGCAAGGTAATTAATAATTGAAGTGGAGCAGCTAAAGAAGTTAAAGGAGACGTACTCCAGAAGACGATGGATGATTATGATGATGATGATGATGATGGTGGTGGTGGTGATAGCAAGTCAAGAAGGAGCAGAAGTCTAGATCTCCCTATTCCTTAGCTAGGGTAGAAGCTCAATGCCAATCTTGTTTTGTACTGAAGCCAGATCAAAGAACATGCAGTACGATACAAACGGTTCTCGCACTGACATGTACGCGAGTGCTGCGTATCATGACTCGAGTGAGGGTTCGGCACCTGGCGCCTGGCGCCGTTGTGCAACACTTGCCCATCTAAGCATTTCTACTACTCAAACACTGGGCTGTGCAATCCTTTAAGTGTTTTGCTTTTGATCACCACTCGACCCAAACGACGTCGTTCTAGGCCCGAGCTGAGTGAACACTCTACTTCTTCCGCCTATCATAGCTATATGGAAACCTCAATACCAGATCCTACATGATATATCACCTGCAATAATTGCTAGCCTCTCCTCCGCCAAGCTCAAAGTTGAACAATATTTCCAATGCCTAGCAATCTAAAATAGCACTATCAATTGCAGAGCACCACCTAGCATCTTTCCTGGTATAAATATTGTCCTCGATCACATTTTCCTCCCCGATCCCAACGGCTGTTACTCCTCGAGAAAAAGTGCAAATTCGCTTAATCAAACCCCATCAAATTCAGCAGCCTCCCCTACATATAGGCCAAAGTGCAGCCTGTCAGGCTGTTAAAATTGAATTTTTATTTATTAATCCAGCTGGTTGGGTACTGTGTGGTACCACTCTGCTATCTAGCTTGCCTACATCCCTCCCTGTTAGGCCCCCTGAGCATGGGCATGCTACATCGAAAAAATTCTTCTGACCCCCGGAGGAATACAAAACCACTATATATTGACAATGCTATGCCCCCCGCCGCTAGAAAAAATAAGCCTTCTTCGTTCGACCCGTCAATTTGTCTGCCGAGAGTTACTACTACTAGTATTCTGCCTATTACTGAATAGTAATCAGTATTTTTTTTGCTTCATTTCCGTATTTCACTCGAGATCGTTATTATGGCAGCTGCTACAGCTACAGCCGTAACAGCCACGCCCAGCACTCTTGCTGGAGTTCAGGCTTCGGGGCGTGAGTACCCCCACAATAATAGTTCACTACCTTTACCAACCAACTTATAGCTAACATCAACAATCAGACATGACCGTCAACTGGTACGCCCATTACGATCCGTCATTTCCCACTGCCATCGTCGGCGCAATCCTATTCGGGACCGTGGGCTTTGTGACTTTATTCCAGTTTTTCCAGAAACGATGCTGGTTCTGGTGGCCGCTAGTACTGGGGACAATGAGTGAGTTTTCTTCCGACTATTCTAACAAGAATAGGTTACTTGGAGAAGTTCTGGATAGCTAATTTTATGGGATTTAAAGTGGAAATGGCGGGTTATATCGCCCGTGCGCCGTCCTCTAAATATACCGATAATAAGAACATGTACATCGTGCAGCTAGTCATGATCATGTAAGTACCCTTCCCAAGTCTTATAATAATACCTAAATACATATACTAACAAACCCCCACAGCCTTGCCCCCGGAATGTAAGCCCCCCACCTTCCATCTCCCAGTACATAAACTAACACCCCCCAGCATGGCTGCCGCCTGCTACATGGCCATGGGCCGCCTCATCCTCCACATCACGCCGCCTAGCCACCTCCGCTTCCGCACACTCTGGGTCCCCGCACGTTTCATCACGCCCACCTTCGTGCTCTTCGACATCCTCTCCTTCGGCATCCAGCTGATCGGGGCCTCCGTGATCGCCTCCGCCTCCATCGCCGACTTCGACCGCGCCCAGCGTGGCAGTCGCATCGTCGAAATCGGGCTCGCCGTGCAGCTTATCTGCTTCGGCTTCTTTTCGTTTGTGGCGGCAAGGTTTTCGTTTGTCGCGAAGAGGTGGGAGAGTGCTTGGCCGGGCAGGGAGTGGCTGAAGTTGTTGTATGCGATAAATGTGGCTTGTGCGATTATTTTGGTGAGTGGCTTCTCTGTGTGTGTTGACGAGAGGGGAGCGAAGGAGATAGCGCTAATGGGAAGGGGTGTAGTTGAGAAGTATATATAGGATGATTGAGTTTGCGGGGGGCCGAGATGGGTATGTTAGGACGCATGAGTGGCCGTTTTGGGTGTTTGATTCGTTTTTTATATGGTGTATGTCTCTATCTCCCTTCCTTGCTTCCTTCATTCATGTGAAGACAACTGACCACTAATGACTATCTAGGCGTGTTGGTGGTCTTTACGATCTTCCATCCGGCGGACTTCCTTCCGAATATCGGACTACGCAAGACGGTTGTCAAGCGGACCGACGTTGAGGGTACCGGCGGTCACGAGATGTTGAGCTCGAGGATCTCGGTAGCTAACTAGAGCTACATTGACTAACTAGAGCGGGGTTTGGCGGGGTTTTAATTCGTCCTTTGAGTTCTCAAGATTTTCCTATATATGTATTTAATGATTAATACGACACTACCAATGATTTATTAAGCTGTTTGGTGGTAACGTGTAGACAAGCTTTACAAAGAAAACAGTGACCAGAATTGCCATCATGAGATATCACTCGGTCACACGCACCATCCCCGAATTCTGAAGCATGCACTTAAGCTTCATGCCCGAGTGGACAGCGAGTATCCATGACTACCTTGAGAGTCTTTAGATTACTTGTCATGTTCCACCATAGGCGCGGTGTTAGCTAATGCAAGCTGTGTGTGTGTGTGCGTGTGAATGAGAGAGTGTGTATAGGGAGGGGGAGGGGGGTTACCACAGCCACCCGCACTCCATCATATTTAGGACTGTAATCTGATAAGCAGATAGTAAGCATAGCCAAGCCTGACAAAACTTAGCCAGACAAAACTTAGCCAGACACACAATCCAGCAAGCTCCGGTAGTGTAATGGTAGCACACCCGTCCGTCGATATACTAGATAATAAATCCCGACTGGGTAGCTTGAGGTTCGATTCCTCTCCGGAGCGTCATTCTTTATTTTTTTTTTTTTTTTGGTGGTTGTGGCTGCCGTGTGTTAAGGGTTATTTTCGAGGGTTTGGTTGAGTGCCCAGTTCTGTGGAGGGGGAAGGTTAGGGTTTGGCTGTAGATTGTTCTGTGTGCCCGAAACTACATGTACCTACTGCCCGAGCTGGCATATGAAATCATTAGGAGTTAAGTCGAGTACATCCCAGCTCTTTCAGCGGGATATCGGGTTTTGTATTTCTGCTTACATAAAAGCCTCCAGTTTCATGCTAAACTATCATTTCCAGTCTCCCTGCCTGCCCTAGCCCACCAACACCCGAATCCAACTACAACGCGCGCGATCGATGGTGGAGGACCATACTGCCCGGATTTTATTCACCCCACTCACCACTCTCAAATCTCTCCGGCTCGTGCTCATGAACGGCCATTCCGGGTATGGCGAGGACCATGATACTTGCTTGTCTAGTAATTGACGGTCTAGACTTTTATCGAAAGGGACATGCAAGACTATACGCTTGAAAGATAAAATTGATGGTGTGACTGAGCATTAGCTTAGGGAAGCTTAGGACATGATGGGACCTGCGTGTGTAAGTCATAGACCAAAGTTTGGTCTCGCTGGCTGTTTTTCAACGGGCGCTCAATACGCAGGTACTGGCCTCCTTTGCGGACCGGTATAAGAGAACGGTATCCTCTAACGACTCAGCTGGCGCGCATATATTTATCTGGAGATATCATCGCGCCGTTATTAAAGGCCTAATCGCTCATAGCCGGCGTTTCCCCTGCTGAATATTATATCTAACGGGTCTTCTTTAGAGTGGCTGTCTACGATACATTCGATTCACGAGCACTCTACTAGAGTCTGGTCTCCTCTAAAGTCTAATGTACTTCGAGCAAGAACGCATTCAATCCTCGGGTATCCACGGATACATATAGCTGCATCTATTCTTGTCGGAAAAGAAGGGAATCAAAGGAAGCATTCTACATACCACCCATCTCTCTAATACCCCTTAATCTTCTTCACCTCCACCCTACTACCCCCCTCCTCCCCCTCCCCCTTCTTCCTCTCCCGCTCCGTCAATAACCACTTCTTCCTCATCTCCAACAACCCAAACTTCTTCTTCATCCCATAATCCTACCCCCCACAATCAGCACTTCCCCCTCTCTCCCGCACGCTCCCCTCCTCCTCCATCCCCCTCAGGAAGAAAAACACTTACAAAAGCCCCCTTCCACAAAAACGTGCTCACAAACCACGCCATCTTCGCAAAGTGCCCGCGCCAGTACCACAGCGGCTTACGCCAGTCGGGCTTCATGACTTGGCGCACGACGGCGCGCGCGTAGTCTGTTGCCGACTGCGCGTTGACCTGTGAGTTTCCTGCGCGCGCGCGGAAGTGGGATATGATTGGGAGGTAGAGAGATGCTGTTTGCGTTGTTAGTACGGAGAAGAGGAAATGAGGGGGGGGGGGGGGGGGTGAGCGAAGACAGACTGGAGGGTAGAAACGAACTGGCTATCGAGTGCCGCGCAATGTTTGAACTGATGCCGCCGGTGATGACCTACTACCTATCAGCACCCACCTCGCCTCACAGCGCAGCTTGTGTCTAAACGTACCGTTATAACCTTCACCCTAATACCCCACGCCTATCAGCTATATCCCACTACTACCACATAAAACACACTACATACCCAAACGGTGCCAACTCAACCCTCAAACAATCCGCATAGCTATGCAACGCCGCCTTACTCGCGCCATACGCACTCCCAAATACATATGGCATGACGCCCGCAATCGAGCCCACATTCACTATCGTGCCGCCGCCCTCCGCTGCGATCAGCAGCGCTACAAATTCCTGCACCATGCGCATCACGCCGAAGAGGTTGGTCTCGAACATGTCCTTGACGACCGTGTCAATCTCAAGGTCTGTTGCTGCCGCGATGCGGGAGTAGCCTCTGGTTCACATGTGCTCTAGTTAGCTCATTGAGCAAGAGGGGAAGATATGGGAGGAGGAGGGGTGGGATACGCATTATTAACAAGCACGTCCAGCCGCCCGCCAGTGCGTAACGCAATCTCGTCACGCACGGACTGGATATTTGCGGTGCATGTCACGTCAAGCGGGAGGATCTCGATGCCGAAGGCGTCTTCGAGCTCGATTACGGTTTCGAGGCGGCGGGCGGTAGCGAACACGCGGTATCCTACGCACACATGTCAGCTACGACTATAGCTATACATGTAGTTACACTAGGCCACTACAATGCGGTACCTTTTCTGTGGAACTCCTTCGCCAGCTCTCCTCCGATGCCGCCAACGCCGGCTCTAGACGTGGTTGCGTTAGTATATTTACCCGCAGAGAAACATGAGCAAAACAATTAAACACCTACCCGGTGATAAGGACCGTTTTACGGTCATCCACTGATTCGCCAAGTGTAGAGGGCATTGTGAGTGGTTGTTTGATATTTGTTTTTGTAGATATATGCTGTGAGAGGTGAGGGTTTCGCTGATGAGCTCACCACCGCGATAAGGATAAGGATCAGCCCTATCCTATCAGACGAACCGTGGCCTGTGGCCAAGGGTCTGCCGAGACCCGGGCGCTGCAAAGTAGATTAGCGGGTAGGTTACCCGGGCGGAGGTCAGGACCTGTCACTCGGCTTTCGGGGACTAATTAACATAATTGAATTCACTCAATAGGGTAGCTGTACTATTACATAACCATAACTGTTCAATCTATGCATCAAAATGATCACCATTAAGTCTTTTACCCCTATCTCGCTTGTTCAGGATCTGCACTAATTCCAAGCAAAAACAGTGTAGACTTACATGTAATTGTATTTGAAAAATATGGTACAGATAGGTTGAATTGAGAGAGCCAGTCAAGTTGATATTTCAATCGATCTTGGCCCAAGTCAGTGACTTAAATTTCACAATCGATAACAATGATCGTCCTTCATCTCGCATGTACTTGAGGTTAGCGCGCGCGCTCTCACTTATTCAAGATTAGGAATAAAGAAACTTCTCCTTCATTTGGAGTGCATAGGTTAGATAGCGTGATCGATATCTACACACGTTTTTGGAGTGAAACAGGAGTTCAGTATTGATTTTTTGTGCTATGTGAACCACAGGAGGAAAGCTCAAGCTCGGTTCATAAAATTTAAAGGTATACGTAGACAAGCTCGATTATAGCATGAAGATGAAGCATGAGAAGAATTAAGAAAAGCGGGACACAAAAGAAATAGTCAATAGGACACATGCACACTAGCTACTACATGTAGTAGAGACACGGTACACAATGCGATCTGTCCTGGTCTGGCCCCTTTGATTATCTGTTCACTGTATTACCCACAACTATCGAGTCAACTAGTCCGCCTGTGCCACAACGTGCGAGACTATCCAAATTCGAAAAGTCTCCGTTCATATATATATTATCACTCGATAAGGACAGTTTTTTATGGTATACGCGGTACATGTGCCTATATTCAGCTCTTCTCTGTGATATAGACTATAGAGAAACTAAATAATTACAAGCAACCCACGGCCGTGGGGTGCTGGGATATTATAATATTAGCCAGAAGGAAATCAACAGATACGTCGTTATCCTCTTTAATTCAGTGCTTATGGGCCAAATCTCGTTGAGTAAATTCAAATCCCGCCAAGTAGAATCAGGTATTTATCATCTTACCAGTGAAGTCGGGTGTTGGTAATTATATGATCACCATACCCGCTATTCCTATGGTCGGCCACTACTATATCGAAAGATATTCGAGATAATCTTGTCTGTGAAACCAGCCGTGACACCGTATACTGCCCATAATACTTATATCTATGGTGGTGGCCTGTCGGTTAGTACCGCTTTGGTTGTAATCCTCCTATTAATATGTACCGTTATCTGGAATTCCTGTATACATAAAAGGCCTATTTAACCGATTACTTGATGGAACCCAGCCCCCCGCCGCACTCGAGTAGTTATTTCTGCTCACCGGCCCGGGCCCGGGGTTAAGGGAGATATCTGTTATGGCAAACCCTTATTGTCGTGATGACTCATAATTATACAACTAGGTATCGCAGCTTGAGACGTTAGTAGAGGGAAAGCACAGATAGAGATAGTGCCTATGTACGATGTTTCAGATGAGCTATATATGGTGTGTTTGAGACTTTGAATAGTGATACCGTACCGCGGGTGAAACTATGGCAGCGGGTCGATTGCTGTGGGGGTCCTTGATTGATCATGAGATGGAAGGCGAAATCCAGCAAAAGTAAAGAGATGCCATGGTAGAGTTGGCAGACAGCTAGGTTCGGGCTTTCGGGATACTTATATTCAGCGTAGCTGCACATGTGTGTTTAAGCTTTAACTTTCCGTTAGCGAAACCAAAAGTAACGACATGGCCGCTATATTACTAGCAGGGGAGACGTCGTTTATCTCAAATGTACATGCACTGCGCTGGTTGGTCTGAAATCTACATGATATTTATTCGTCGAGCACATGTGTGCACACATTATCACTCGAGGTCTTAAGACCCTAATGCGCACGTCCATCCATCATGAACGATCATTCGACCACCATCCAAACACACAGAAGTACCAACCTCAACTAGAATCTATTTTATTCTCTGGCTAACTTAAATGATCAATTAATCGAATTCAGGAAATACTTAGTTTTGAGTAACAAGCTCAGCTCGAAAACCACCATGCGCAATAACGAGCTTAACCAAATCCAGAAAGCCAGTGGTACTATTATTCAGCGCCAAGCACACAGCTTCTTAAATCCGTGTTCTGATAGCCCTGATATGCTGACAACGAGATACATATGTCGGACATGAACCCTGTCGATCAGTATCATGATGGTGGGCTAATGAAGCGGGGGAACGGCTTGCCTGCTCTGCATGCCCCCCCTCCCCCCCCTCCCCCCCTCCCCCCCACACCTCTATATAAAAGTCCAGCAACATCAACACCTCCGCACAAACCACTTATCAACTCCCACTCTCACCAAACATCATCTCCAATTCACGGCTTCAGAACATCCAAATATGTCGGAAACAGACCAGGGAGTGACCGAGTTCGTCTTCATGCACGTTGCCGAGGGCTCGCAGCCCGGCGAGGGCCATGAGAACTTCTTCGGCACACCTAGAGCACCGGGCTTCCTCAATGCCCGCTACGGCTGGCAGGTTGAGGACCCCAGTGTGTTCCACTGGATAATAAGTACGCAACCACTCCATCCACTCAACATCCAATATATATATCTACATTCCATACATAAGAAGTGGCTATAGGTATATAGCTCATCAAGCCAGTTAAACTAACGGCCAATCTTATCAGACTGGAGAAGCCTCGACGACCACAAAGCTTTCATGACCAGCCCTGAATACCCTGCATTCGTCCAGAAGATCACACCCTGGACATCCAACCTCTCGCTCTTCCACGCTGCGCTGCACCGGCACCCGCCTACCGAGGTGTTTGAAGGATTGACCACGGAGCTGGTGAAACTGCACCTGAAGGAGGGAGTAACGAAAGAGGAGATGACGAAGACATACCATATTTTCGAGGAGCGCTTGAAGAATGCAAAGGGATATCATGCCCATGCTGGGGGGTGGTCGATCGAGGATGATAACTGCGCGGTCATTGTCATTAAGTGGGATGATAAGGACGCGCATACGGATTGGGTAAAGTCGGAAGAGGGGGAGGATATACTTAGAGGGAAGGAGGGGCTTCTGTGTAATGTGGATAAGATTGAGATGTGGCATATCAATGATGCTGGTCCAATTACCCCCCCGGAGTAATTCCTTAGGAATGGAGTTCGTAATTGGACTGTTCATAGAGCGTAGATTACATGTAGCTATTATTTTACGCTCCAAAACCGGACAAATTCCAGGTCTGACCATGAATACTGCCTCTTGTTACTCTCCTACTTGGTACACATTTAATGGCGGTATTATATGTAGTTGTGGGTGCACAAGCACTTTATGTGTGCATATGAAATTCTCTACCTCAGGTACTAAATCATCCTTTTCTGTTAAGATATTCGCAAGGCTTGCATGTCTTTTCCCAAGATGATAGCTTTAGAGTATATCCCGGAAAATTGATATTAGATGAAACCCACGCAATAATGTGCTGCACAACCAATCAATGACACCCAAAGCTCCAAAGACTTACAGAGCATCTTTAATTATGGCAACCCAACTCTCAAGGCTAGGTATTACTCGGCGAAGATACTAGAGAATGTACGTCATATGTGGCCAAAGAGCACCGCATGTACTATATGTGCTGAGTAGCTTTAGTTGTCATTAAGAAGCTCTGTACTTAAGTCGAGGAGAACTATATGTGCTCTCTCTCTCTCTCTCTCTCTCTCTCTCTCTCTCTCCACTCATTATCATCGTTTTAGGAGCCGTCCGAAACGGAGCTATGGTTGCTTGAAACTCCGTTCTGGCGGAAACTCTGTTCTGAGAAAATGCGTTGTGTTTGGCGGCCCATTTTACAGGTCCATAAAACAACGTTGACTCCATGAAAACGAGGTTTATAGTAAGCAAAACTTCTCCGTATTCCACCCGCTAACGGAATATGATTGAAACGTTGGCTTCTACTGAGGCCGGCTCCCAAACGGGCCCTAACAAGTCAGAATCAACCTCCCGAGTGACAAGTACTATCGAGATAGGTACTCAATAACCTCATAACTCGAAACAAGAAAGGTCGATGCTGGTATGATACCGCTTCCCTAGGGACGGTGAATACATGTGCGTATGTCGCATCTGCAAAAAGATCATATTGATAATACATCATACCTCCGGCCTGGGTCGAGTAGGTTTTAATCCCGCCAAGACTTCCGTTATCGAATAGCCGAACTCCAACCTTAAAGTCCCCGTGGTCGGACGCCTTCCATACGTCCGGGTGATTGACGGTGAAGCCAGATCCGGATCTAGGCTGGGTGGCTGTAGACTGAGCTTAAGGCCTAGTAGTGGTGTTTGTGTAGGAATGGAGAACCTCAAGCTGTAGGTAAATGAAGCTCATCTCATGGCCATGGAGTTGAGCTGCCTCGGTGCACTAGACATCATGCCTAATGCCGATCAATCTATTGGTTAGCGCCACAACCGCACCTGGAAAAATTTCAGGCATCATGTCCGGCCGTCCAGACGAGTGATTATTCATGAAGAAATGTGGACGCCCGCGATGAGAACATAGACGAAAGAACGGCCCACAGAGTTATATATAGAGCGATTTGAGATATGGGAAGTTTTTTCTTTCTCTTCGTTCGACTGCAGCTGGAAATGGAGGAGGGTCGGTCGAGGGCCCCCGCTGGCTGGCATCTTGAGAAACGCTCGGGATCTCCACTTCCGTGATGTGGACCCGGAGAACCCTGCGATACAGCTGTTTCCTGTAGAGGAGAGGAGGAGGGTAGGGTGCATGTAGGTACAGAGAGAGATAGAGAGAGCTCCATCACATTCACAGGATCGGGGAAAGGTGAGTTGGAAACGGGTATCGGCCAGTATATCGAGCATGCAAGGAGGTCGAAAAGCTTTTTCTCCCTGAGACACAGCGACAAACGAAGAGACAAATACTCCACAACAGCTCCGGTGCAACATCGAGTATGTAGAATAGAGTAATGAAATCCAGTCTCAAACGCAGCGGGTAAAAGCCATACCTAGATAAAACTACATCATATCCAGTGCCACTGCCTCCCCATTGCCAATTCCCCAATCGCCGGAATCCGGGCACAGGAAAAGGTCTACTCGGGCTAAACTTACTGGCCCCCCGAGCCTAAAGAGCTTGAAAGACAAGGCAGGAAGAGCAAGAGGGCATCTCGATCCCCAAGCCGGTAGCTGACTCAGCAAGGGTTCTTCTCACTTCCGAAACCGCCCGCTAGCGTGGCGAGTTGGCTGGTGGCCGCCGGGCGCTTCCTGTGTGCCGCTTTGCGCTTTTTTTTTTTTTTTCCCTCTTACAACTACTAACCCCCTTCCTCATTTTCTCGGGTCTTTCCTTTTTGTACTTCTTCCTCTCTCTCCTCCTCCTCCTCCTCCTCCTCTCCTCTCCTCTCCAAACCATTAACCCTCTCTACTCTCTCCTCAAAAGTTTTTGAATTTTTTTGTTTGAGAAAAGAAAAAGAAAAATGTCGAAAGCCGTTGAAGCCGTTGTCAACCCCCCTGCTGAGCAGAAGCTCTCAGGATTGGCCCTCTACTCTCGTTTCGCCTTTGCTGGAGCTGTCTGCTGTGGTGTTACTCACGGAGCGTTGACCCCCGTTGATGTGTAAGTCTGAACATCTTTTTTTGAGTATTTTTATCTGTTTTTCTTTTTTCTCGTGGGGTTGTGGGAGTGGGGGAAGTGGCGTGAGGGTCGAAGGGGAATGGAAGGGGAAAAACCCCCATCATGAAATGGCGCAAGAGAGCGCAATTTTAGATGGCCGAAGAAAGAGCTAGGGATCAATTGCGAACGAATGATCGGGGGTGTTCATAAAAGAATCCTCTGAATCGATTTTACAGAGATATTTGAGAATGAAGTATCAGTATGAATTACATCGCTAACATCATTCTACAGCGTAAAAACCCGTATCCAGCTCGACCCCGCCAAGTACAACAAGGGCCTCATCGGCGGCTTCAAGCAGGTTGTTCAGAGCGAAGGTGCTGGCGCCCTTTTGACCGGTTTCGGTCCTACTGCTGCCGGATACTTCCTTCAGGGAGCCTTCAAGTTCGGAGGTTACGAGCTTTTCAAGCAGCAGGCTATCAACATCCTCGTGAGTTTTCTTACCACCCCCCCTCAATTACCCCCCCCCCCCTCTCTTTTACGCACCCCCGCGGATAGCTTGAATGCGCCCGATTTCCGAATTGAGCCTAAACTCTAACAACTATCCCAAATAGGGTTACGACACTGCCCGTGAGAACCGCACCGCCGTCTACCTCGCTTCCTCCGCTCTCGCCGAGTTCTTCGCCGATATCGCTCTCTGCCCTCTCGAGGCCACCCGTATCCGTCTCGTCTCCCAGCCCGACTTCGCCAGCGGTCTCCTCTCCGGATTCTCAAAGATCTTCAAGAATGAGGGTATCGGCGCTTTCTACTCCGGGTTCGGGCCCATCCTGTTCAAGCAGGTTCCCTACACCATGGCCAAGTTCGTCGTCTACGAGAAGGTTTCCGAGATGGTCTACAGCAAGATCGACAAGTCGACTCTCAGCGATGGTGCGCAGACTGGTGTGAACTTGGGAGCTGGTTTGGTTGCTGGTATGGCTGCTGCTGTTGTCTCGCAGCCTGCCGACACTATGCTCTCAAAGATCAACAAGACCAAGGGACTTCCCGGTGAAGGTACTACCTCTAGGTTGATCAAGATCGCCAAGGAGCTCGGTATCAGGGGATCCTACACTGGTCTCGGTGCCCGTTTGTTCATGGGTATGTTTCCCCCGCATGGCAGTAGTGCCAATGATTATTGTTATTATATTTCAATTGCTAACACGATGAATAGTTGGAACTTTGACCGCTGGACAGTTTGCCATCTACGGAGACATCAAGAAGGCTCTCGGCGCCGTTGGCGGTGTCGAGATTGGAAAATAAGCGGGTGGGAAAAGTCTTTTTTCGGAGAATTTAAATATTTGTAGCGTCTACTGTTCTTGTTTCTGGCCTCTTGTTTTTTTTCTTTCTTTTTCTTTCTAGGGTATGGGTTAGAACTACTTTAGAACGTGCGGTTGCGTGTGTATTAAATAGACGGTTAATATATATCCCCGGCTCTCGATTGGGGGCGCGGCGCTAGACTTTGGAGAATCATGATCATTGGCTTGATTGAACTGAACCTTGGGGGAGTGAGTCGAGTAAAGTGTTTTATCTATTTTGACTGGGAAACCACCTGAGAGATTCTAGAGGGGTATGCCTAAAAGGAGTTGTTTACTTTGCGCTGTTTACTTCAAGGTACACCACAGCAGAGCCCACATAACGATGCCGATGGCTGGGTGTTATCATGAATCCACACAGTGTGTATGGCAGCGGGCCAGTACCTAGACGCAGGACGGCCGACCGTTCAACTTTGCCAAGAATTGAGTTGATTTGGTAGGGTTTGAGGTAAGGTTTGAGTTGAGTTGGCAATTCTCCGACATTTGATAAACCAGTTGCAGGGGTTACCCTGTGCCAAGCCCAACCAATCATAGTCCAGTGTCACCACACTTTCACCACACCATCCATGATCCACCCACACCTTTGACAATTACCACTGACACCACTGGCAACGCAACCAATGTCCGAATCAGTAACCGAAAATACCATCCTTGATCTGAGTGCAGATTCAGCCGTCATCCAAGCCTGGCTGGCATTGAAGAACTCTAAAAAAATCAATGGCTGGTACATTCACCCCAGAATCGTTTCCTACACCAGTTTTAAACGCAAACGGAACGAGATTGCAGCAATCAAACGGAACAGCACTCTCAGTGACGAATATCTTGAGCATCAAATTGCAGACTTCGAAAGGCCATGCACCATCCAAACTGCATTCACCAAAATAATCAAAAAAGGCACTATCTACTTCATGTCAGGCCCAATTCACGATGCCCATCAAATCAGGAGTGAGAAATTGGACCCGGATTTTCATTCATTTGTCCTCATTTACTACAATAACATCGTCGTTCTTATGGATCCAGAATACAGCAATGCAGACAGGGTGGAGAAGTTGGACAAGAATGGCGAAAAAATCCTGATGAGGTTTACAAAGATTGGTGGTGGGCTAGGAGTTGCAATTCCGTTGATGAGAATGATAAAGAATAAGTACAAGGTTGAGCAATGGTGGATGGGGAAGGGTACAGATCTGGCTGCAAGTGACGGTACCAATTGCAATAACCTCACACAAGATATCATTCTCAATGTACTCAAAATCGACGAAAAAAGAGAGGTAGATTGGGCTGCATTGGGCTTTGAGGAGCTTACCTGTTAGTTACTTGTAATCAATGTAAAACATTCAAGAATAAAAGAAATTAAACTTAAATAAATGATATGTTCCAAGTTTCGTAATTGCTATACAGTGACGTGCAGCACCATGTTCCGGAGTCGAAGCTAAACCCTGGGAATTAAAGTAGAGCTATTATACTTAGCGTAGAATATATATATTGAATAAAATACCAGCTAGGTATTCTTGTGGCCGCGTGGTTAAGTGGGAAGCGGTACCTGTTACTATTGTAGTGGTTAGCATACAGCAGGTTCAACACTATGTTCCGGAGTCGAATCTAAACTCTGGGAATTATAATAGAGTTAGATTAACATGCATTGAATGTATATATTGAATAAAATACCAGCTAGGTATTCTTGTGGCCGCGTGGTTAAGTGGGAAGCGGTACCTGTTACTATTGTAGTGGTTAGCATACAGCAGGTTCAACACCATGTTCCGGAGTCGAATCTAAACCCTGGGAATTATAATAGAGCTAGATTAACATGCATTGAATGTATATATTGAATAAAATACCAGCTAGGCGCTCGTTAGGCCGAGTGGGTTCGCGGGAAGCGGTACATGTTTTCATGAAATAATTGAATTATACGCTAATAAATGTTATTCCATGCATGAATTTTGGCAATTCTTGGCAATTCTTGGCAATTCTTGGCAACTTGAATCGCAATTCTTGGTAGTTTCAATTTCATAACAGCGCGAATTGTGTGATATAATACTCCATCGTACTAGTAACATGAGTTGGAGTCAAATCTAAGGCCTGGAAATTTTAATAGAGATAGTATAGCCTACGTCTGAAGTATATATAAAGAATAAAAACGCTAGCTAGGCCTGTTGTCATGTAGTTGAGCGGCGATTTGAATTTTAGTATAATGGTGATAGTTACTATATATTGAGATTTACTCCTCGGTACCATGTTCCGGAGTCAAATCTAAACTCTGGGAATTATAATAGAGCTAGATTAACATGCATTGAATGTATATATTGAATAAAATACCAGCTAGGTACCCTTTTGGCCGCGTGGTTAAGCGGAAAGCGGTACCTGTTACTATGTATTGAAGTTTACTCCCCGGTACCATCTTTCGGAGTCGAATCTAAACTCTGGGAATTATAATATAGATAATAGACTAAGTGTTAAATGTATATATCTAATAAAATACGGGCTAAGTGCTCTTATACCCGAGTGAGTAAGCAGGGTAGCTGTAACTGTTACAATGATGGTAGTCACTATACAGCATGTTCGACACCATATTTCGGAGTCGAGTTTAAACCCTGAAAATTATAATATAGATAGCATACTATGTGTTAACTATATACATTGAATAAAATAGCAGTTAAGTATCTTTGTTGCCGCTTGTTTAAGCGCGAAGCGGTACCTGTTAGAATGGTGGTGTTTACCAATAGTAGGCTTAACAACATATTTCGGAGTCGAATCTAAACCCTGAGAATCATAATATAGATTCTTTTCGAAGAGATGAATGTAAATTGAAAAGAAAATACCCGCCAGCTATAATCATTGTAGTATTATCTAGCGCTAAATTTACGACAATTTCTGGTATTGGGTGGATCCATAAAATTATACATAAATAATAATTATAAAGAATCTTGCAACAACTACATTTGGAGTCAATATAATCTGTTTATATATACAAATCAGAATATGTAATGTCTTCAATCGTTATACATTATGGAATTATGCCGCTAGCTATAAGCGCTACCGTGCTTTAGTGGTATGTAATAAGAGTGGAATTAATGCTCTTGGCTCAACAGTTGTCAAAGCAAACGTGATCTCCAGTTCAATCTCACACAACCCCCTTTGCACAAAGCCTACAATAATCATCAAATTTGCCTTTTTCAGATAGAAATCATGTCCAAATCTGACACTGAATCAATTTCTCAGTACCCTCCTTCTATTTCTATGCAGGATCCAGATAGTCATTCTCAAATGAATGATTTGGATGAAATACCTCCTGCTAGAACCTCTTCTGTGCCCGAAGCCTTTAGACCTAAGCGACCAGAAACAAATTCTTGGATATGGGAGCATAGAGAAAGATATATGGGGTGTGACAGATATGGGAAGCAAAGTACTAGGTGGAAATGTTGTTTATGTGAGTACTTTTAGTTACCTGAATTTTATTAGAATAATATTAGTGGATTGGGATTAACATTTGTTTTGATCATGCCCTGATCCTGAAACCGCGAAAAATTATTCAATAACATCAACAACCAATTGCTTGGATCATTTAGTAACAAAGCATGGGTTCTTTCGAAATGGCAGCAGACTCCCAGATCAATCATCAGAGTCTGGGAATCATATAGCACAAAATCTCCGAAATTCTATACCAAATTTGGTATTTAATTCCAAGGTTTTCAAGAAGCTGCTACTAAGATATATTATAATGTTTAATATACCATTTGCACAGGCAACTTCTGTGATGTTGAGAGCAATATTTGCATATTGCTGTGCAGTTGTAAGTGGTCACCACTGATGTCACATACTTAACATACCAGGTCCTAATAGATGATATTAGAAAGCCACATTTACAGAAATCGGCAGAGCTCTCCCCAAATCCGGATCCACTATATCACGTTGGATCTTTGATTCATTTCAAGCAAACAAAGAAGCTGTTAAGCTAAAATTGAGTGAAGCGGTTTCCTCAATACATTTGAGTTTTGATCTTTGGACCTCTCCAAACAATATGTCCATGATTGCTGTTGTTGGATTTTGGCTGGATCAAAATGCTACTCTACGACATGGGCTACTAGCTCTGAGGAAAATGCTGGGAGCACATACTGGTGATAACCAGGGGTCTCTAGTCTGGGGAGTTATTACCGAGTATAAAATTGAAAAAATACTCGGATATTTTACTCTAGATAATGCTAGTAATAATGTTACAGCATTGGACTATATTGGAGTGCAAATCAATTCCAGTTATGAGATCCAACTCAATAACCCTGTCTTCAATACTCAAAGCCGGTTCAACAGATGCTATGGTCATATTTTGAACCTAGTAGTCAAGGTGTTTCTCTATGGCAAAAAATCCTCCAGGCTGGCCAACAATCGAGTGGAAAAAGACAGTATTGAGCAAGAGAACCGTGAAGTGGAAGAGTGGAGGAAGGTTGGACCTTTAGGGAAATTAAGGAATATTACTGTTTGGATTCAGAGATCCCCACAGCGACGGGCCGCTTTTGCGGAATTGGTGGAGAAAATGATGGCTGGTTCTGGGAAACAGGCCAGGCAATTGATATTGGGCAATGTTACAAGATGGACGGGTGATTATGACGCACTTTCTCGAGCTCTTGAATTCCGGCAAGCAATTGATTTGCACTTTCAAATGCTCATCATGGATGATCCTAAAATAACAATCTCCAATGATCGCATAACTTCAGATGACTGGTCAGTACTGCAAACAATTTCCGGAATTTTAGAGCCATTCAGGGAAGAGACTCTTGCTCTGGAGGGAAATAAAGCTCAGGGTTCGCTTTATGAAGTTTACCCATCACTCCAGGCATTAACAAATCATCTTGCACAAACAAAATCCAACCTTGCCCTTCAACATTCCCCTCTACAAAGATCACTGTATCTAGCAATCGAAAAGTTCAATAAGTATTATTCCCTTGAGACACTCTCACCTATTCTTTGTGCTGCCATCATTTTGAATCCAAACATGGACAACTTCTTTGCCAGTGAATCCGGTTGGGGTGGGCGTCCAGATTGGGTATCTCATGCGAAGTATCTTGTTCGTCAGCTCTGGATTACCAATTACAAGTCATTATCATTACACCAACAAAAGATTTCTACTCCAGATTCACCAAGAAGAAATCAAAACCCGGCAGCCATGGGCCCACCAAAATCAGTACGCAGCTTCAAAAAGCCAAAAGTTTCTCCAAGAATAGACATGGATGAAATGGACCATTATTTGCGATGGTGTGAGCATAATGAGGACGAATTAGAGAATCCTATTCAGTGGTGGATTAGCAAAAAGCCAACATATCCCAAGCTATCTATTTTTGCTCTGGATACTTTTTCTGTACCAGCAATGGCAGCGGAGTGTGAGAGAGTTTTTAGCAGGTAAGTTAGATATATTCCTTCAAACAATATAGATAACTAACACTCAAAACAGTGCAAAGCATCAAATTACCGACTGCCGTAATAGATTATCTGAAGATATAATTGAATCAGGAGAGTGTCAGAAATCATGGGCAAGGTCAAGCCTGATAGCTTTCAAGGTAGCTGATGAAATGAGTAAAACATTGGAAAAAGCGGAGCAAGATGCTTTGGTATTGGAAACAATATCCAATTAGAGTATTTGTACAACTTATTGGGAATTATTTGTACTATCATTATAGTAAGTGTTATTTCGCCGCAATACAAGGCCCAGAAAAATATCTAGCGGGTAATTTATTTAATATGTACATATAAAACATAATATTCTATCTATATTATAAACCTCGGGGTTTGAATTCGACTCCGAAAGATGATGTTGAACCTGCTGTATGCTAATCACTACAATAGTAACAGGTACCGCTTCACACTTAACCACGCGGCCACAAGAATACCTAGCTGGTATTTTATTCAATATATATATTCTACGCTAAGTATAATAGCTCTACTTTAATTCCTAGGGTTTAGATTCGACTCCGGAACATGGTGTTGAAATTGCTATATGCTAACCACCATAATAGTAACAGGTAGCGCTTCCCACTTAACCACGCGGCCACAGGGATACCTAGCTGGTATTTTATTCAATATATACATTCAATGCATGTTAATCTAATTCTATTATAATTCCCAGAGTTTAGATTCGACTCCGGAACATGGTGTTGAAATTGCTATATGCTAACCACCATAGTAGTAACAGGTAGCGCTTCCCACTTAACCACGCGGCCACAAGAATACCTAGCTGGTATTTTATTCAATATATACATTCAATGCATGTTAATCTAACTCTATTATAATTCCCAGAGTTTAGATTCGACTCCGGAACATGGTGTTGAACCTGCTGTATGCTAACCACTACAATAGTAACAGGTACCGCTTACTGCTTAACCAAGCAGCTACAAGGATACCTAGCTGGTGTTTTATTCAATATATACATTCAACGCATGTTACTCTATCTCTATTATAATTCCAAGGGTTTAGATTCGACTCCGAAAGATGGTATCGAGGAGTAAATCTCAATGTAAAGTAACCCTCACCATTATACCAAGTATCAAATCGCCGCTCAACTACACGGCAACATGCATATCTAGCGGCTATTTTCTTCTATATATACTTTGCACGTATGCTACACTATCCCTATTAAAATTTCTAAGCCTTAGATTCGACTCCGACTCATGTCACTACTATGGACCATCATATTACACAATGCGGGCTGTTATCAAATTGAAACTGCCAAGAATTGCGATTCAAGTTGCCAAGAATTGCCAAGAATTGCCGAGATTCATGCATGGTATTTTATGCAATCCGGCACAACAATTACAATTACATTTGTCAAATCACAAACCAAACCTTGGCATCAATTGATACAGATGTCCACAAACGCCCGGCTGCCCGGCTCAGTTGCTGGCGCCGCTGCCTAGACGTATCTTCAACGGCCTGAATGAATTGGGTGACCATCTCACGATCCTCACCAGTAACCACTTGCAAGTACCCGCTGTGCTGTAGAGTACTGTGGTTGATGGCCTAACAATGCGCCAATCACACCCCCGAGTGTGCCTGGGACGTTCTTCTTGTAACCGCCCCAACAGAACAAGTGTCAACTGCAGAAACTGTGATGCAGACATCGCCGTAACCATGGCAACCGCAGCGAGGGCCCGTGCGCGTGGGTAAACAACTCGCAGGTGTCAACAACAGTTTAATTTGGGGGGGGGGCTTTTTCTCTGCGGTGGTGCTGTTCTTTTCTTTATTTTCAGACAGAGAGACAGACAGCATACATCTACATCTACATCAGGCAGACAGACAGACAGACAGACGCACTCCTCCTCCTTGCTTACCCGCTTCTATTTTTGATCAGTGACATCTGTCTTCACTGTGAATCCTCTTCTTCTTTGTCCGTCACACGCAATCACTCCTCCCTGCCCTGCCCTCCTCCCCTCCTCCTGCTCCCCTCCTCCGCCGCATCCGTTCTCAACTGCAGAGCTGAGAGCCAAAACGTCCCCACCACCCCCGTTCTCACACTAAAACCCCTCCCCGCAAGGAATGCGCTGAAACAAAGTTTTAACGTTGAACTGATTGACACGACCTGTTTACGACCCTTTGCATTCCCGTCCGCCTTCATCAATCACCCACCCTACTCCATTTTCACCCCTTTATTTGTCTGCAAGCTACTCGAATCTGCGGGTACCCTCGTGTTTGTCTAGAGTACGTACATACATATCCTCTTTTCTTATTCCCATCTCTCCTACATATTCTCAACCTTACCGCGCCTAGCTCTGCAGAGCAAATCATTCAGTCATCCAGATACCCCCAGAAGACATCCGCAATGAGCAGCGAGCGTGAACCATTGAGCCCTCCCGTATCCCCGCCTCCCGACGAGGACGATGAATACGGCGCCGAGGGCTCCGACGGCGGTGAAAACCTCTACACCCCCGCGCACGGTTCCGACGAGAAGGGCGACGACTCGGACAGCACCACAGACGAGCACTACGACAACGACGGCAACCACGTCCCCTCATCGCCGCCAACCTCAATCGACAACATGAACAAAAACCGCCAGCTTTCGGGCGAACACTCGGGCGACCACACCACCGAAGGCTACAGAGCCCCTGCCGTGGAGACGGAGGACGAAGACGACCCGGAGGAAACCCGCCACACGCAGCGAGAGTATTTCAAGAGCCACTACGAGGGCTCCTCGCAATGGGAGGATGAAGAGGGGGAGCCTGCGCATGCGCGGCTCTCGTCTCCCCCGCTCATGGCCCGCGTCCAGTCGCAGACTTCGTCGCGAAAGTCGCCGGCGCCGGGGCCGCCGCTGTTTCCGGCGCGACCGCGACAGAATACGGGATCGACGAAACCGGGATTAGTGGGGCATCAGTATACCCGTCGCTCGCCGGTTTCCCGTGGGTCGTCGGTGTCGTATGATGGGCAGGATCGCGAGCGTGATCATAGAGATGATCAGAAGAAGCCGCCGCTTGTGCTGCTTCATGTGACTTTGTTGCTCCTGCCGGGTGCTGAGGAGATTGTGCTGCGACACTTGACCCCGACTACGATTGATAGAGGTGTGTTGGTGGAGCATCCGCGAGGCGACTATAACCTGCTTGAAGAATTGATTCTCGATGGGTTGGGTCTTGACGAGGATTACGTTGAGGAGTCTACCGAAACCGAAGAGCCCGAGGAGAAGACCTGGGAGCAAGCTCTCAACATCTCCCCCGTGTCTCCCGCCAAGAAGGCCTGGCAAGTTCGAGTATATGCTTCGAACGGTCTCATGACTCCCGGCGCCTGGAAGAGGGTCTGGGCCGAGATGGAACGGATCGATGTCGAGATTTGGCCGCGAGGTTATGCCGTCGGCAAGAGAAGCAACTTCCGCACCTTTGGCTTCGGCGGTCATAGTCGTGGTACGAGCGCCAGCAACATCTCTGCTATCCTTCCGGAGGATGCCGATGACTACGATGTCAATGATAACCGCCGCAAATCCTACAGCTCCAGCTTCCCGCGACGAAGTAACAGCAGCGCCAGCGAGCTTGTCGCCTCTTCGGCGCCTGTTCCGAACATGCCAGGGCGGTCCCAGGCGCCTTCGGGAGCACCGAAATCTCGCAAGGGAAGATCCCGAAATGCGTCGCCTTCAGACCAGTTCGGTGCTTATTTGGGTCGTTTACTTACGCCTCGCGCCGTGATGATTGGTGCTGGGATCAACTTGCTGCTGTTTTTGTACTTTACGGTTTTCCGCTTTCTTGGTGCCGGGGCTTGGAAAGACTCGATCTCGAGTATTTCGCTGCCTTCTTTCGGCGGGAGGAATAAGATGGGCGGTATCCAGGTGCATGACGTTGATGACGGGCCATTCCCTCTGGATGGGTGCGCAGTCGGTCTAGATTCTGATGTCGCCGAAGGAAATGGAGTTGAGGGTGAGGATGGCATCGTCGGCGGGGAGGAGACAGAGGCCGGTGAAAGCTCTGAGACCGTGGCCGATCCCGAGATTCTCGACGCCGACGGCAATGCCGTCGTTACTGAGGGTACCGAGGGTGTGGACGGGCAAGCCGAAGACGACCAAGACTCTGCGGTCGAGCAGGAGCAAGCCGCCGATGGCGAAACCTACCTGATGGTCGATTCGGAGCAGGAGCCATATAACGGAGCGCGGGAATCCGGTGAACAGCAATCTGACCCTGTGGCTGGCGAGGAGTTCGAGCACGAGAGCGCCGTGGCGGGAGAGGAGGTCGAGGCTGAGGAGAAGCCGAAGAATTCGGGGTGGCTTCCTTGGAAATAATGTCATGTTTTTTCCATTTGTTTTTTTTTTGACATGTGTTTTATGAGTCTTTTCCCCAGCTTCTCTTTATCATGTTTTTTTGTTATCGTGTTTTGTTTAGCCGACAGCATATATCCATTTTTTTTTTTTTTGGAAATCCATCCATGCTATGAGAAAAAAACCGGGGGAGTTTTCTTTTTTTTTGTTTGTGTTGTGTTTTTGGGAAGCTGTTCTTTTTGGGCTATGACTACGTTATGTATTGCGCTGGAGGTGGTCGGTTGGCCGTTATAGGGAATGAATGATTATGAAGTATGTACTGTCCTCTTCTTTTGGCCGCTGTGGGAGTGGGTGGGTGGGTGAGTGTATGTGGTCAGAAGAAACTACTTAGGAACGCGAGAGTAAGGTTGGGAGGGTAAATGAAACGGAACCATGATGATGATGATGGGTTTTTTTCTCTCTTTATATCTATAATTGATAATGAATTGAAGGATTGTATGTATTTATGTATGTAGCGGAAACGAAATGAAATGGTTCGATTGGAACTCTACAAGTACACGTAATATGGAGCACTGGTTGATTATCTTTATATATTATTCCGACGAAATTACGCTCCAAACATTAGTATCTTCAAACCTCAAATTTCCCTATTCAAAGTGCGTGTAATGACTTAATCAATTGACCAATTAATAAATTATCAACCAACTAATCAATCCTTTTAAAGCGTACAATTCGTTTGAGACAATCGAGTGATTGGCAGTGATGCACAAAATATCAGAATGTGAACTTCTAGCACATGAATAGATTGATACCCAACTACGTGTATTTATATAAAAATCAAGAATTTTCTTATGTATTATTAGTTGAATGGGCTAGCTCTAATTTCCGGATGTGAACTGTCCTTTATCCCATAGGTTATCACCACTCACTAACGTATAACCGCTCTTTGTTTTTCAAATAGGTACGGTACCATTAAATCTTCAAAATTGATAATTTTAGTTAGTTTGACATCACAAAGCCATCACAAAATCGTCACAACGACATCGCAAGAGGCATCTCAGAAAAGGCATCAAAAATCATATGTATGTAGTATCACTATAACGGGAGTTGACGGTATAAATACATATTTCTTTCATGATATTCTTAATTAACCAACTCATGGTGCCCGGGAAAGCCGTTTAAGCCTGCTCCAAATTTGCTCCGCTACCAAATTCTGCTGTAGGGTGAAATATCAAAAGCGTTGATCTGCTAGCGAGCTGTGATACATGCTCAGTTGACCAATCTAATCATTTGAGTGATATTTTACAATAAAGCGAAGCGATCGAATAGTATTGGAAAACTTGAAAATCCACTATAATTTAATTTTCACTAGTAAGTACTGCCAATAAGAACGATCGAGTGATTGATCGAATGCTTAGTCAAACGCGCACACGCGGCTAGACCACAACTGGCCACTCGTGTCTTCCCCTCTCTTCTCTCAACATCAACCGCACAACTGCAACAAGTAACAAGTCACCTCGCCATCCTACAAAAGATACCGCCAACGCGTCTCTCTCTATCATCTCGATACCCCAGAGGACCTACAGAAAACACTAATAATGCCGAAGAATAAGGGAAAGGTACATATCGCTTCTCAGTTTTCCTTCATTTCCCTCTCCGCGGTCGCAAAAATTGGATTTGGATTAGCCCCACCAAAAATCTTCAGCCGCCACCAACCACACACACACTGCACACTGCACCATCAGATATACACCGCCAAACAGCAATATAGAGAGGCTTTGGAGTTTTGATAGCTGATGAGTTTTGCGTATAGGGTGGTAAAAACAGGCGTAGAGGAAAGAACGAAAACGACAGGGAGAAGCGCGAGCTGACCTTCAAGGAAGATGGCCAAGGTTCGCCGAATCCTCTTTGTGTGGCAGGTGCAAATTTTACGTTGACCAAAACTAACTACCGGCACTTCTCCTATAGAATATGCGCAAGTTACAAAGATGTTGGGAAATGGTCGTTTAGAAGCCTTATGTTTTGACGGCGAGAAGCGTTTAGCCCATATTCGTGGAAAGCTTCGAAAGAAGGTACGCTGCCACTCACGCTAGATATATCGATTGGTCTGCCACTCATACATTCTATTCTAGGTCTGGATCAACCAAGGAGATATCATCCTGCTGTCACTTCGTGATTACCAGGACGAGAAGGGAGACGTTATCTTAAAGTACACTGCGGACGAGGCTCGTTCGCTCAAGGTTTACGGCGAACTTCCCGAAAATGCCAAGATCAACGAGACCGATACCTATGGTTTGCAAACTCCTTATATCATCGTACACATTCCTTCCTCTTTACTAACCTTTATCTTATCCAGGCCACGAGGGTGGGGACGAATGCAATTTCGAGTTCGACGTCGAAGCTGGCGACATCGATATCGATGCTGTTTAAGGCTGCCACGTTCTTTCTTGTCTTTTTCTTCTTTTCCTTGGGCTTTTGGGAGGGGGGAGGGGGAGAAAAGGAGTTCACTCGTTTCATTTCTTTTTGAGATGGGGGGGGGGGGGAAGCTATATTAGGTGTTTTTTCAATTCTTTTTTTCTTTCCTTTTTTCCTTGACTCCAATTATCACAAACCTTGAAACGATCGAAACGTGTAGAATGGATTGCGATGACACAAGTTACTATTGCCTCATTAATGGAAGGACTTGGGATGAGAGCAAGGAGTGGTGGGAGGACGGTGCCGCAGTAATCATGGATATGAGCTTCCAAAGGATTTATTGATTTTTTACTTTATGGCTAGCAGAGCCGAGTACGTCCGGATGTGAAGGTGGTCTGGTTCCATATACGTCCAGTTTGTGGAGAAGTCCCAGTTCTTTATAGACCTATCTCTATTAACTTTTAATGGAAGTTTGGTTGTGTAAATTCAGATGGTGAACCACAGAAACTGGGGAGATAAATTAGATGTTTGCTACCGATTTGCACTTGCATGGATTATCCTCGCATGCCAACCATCTCGAGTGACGAAACATGATCATTAGATGTACTCTATGTAGTTGATCATCTCACGCTCATCAACGCAGCTGAAAACCCTGAGATACTGTGTAAATAACCAAAATTTTGTGTGATTTATTCTATTGGGGTGCTTGCCGCTCCATGATCGACTTGTAGGAGTCCAAATCCTGGGGTCGAAGAGACCTGATGTAAATTAAGTATGTGTACTCCAGTAAGAGTAGATCGAGAGAAACAGGTCCCAAAAGTAGTGAAAAGATACCATTTTGGTAACTCTTGAATTTTGACATTATTGAGGTTGAAGAGATGCTGTGGTGGTTGATTTTGACTAAGACCCCCTTCCACCGACAAGTCCTTCCTCATCACCAACAAGTCCCCCCCTCACCACTAACAAGCCCCCCTCATCACCGACAAGTCCCCTCCTTTTCACTAAGGAGTCTTTCACGAATAGACCGACAAGTCTCACCGCCCACCCCAGCAAGTTCTTCGGTGGTGGGGAAAGCAAAGTCTCCCCCGATTCTACAATTAGATATTCAACTCACGGTGGCAAGGTGGCCACTGCCAGTTATATTGTATTAGAAAAAAAAGAAAACCCATCCTCTAATTAATGCGGTGCAATAAGCCACCCGAGAACATGCAAAGTGAACACCGGAGCTTGGCGGGGCGGAACACGAAAGTTCTTAACCTCCTATTAAAAAAGGGGGTCTTATCCGGATCCCATGGCGAGGACGATAATACCGATAAACCTCTTGAAACGATGCTTGCATAGTCCAAGATTACCGGTAACAGCCAAACGTCCTCCTTCCCTCATTATGTATTCAGTTGTCGATGCTGCCGCACTAAAAAAAGCAAATTTGTATTTATCGATTTACTGCGCGAGGCTGGTCAGTCGCCGTTTCTTAACATGGCTAATCTACGCATTTACCTATCAACTAGGAACTGAGGCTGCGATCCCTCAAATCACTCTAGAGTAGAGTATGTCTGCCTACATAAATGCACAGAGGACTTGCTTGGCCAATTACGAATCTCTGGGTCATCGACTACATGTGCCTACATGTATGTAGCCTTGATCATCTTCAGCCTTCAGCCTTCTAATCAACACTGCAAAGAAACCGTCTGCACGAGCAACAACATGCCATTATCAGCATTTCTAATTTCTGAGGAGTACTAGGCATTACGTACTACACACATGCACCAGGGAGATTTGTTGGTCACCCATAAATCTATGAATCCATAATTGTTTTTCTCGGCAATACATAAGGAGACGATGCCAAATCTGGTGGAGGCTCTTTTTACCCTAGCTACAAACCTGCGTTTTATCCGACGTAGCCCATTTAAATGCCTAAGCAGCCGAGGTATGGCCCTCCCAAAAATCATTACAGGATTCTAAAGCAAAAAGCTGCCTTTTATATGACCTAGAACATACCGGATCACTCGCACTCTCGAGAAGTGTCAAAATCGAATTTCGCATCTATTGTGTATAGTTCATATATTATTCTATTCTGTATCTTGAGATAAATTTCGCTTTACTCTCTTTACTACGGATATTTTTAAACTTTACTTTAGTTATGTACATAGTTGGGAACATGAATCCAAATCACTGTACATCACTCGGCCTTGGCACCTGTGGTGTTGTGACCGAACGACCCTCATGGATGCATTTAGAGCGGGTCTAGTTGAGCATGGTCCATAGTACGGAATTAACCTCTTGATTGTGATTTTTTAAATTGAATTCCTCACAATAATTCCCTTTCTAAGTACACAAAATAACACCTTAAATTCGGAGGTCAATGTGCTGGGCGTACGTACGCGTACGTGACATATACATATACTAATTTTTCTTCTCTTTTTTTTCGGCCTCTCCCTTTCTTTTTTGATGTTATGTACTACGTACATACACAGCTAGAAGGCTAGAGAAATGAAAGATGAATGTTACTGCGAGGGATTTAAATCGCTCCCTATCTCACCCGTAATAGTGCTTTTGGAAATGAAATCATTTGTGCTATTACCGTAGTACTTCGTCTTGCAGTTGGTGAGAACCGCCACCTAGAGCTTGTGTTATATCAGTAACTTTACCCATCATGGGCTACAAAAAAATATATCTATTAATATTAATAACATACTTCATATATGACGACATGAAGAAATCTTGGCGTAGCTGCATCCGAGATGCGTAAAGGTCCAAGAGATAAAAGACAAAAGAAATAGGGCAACTGCCTTCTCCATACGTACATAACCAATTCCCAATTCAGCAACTCAGCAGACGCCCCCACTGGGGTATGGTGCTCACGGGGGAAGGATGAAACAACTAATAACATCAAAAATGAGAACAGAATATATGAAGATATCACCAAGTATATAGGTGCGATTCTCTGTACCAATTAAAGACTTCTAGTGTCCTAACTTTCTTAATTTCGTCGATTCCTTCTCGCAATCAAGCAAAGCACCATACTCCAGTGTGCACCACACTCCGTGGGGGGTCTACCTCTGTATCTGCCAAGGTCTTAAGAGTCGTTATATCATGTTACCAAGACGTATTTGCGGTCGGTATTGCCACAGACGTTACCTTCTCAGCATCGATATCGTGTTTTTGAGACCCCCTGAACGAAGACTTTAGACCCCGCCTACTCATACCACTCCCGAGGCTGATCCTCGTAGACATTGTCAAACCAGCATGTTAGGATCCCAATAGCGATCGTAATAGGTGCGGAAATTGCCCAAAATATTGTGTGTTCTGACTCCGCTCTGTGAGCCCACCCTTCGTTCATGCCAAGATATTTACTATCGTCCCAGATCGTATTCTCAGCCAAAGTCCAGTGATAACAGCAATTAATACAATTGCATTTCGAAGGCTTACCGAAGCAAATAATCCCAATGGCAAGAATACCATATAAATGAATATTAATGCTGCCATTACACAAGCTTGTTTTTGGATAATGTCCCGTTGATCGATGATAGTATTGGTTTGTTGAATCAAGTGCATTTCATTATGAGTTGTGTTCTTGCACAATAACTGTTTGAATGCTCCCGGTTTCTTTCGTCTGAGTATGAATCGCCTCCACGATTGTGGTGGTTAGGGGGGGAATTTTTAGATCTCCGATCTCTTGAATTGCATTTTGGACCCCGTTAGTGGAATTCATTGCCATCTCCACCTCTATAAAACTGGAAAACTATCACAACAAACTTAGCCAACCTATTTAATAATTCTTGGACGAGTGAGAAAGTACGGATTTTTGTAATTGCCTCACATCCTTGACGAAATCCTTGAGGTTTTCGTAATATAGTTTCCTTTCTCCAACCATCTTATCAATTGTCGGCAGTGTGGGCCCTATTTGCTTTTTCATATTCCAGAGGATTAGTATCTTGATTGAATTTCTATCGTAGTTATTCTCTTGGTAGAATGTGTTTCGTAGATTTGTCGAAGTTCTTTCAGAATTTTTATTTGGGATTTGACCACTATATTTAGCGCTAATATATCGGTATTAAGTCTCTGAAGATTTGATATTATGCCGATCGCTTCAGTGAATGTTGAAGGACTAGTATATATTCATGCGACATGTGACTTTGTATTGCTATAAGGTTGATGCAACTATCAGCGCTCAAATCCTGTGGCTTTAGAACTGGAAATGGGATGACGAACTTGTTCGCATAGCTTGTCCTCAAAGAAATTAAAAATCTTCTTTTTGTGGGCATTTGAGGGTATTAGGGATGATTGTGACCAACATACGGTAAGCGCCATGTCTTTCTTGATACTGAAACAGCGGCGGCCGCCCCGACCACCCGTCTTCTTTAGGTCGAAATATTGCTATCATATATATAGTAATTAACATCGAGGTTGTAAGCATCTGATCGTTATGTATATATATGTGTGTAGGTGTGGGAGGAACAGGATGTCAAACCATTGTTAATAACCATCAGTAAGGATTTGTGAACTCTAGCTTCATTTAGATTTGTTTGGACAAGTCTGAGATCCGCATCCTTGTCTTGTTTTGATAGGGTCGCCGGGGCATACATAACTCGTAGATACATGTTCCTGGGGTCGGGATGATGCCATAGCTGCTGGAAGCTTTTAAGTTCCACGAAAGACTCTAGTGATGCCTCTGTTTCCCACCTCTTGGACACCGGATTCTAAACCCCATAGTTCTAGTGCAATAGACGTGCATATCCGTTCATTAATTGGTAGTTCTTCAACCTCTTCGCGGCGCAATAGCCGGGGTTCAGCAACCACCGGACCTGGGTCTATCGAAGGGTATTTCGGATGTGTGGCTTTATAAATTTAGCCACAGAAAAATTGGGTATGAGATCAACAACCACATCCGGCTCTAGCCACCTCTTGACATTTTTGAAAGGGTGACAGTTCAGAGGGCAGCATCGTCTATGGTGTGCGCATGTCAGACATTTCGTTTGCTACACACAAACATTAACTCATCTCCCTCCGGAAAACAGAGTCCGCCCCGAAGTGAGACTCCAGGTGTAACATTTAGAGATTGACATGGACTAGTGCTGTGTTCCAAATGCCCCGAATGTCGGAGACAGAGGGTCGCGGGTGGGATGGTACAATTACAGTATCTGGTAAAATTATTGCGAAAGTGGGTTCTCCGTGACCCGATAGTCCTATTGGCCCTTAAAAGGTTTTTTGCTGCGAGCACAGACCAACAAATCCACTCCTTTAGCTCTGACTTTTGCAATAATTCTACCGGATACTGTAAGTTGATAATCTAAGTTTGGTTCAATAATTATTCAGCAAAATCCAACACAAGCCTGGGAGCATTTTCCGGTGTAATCTCTGGTGGTCATTCCTTGGCACATATAAATCTCGAAGTCAGTCTCTTTTACTAGGAGAGCGGAGGGAGGATGGGGGCCTTCGGCACCCCAATATCGAGTACCCCATAATTATTGAGGAAAAAGTTAATATATATCTATAATCAATAATTATAATCCAAGTAGTCGCGAGGGTAAAAACATTTGTGACCTAGCCAGCCTGCTGGCAACCAGTTGGGTAACTCTGCTCTCGCGTACTTCTTAACCGGGTAATTATCTATGCGCAACATTCAGTCAGCTTCTCACCAAAAACCCAACTTTTAGAAATTCAATAGCTCATGAACAACCACAACTAATGAAATTAATTAGGATCTAGCTGTCACAGTGCTATTAATATCTCTTATATAACCCTACAGAGCTCTTTTAATTTTAATTTAATATGTTTTGGTGGTTGACCATTAAGTCTCAAAGTTCGACACTCCGCTAATTAAATTAACTACATAATCCCCGCGCGGCGACTAGGGCACTAGCACTTTAGACGAACATTATATCTTATAAGTATATAGATATACCGATATGCAATGTGTTATTTAAAGGTTTTGATTGGCTAGGTTTGAGAAGTTGGTGATTAAGATTGCTTTTTTTGAGTTGCTAACACATTGATTTTTTTTTGATTGATATATTGATTTTTGCTTTTCTTGAGATGATATCATGATATTGATTTTTGATTTTCTCACTGGCAGTAGAATATAATAGTATTGATTTTTGCTTTTTTTGTGACAATATAATCGTGACTGAATTGATTTTCCTTTTTTAGAGCAATATAGTTATAATTATATTAATTTTTGTTTTTCTTTACTAGTATACGATATCAGGGTATTGATTTTTGCTCTACTTGATACAATATCACATTATCAATATTTGCTTTCAAGTTTCTCAGTATGATATAATCATGATAACATTGATTTTTGTTTCTCTTTATAATTAGTAGATTTTGGTATTATCTTCCTCTCGGAGATCCTCCTCAGATTCCGTCCTTGAACCTGTTCCAACTCTGCCGTATTCAAAGTTGTTCCTGAATCCAGGCCCGAGCCGTTAAAATTAGCAAGAGATTTTGCTGATGAAGTATTAATAGACCAATGTGAATGCAGGTATACTGTAACGGGGATCTATGGGCGTAGAGACTATGGTGCCAAAGAATACAACCGAGGCAAAACGTAGCAATAGGTATCCTTAACTATGAACTATAGGGTGGTTCGACTTGGTACGACAACCAGTTGAACCCTATGACGAGACGTGGAACAAAAGTAGTATTCGTGGAGTAGGTACAGGAGATTGCGTGAAGAGAAGAGGAAAGGAAGGAAAACATGAAAAGGCACGAGACAACACCTCTTTATATATCCAGCCCCTAATCTGTTGATGACTCATCCCCCGCGCAACGGAAACCAAAAGAACATAACAGAAACCCCATTACAAATCCTAATTCAACTGCGCAATACCTTCCCTTCACGATCCACTCGATCATCCTAACCAACCGGTAATATTGCCGTTACATATACTTGAAATCAAAAATTAAAAGGTTATTTTTGTTAATTTTTCATTAGATCCTTCTACATTAATATAAAGTTTTGAGTATACCCTTCCTGGGGCTTCATTCACATACAGAATTGCACTAAAATATAATATATGATGGATTATCCTCTCCGGCCGAAGGCCGGCAGCGACTTGTATATATATATATATATCTAGATACGTACATGTACCTACCCTTCCTAGAGCAGATACATACATGTTATGCACATACATGTAATCTACCTACTCTATGAGCCATATCTTAGGTGTTTTTTGCGACGTTTCCTAGGTCTGATCATGCAAACTATGAGGATGAGGATCACCGTCTAGGTTTGTTATTGGGTCATCTTGGCAGAAAACACCCTGGTAACCAGCACTGCATTGCAATTAATATTGACAATGACTATGCCTAAATTTATAAATTGTGCAGCTGCAGTTCTGTACGGCCTAGAGTACATACATGACACACGAATAGAATGATTAGGACGATTACAAGTTCTACAGTCGTTCACAGGTGAGGACGAACACTGTGTGTAGACGAACAGGTATTTTAGACAAATAGGAAACGATGGGAAAGATCGCTTTGCTTGCCATATTGAGAACCCTTGTTCGTCTTTAGTGCCGGTGTTCTCCCTCGCCCCGTGAACGACTGTACCTGTACATGATACTCTAGCTGCATGGCAGCAGCTTCACCGTATTTTATAATCGAAACTTAGGAATAGGCGCACACATAGAATATATATATGACTACTTTAGACAATATCAACTTATAACGTAGGGGTTCGTACCGTTTGCGTGATTTTCGACGAAAGCAGCTAGTGCAGAGACCTGATATATATCTACCTCGTCGATATTGGGCAACTTGCAAGCTCGCAGTATCGGATTTGTATATCCAATGCCATCGTACCCTTGGAGTAGTCGGAATTGGCTGTTAATTGGTACTCCCAAGTTTGGCTCTCGATCGCTATGCACACAGCACGATAAATTCCCGATCGCTGGGTGCATGATGTCAAACGTTTTCAATTTGCCAGTTAGGTTCTTACCAGTAACTAGAATCTGAACGAGAAAATAAGTACCATGATAACAATTATAATTATAGGCTGTTTTCTAGCATCATGGTGGGAGGACTAAGATTGAGAGTCACGGGGCCGGAGACTTTGCATCTTTGCTAGCTATAGTATAATATACAAACGAGGCCATCGCATTTGCAGCAGATAGACCAAAATTTAAAAGGCACAGAAGTTGAGAGATCATTCATGCCAAGATCCAGATAACTTTGTACTGTAAGGCCGTGCGTGTTCTGATATCTATCACAAAACACTAACGACTAGTCGAGAGAAGAACGATGATATTGATAGACTACTAGAGCATCTATCTTTATATATACAGAAACAAAACTGATTGTCACACCACCTATCCGTTGCCATAAGTCCACAGTTGTAACATACGTAACCTACTGTCACGTATACTGTGCGACAGTACTCTAGGATACTTTTCTAGCCACTCGGATAGTTAACGTGCCGTAGAGTGGGGCGTGAAGCTACGAGTGTGTAGAGGCTGAGGCCCTGGTTTAAAACTTCATAATAAAGTTTGCACCTATGTACCTTAAATTTCAGCGTCCTTATTACATACCTACTTTTAGTCAAGCAGAACCAAAAATATTCATACTATAGATTTAGTGGTACTGAGGCGTTCGTGAAACCGGTACCGCGGTGCGAACCCGACCTCAACTCAAGAATAAGATAGGCTGAAAATCTTGTCTCTAGTAATGTATGACGTCGATCACGACCTTATTCTAATATGAGATGACTCAGCAACAAAGAAAGCCACCGTAGGGCCGAGATTACGGAATCGTGAAACGTAAAGTAGAAAACTTGGAATGCGAGATTACGTACAATTTATGGTGCTAAAGAAACATATGTAGTGAGCTGAGCTATTAGGCCGCTTAATATAGGCCAAAAAGGCAATCCTCTCATGTAACTGCTACGACTTGGTAGAAATCAGTCCTTTCTTAAGTCTAGATATGCAAATGCTCTAGTCTCCCTAGCTCTAATGCTTTTATGAAATTGTTCTCCTTCCCAAACCCAGATGATCCAACATTTGAAACCCACAGCTCTCTAATTGAGGACCAAGGAAACAAAGTAATAAAAATTATAAGGAAAGCGCGTGAAAAGATCCTAAGTAGTGTCTGTTCGCACCCGAAAGAAGAAAAAATGTATATGAAAAAAAATATATATATAAACGCCCTCCCTGAGAAATAATGCGAATAACCTCTCCTCCTCAAATATTAAGCAAGGCAAAGACATCATCTAGGTATGCCTTTGTCTTTCTTGATGCCAGAGCTAATTGCAATATTTTTTCGTCCGTCACGTCGTCAAGAGCCGCAACTCCACGCCTATTCTTAATAGTATGATCCGCACCTAGCTCTATTAAAAGCCGTGCGGTCGCGAGGTTCTTAAACTCGGTAGCCCAATGAAGTGGTGTCGCACGCTCTGAATCTTGTGCATCGATATTCGCCCCCTTCTCCAATAGTAAACGTACAACATTATCCCAGCCATGTTCGGCAGCTCGATGTAATGCTGTAACAGAATCGTAATCTTTTCCATTAACGTCCACTCCGTTTTCTAATAGTAGCCGTACTATCGTTTCATGGCCTTCGACGGCAGCCCATTGAAGAGCTGTTCGCCCAAAGAGATCTTTAACGGCAACGTTCATGCCCCTTTCTAGTAGCAATCTAGTAACACCTTCGTGCCCGTAGTCGGCGGCCCAATGTAAAGCTGTGCCACCGCAGGGCCGATCTTGGATAATGCTGTGTGCTCCTTGTTCAAGCAGAAGCTTAAGTAGCTTATCAACGTTATCATCGGTAACGCTGCGTCTTATTTCATCGTCATCTGTGATTCGGATATTTGTTCCTTTCTCAAGTAGCAGCCGTATCATCTTTACATCCGCGTTCGTCGCTGCGAGGTAGAGCGCTGTCACACAATGTCTATCTTCGTGGATCGCATAATCTAGGAGAACTGGTGTGAGGAGACTTGCAAGACGCCGGTTTGTGAGGAAGAAGGCATATGTGGCTTTGACACTGTCGAGGCCCTCGGCGATCTGAAGGAGAAGTTCGTTTGGGAGGCTGAGTAGTGGCATGATTAGAATTGCTGGAGGGGAAGAGGGGGGTTGAGATGGAGGGGGGAGTACGGGGAGGAAGAGGGGGAAGGGAGGTTTTTTTATTGAAATCAAACACCGCAGTCAGTGTAGATCGGGGAGAGGGAAAGGATTAGGAGATTGGATTATTTCATTTTCATTTTGGCTGGCTGTGCATGTGGGGGTTTTCTCTCGCGTTGTTGTGTTGTCGATTTAGAAATCAAAACAGCCCTAACCCTGCAGGGTACATACATGTTTCGGGTAGCCCCTAGCCCACCAGCACTATCAGTTCCTCCATCCTTTTGAACTGTGTTCTCGTGCAGAGGCTGCTGGAGTGGTCGTAGAGGGAAACCGATTCTAACGCTTCGTGTTGTTGCCAACCATTGGACCAAGGTGGATAGCGAAACGTTATGCCGCGCTAGTACTAGTTGAAGAGCGGTGCATGATATAAACTGAACCAGCTCAACGATAGGAATACCATAAAACCAAACTAGAATACCATGATCCATGACTAGGAGTTCATAGTTAGTAAACCTTGATAAATTCATAATTACCAGACGTCTCATAAGAGCTGAACGATCTTCCATGCTCGTGTCATGATTAATCACTCGATGGCGCCGGAATGTCCAGCCTCGGCAGCCATCAATCTATGCGATGGCTGGAATGCAGCGATATTCGGTTTTTGTCCATATGGGAATCCGCATAATCGATTAAAGGTGATTTAGCCTATCGTGCCCCAAAACAGGCTCCAGAGCCTTTTGATTCACGGTCTTGTGCAGATGAGGTACTAGATCCCATGAGTTTTTATGGGGAGCTGCTGATTTCATCCTTCAACCACAGATATTAAATATCCAAATCCTCGACTGGTTTTCGCTGCAGAACCTACTCGCGAGGAGTACCGGATCTAGATTATGTAACTTTATGAACATTAGTCATTTGTGAGTTCCCAGGGAGGTTTCGAGGTGACGTCATGTTAGGACTTACAGTAAACAAAGCGTCATCAACATTGTTGAATAGTATATATATGAAGCTTCCCCCAAACCCAGGAACAGCTCTGTTCCAGTATCAATGGTGAGTGAGCAGAACATGGCGATGTGACTTATAGATATATTACTTTCCTGCCCGACTGCCAATGCGCACCGCCACTTTTACTCAAACTAATTACCCTTGATACCGTATACTATAGCTAACTTAATAGCTAGGTTTGGGTGATTATTAGAGCTTGTAATCATTCCTTCACGACCAGTGAATAACGTCTAGTTTGAGGGTTTGCGCAAATATTTTTTCGTGTTCTACGTCTAGAAATGACGAAGCTATTAATGCAAAACATCTAATCAATTTGTCAGTAAGGTGGTCCACAGTACTATCAAGGTATGGACGTATAAAATATAGATAGAAACACCGGTAAAACATTCCGAACACAGGTGGATGAAAAGAAAAGTGATGGGGGTTTAATCAACTGGCCGGCCATGGTATTGCCGAAGAACCAATGTATCGCATCCTCCATGTTTACACCCATCGAACCCGCCGAAGATGCGCTGGCCTGGCTTTCAAGTTTGATCAACAATGGGGGATCATGTCAGTCCGATATATATTGATCTAAAGCTTGACTTCAATGTCCTTCCCACAATTAAGTCGCCTGGTAGTCTACCCTGCCGACAATGAATATTCCCGCCTTCGTATATATATCGATAGGATGGTATTGAAGCTTAACTAGACGTCGGAGTGGATTCTGTGGGGAAACGGTCCTGTTATTGTCTTTGTAAGATGCTTCAAGGCGTCTCAATTGCAACCGTCGATCTCATAATATGTTAGAACCTTAGTCAATGGTCGGGATCAATCTTCTTCGCATTGGATCCATCTATGACGCAATAATTCGACAAACAACGCGCATTCTGAATCGAGTCATCAGCAAATACTGTATCTCGATCACTGCATGGAAGATATTTATAATCTGTAAATCGAACTCACCGAGAATCTTGGGTGCTGCGGAATATATAGGAGGGTAACTCACTATGTATTGATGGGCGCCGAAGTCATTAGCCATGAATAATTAACTATAAACAGGTCAATCACTTCTTACTGTTAGTACTACGTATTAAAGATAACAATTCCTATTATCATGGTTAAACAAGGAAAGGGCAGCTAATGTTGTGTTAAACAATCACACACGAGATATATGGAATGCGAGTGATATCGTATGAAGCATCATCCACGACTGACTAACTGATCCTATCAAGGGCATAGATCTTCGAGGCCGCAAGTTTTTATTCCCTAGAATAGTACTAAGAACACATGGCCTAAGATTATCTAGAACTATCTTGGGTGGTACCTTACAGACATAGCTAAGCCAGCGTCCCGCATAGGACAGAACCATCACTATTCGAAAATGCGAAATTCTTTATCATATACATTTTTTCCAGTATTATGGTGACGAGAGATGGGAGTAAATAATACAGAGGAGGCATAAATAGAGAAATTGACATTCCTAAACGACTTACTGCTCAATATCCAGTCAGTCACTACGAAACTTTCAAAAGGAGTTAAGGGTTATAACCTGTCATCATGCATACCGTCATATTATTACTCAGGACCAGTTCCGTTATAAATTGCCATTATTAACTAACTTCCATTGAAATATGGATGACCCCGCGTCCCTTCTTTCTTTCTTTCTTTTTTTTTGTAACTCACATGTTCTTAGCTCCTCGATTTGCATTGCTAGTTTTATTTCTGTTACCACATGTTAATTGTGGTATGGTCACAGATCTTATCCTCTCTGAAGAGAAATTAACTCTTTAAGCAGAATAGCCGAAAACTTTCAGCTGCTCTTGGCCACAAGCGCCACCGTGACGTGGACCCTTCCGCTCACCTCCTTAGAGGGATATCATCACTCGCCCCGATAGACGTCCTCAATAATATATTTGGCATCGCCACGTGCATAAAACTACTCTAGGCCGTCTCGCTGTCTATCGTCGCCTTGAAAGCTTGGTTATTGACATCTCTAGTTAAGCGTCAAATCCATTGATGGGGAGTATCCACACCGGCAATGCCCCCCGTCTCCCTAGGTACGTGTGCTCCAGCCTATGGACTATTCATGCCTTTGTCCAGGACCTTTAAAATGTGGTCCCGTGCAGATTGCTTATTATAGAAATAGATATGTAGCTGAAAAGTTGTACATGAAATATTTAAGTATGCTGGCACATAGAGACCGGAAGTGTAGCGGCTGTGAACGAAATTTTATTCTTCAACCATTCCCAATGTCCACACAATGAAATAAATTCAGAAAAATCATAAGATTATAGCTTTTTCATTGGAGGCGTTCGATCCTGGAATAGTGGCATAGGCCATAATCTCATCGGACCCATGATAATAACAACCAGTTGACATTAGTTAGTTGCTAATGGCTCCACCACTAATATAGAGATCACCGCCGTCACCAAATATCTTAGTATAGAATCGAAATCATTCCTCTGCCCCCGAAAGGAGTCTATTTAGCTATCGCTGGGTTTCCCTTGTGGGATACTGGGTGTCGTAATCCCGTGTCGGCTCCATTTTCCAACAGCAGCCTAGTTGGCTACCAGTATATGTCTGTGCGTTGTGTTGTTCACGAAGAGGTATGCGTTTTTTTTTTCTTCTTGCAATAGCGGGAGATGACGCTCGTACCTTTCCCTCCAGAAAATATACTATCGTATCATGTAATGTGGGTATGTACGGTCTACTCCAGCTCACGGGGACGATGTCCCGGGAGCTGCCCTACTGGTAGGGCAATGTAGAGCAGAGCTCGGCGACTCATGCAGCTTATATACTAGGTGAAGCATACACGCAATTACGCTCCGCCGAGTACTCTAAAGCTAGACGCAAGCCCGTAAAGCGCTGTGACGCAACGTCTAGGTTCCTGTCTATACAGGTAGCGCAAAGCACTTTGAGATGACAGGAAAATTAAACGGCGGCGACCTCGGGAGATAGTCGAGATATTCCTTTGGTGCTGGGATTTTTTTTGGTCTTTTATAAGGGAGAAAAATAACCCGAAGTGAGCTGAGTTATCTCTGTAGCTCGAGATGCCTAGATGTGCAGTCGTTCACAGTTACTCGACGAATCAACACTAGCTACCTGGTGACGAGTGGGAGCCTGGAGATCTCACAGCTTAGCTAGTGTTTCTTAGTATATACATGCAATTGTAACCCCTGTTAGTCAACAGGTAGCTGATATTCGTCGAGTGGCCGTGAACGACTATACTCATATAGTCGTATCGTGGTGTTGATGTTGACGCAAAGAAGTAGCCTTCATAGGATCGAAGTTCCGCCCCGGGCTCTACCTTACCCGGTATAGCTACATGTATTGCATGTAAGTCTACTTCTGTAAGCCGACTTCTTGGATTTGAGCCGGGGAAACTACAATTTGGCAAGCGTCTAATTGATAGGACCAACTACTGCGGGGGTTTAAGGTCACACCTATGTACATCGCGGTGGCTGAGATCTGTAAAAGTAGGCATCCATGATCTATCAGATTTTATTTTACTTGGGCGATGAGAGTAGGGATGGTGGTTTGAGAAAAAATATCCACTCATATGGTAATTGGGTACATGTATCCGTCTTTTGACCATGGGGCCGCGCCGGGGGTTCATGTCATGTGCAGAGAAAATAAAACTGACCTGTCATGCACTGACATGATCTATGGGAGCGAACCTACGCCTTGATAAAAAAAAGTACGGAAAAGGAATGCTTAACCACGGTCAGCATGGACTCATAGGCATAATTAATTATAATATAAAAGTCAAACAAGTTTTAAGTTGGGCGGAGATCTCGATATCTGATCATGTTCCTATGGGTATCTCCGGGATACCGATAGATCGGTGAGCTAAATCGCTACATAAGCCGAGTTCTCCGATCAACCTGACTACCGGGGTGGAATTAGCCGTTATTATTCCTTTTTCTCTCTCGGAGAGTAGTGAGACGAAAACGTCTTGCTCTTTCTCAGCTATTATTTAGCCTTCCTGCAGCGCAATGTTTTTCTCGAGCTTACATTACCGCACGGTACCCATGGTCACATTGGAGTAATGGATTGGCGAAATTAAGCTCCATGTAGTTCTCCTATGCCGATTGGCTCGAAAATGGCTGCAATACATATATGATTTTTAGTATTTGAAATAGAGAGGCAGTGCCATAACATGATATCACAATACCTGTATGTACATAGTTACAAATAGTTTATTAAATTTAGAAAAGTAAGAAATCTAAATACTGAGTTGAACATGATTATTTCGGTCAGTGATAGGCTGTGACCGGTCGGCAGCTTTGAGTGGTATGGCTTTTGTGCAGTTAAATCAAACGACATGCCTATTAAGTACCCTTACTTTAAGAGACTCAAAATTTTGCATCTATCGTCTGTAGTGGGTGAAACATTCACATTCATGTATTATCACTCGGCTATATATATTAGGATGTCTCTTCTTGATATAGTGCCCGGCAAAGCAAATACCTAGATACATGTGGTTGCATAATATCACTTAATATTTATGCGTTTATGCGGCCATGTGTTAGTAAAGAATGCCACTTAACCCCACGCGTAGCCTCACATCCATAGATGACTGATCCTTCAATTTATATCAGGTAGAACTTGTCAACAAGCACCGATTATTATCAGAACGCCTAGGGCTAACCGATGGGAAATGGCCCCCCACATCTGATGTCTCTCTCCTATTCTTCCACCCCCACTCAAGTCCCCCACTCTAGATCGTCTTTGCGTGAGCGCAACCACCCCGCTGTTACATGTAAGGGCATGAAGTAACGTTGTCGGTCATCCCCGTGATAGATACGGGTGCCTACCAATTATTGCCTATTGCTAGGAATCTGGATGGTCAATGACCGCACTGTTGGTACTATGTATGAAGGAGCACGAGTGTTGGTTGTTGGCCCCTGCAATTTTGCTTGGCATCACTGTGATGGACACTGGAAGCTGTGTCCTAGCGTGCATTTTACGAGTGTCAAGTCAGCCCCATTTTTCGATAAAGACGACGGGCTGATAATATCGTGCCCTTCGTTGGCTCGCCTATATATATGAGGAGAGTAGAACTTATGCGTGTAAGTGAAGCCGCAGCTATATGTATGTACTTACGGTGATCGACTTAAGCCCGCCTTAAAGCTATTTAGTTTACACAGCTAGCTGATGTATGCATACAGATATTTGCATGATACTGACATTGGTTGCTGGTGCAATGTCTTATTTGGTCAATATAATCCGTGCGGTGAGAAGTTGGTGATGGTGCCAGCAAGGTTTACTCAGTGATAATGAAGAAGCATGCGCAGTGCTAGTGACGTGATGTCTGCTATGTAATCAAAAAAAAAAAAATTTAATAACACATGCCGAGGGGTTCTATATAGTATCCTTAAACTGGGAATTAGCTAGAATCATTATGGGAAATGATATGCTAGAAAACATAGCTAATACAATCAATTGGAACACAAGAAATTTTTTCAATTGCCTACGGAGCTAACTTGAGAGGACTTTGTGTACACCGTGCACCGAATGTACCTATATACCTATTGAATACATGCACGATCGAACGTAGTTATGGAGGAGGAGACTCGTACTCCTAGGAATAATAGAATGTGCAAGGTGATGATGAAGTATGCAGACAAATACGCCCAATACGTCTACAGCCTTTACCGTACCCATGCCCATCCATCGAATGCAGCAGCTATGACCGGCCGGTAATGATAAACTGAACCTTTTCAATGGCCTTGCCCGTACTGCGAGTGCCCTTGCTCAAACTCGATCGGGGATATATCGATGCTCATCCCATCAACCTCTTGAATTTGTATGTATTCGCCTTCGGTCTCACCAGCGTCATCGTCCTCAGATTCGCTGGGCACCCGTGTGCGCTTTTTGTTGGTCGCCTGGAACATAATGCCCTTACGGCGTTTGAAGCCGTCGAACCAGCCGCGGGACCACCTGTATGGGTGGAGTCAATCAACGGATTAGGACAACAAAGAATAGAGAGAACAGGACGTAGGGTATCACCGCCGGCCGTTGCTGGCCATCCATGCACCATGGTGGATGTACAGGCAACGAGTTTTTCTTGTTTTATTTTTTTAGTATGAAGGATGTGGTGTACATACTTTAATGTATACTTCTTTTGACCGTTAAGGTCTGTGGTGACATGGTCTGGGTAGCGGGCTTCAAAGATCTCCTTTCCATTTCGAAAGAACCAGCTGTGATCTACACGACGTCCAGAGTTTCTCCATTCCTTGAAACGATCGTGGAGTAGTTGCTCCATCTCAGGCCAGTCGGGCTTGCGGCCGCTGCCAATGCACTTTGCACCTGCTTCCGAGGCTCGAATTTTCATGACCTGGCGCCGCCAGTCACGGATGTTCTTTGGTTCGACCCCGAATTTCTTCGCGCAATGGCGAACAGAAACCGGGCACTCCCCATCTACTCCCGAGTTCATTACACCGTTCTCCAAGAAGCTTTTTTTTTATTGCATGCGTGTTAGCTTGCACGCCTAATTGCGGGAAGAGGGAGGAGTAAGAGCTGCAGTGGAGAGACGAACGAGATTGCGTCCAATTTGTATTCCCGACCAAACGATCTCCGCTTTCTTTTCTTATCACCAACTTCACTACCGTCAACTATAGCTTGCTTCTCGGAAGCTTCTCTGTGCTCTCTCTCAATGTCACCCCCCAACCGTTCAATTATCTCAGCTTCATCCTCGGACCGCAGTTCATGTTCCACCCCTGCTTCCCCTGCTTCACGTTGAAGCCGCAGTTTTTCGCTCCTCCACTCTTGGAATTGGCGCCACTCCTCCAGGGAGATATTGGCCGATATCTGAATTGGCACGAGGGCTGTAGTAGCCGACATGCTGCTCGCTTTTAAAGAATGAAACCTCTCAATTGAGAAGTTCAGAAACCAACAGTACTTAGAATAGCAATGAGAGATTCTCTTTTTTTTGTAAAGGGTACGTGAGAGACTCCGGGGAGGGGGGGGGGGGGGAGGGGGAGGGGAAAGGAGGGGCAGAGGTCAGAAGGAAATCTGATCCAGAATACAAGTCTCTCTTACATGCAGAGGAGAGGAGGAGACAAATTTCGGGTTGAACTATAAACCCGTTTATGTGTGATGCGTAATAATACCAAGCTTTTTTTTCCCCAAGGCCTGGGGCTTAAACCTGGGCGGAGGTGGCTGTGTACTACCTGAGCTATACTGTAAACTAACACATATGTAATAATTTACCCAACTTGGAATTGAAAGGGGGGGAGGGGGATTGCCTGTCATTGTGGCAACATGATGACAACAGGGTTACAGATCATTGGCTTTTTATACAGTAAGTACATGTACTCCAAGTACGAGTCAAGTATGTGTTATTTTAGTTGAACGTGTCTCTTTTGTGCTTTTTTTCTTTCTTCTTAATGTCTTGCCCTTGTCTTGCTCGATCAAGTTTTATCTGGATCGAGAGTGTGCTACTGATAGGTAGGAGATGATGCTCTTAATCACCGAGTGCCTTGAAGCTTATTAGTGAGACGTTTAACAAATTTATTGCTAGTGCATCTGTCTGTGGAATTGTTTGAAGCGCATTGTCTGAGTCGCCTATCTCTCTTTTGCTGCACGAGATGCGGGGGGACAATGCGGACGCGGCGAGGTTCAGGAAGGTGAGACACCTCACAGTAACAACGCTGGGTACGTACATAGAGTACATGAACACCCTTCTACTATTTCCTACACCGTGCCCTCGGGCCGCCATGAATCCCGGCCACTAGGTGTGCGAACTGGTTCTCGGGTCCGCTATCCTCACTTTGGTGCGATATCCGATGGAGTGGGAGCATGTCAGTGGGAACACCCGCCGCATCGCGAAGATACTCTTTGAGTGCAGCTTGGGTTACGGGCATAGGATGAACTCTCGGGAGTCGGGTGTGGCTTAAAAAGACCATGAGCTCTTGAAGATTCGATGTGACCCAGGGATCTAGCTAGCCTAAGCATATTTTCCCTCCCCCTCTCCCCCTCTCCCCCTCTTCCTGTCTCCCTGTCTCTGTCCTTCTGTCTTTCTCAATTATCACTTTCTCAGATAGCTCGAGCATCGATGCATAATCTTGCGCCGGATGAGGTCGATACGAGAGCAGATTGCCCACCAGTTGGGGCATTTATGCCAAGGCTAGCAAGGGGATCGGATGAAAAAGAAAGAGACAAGATTTGAGCTGTGTAGGATTACGACTTAGAATATGCCCATAACAAAGACGTGTTATAGCAGGCCCGAACCATCTGGCGACAGCTTGGGGTTCTTGGCCAGACTAGTTACATACTACGGCTCCAAGTTCCAGGAAATTATTATTGCAGCTGTATGATGATGTACCGAGTGAATTATTTATCATATGACGATCAAGTATGTGTATCCCCTTTTATGTTTTTAGTTATTATATTTCATTTTTCTTCTCATATTGAGGTTCTATCTCAACTTCAGATCACAGACGTCGTTCCTTGTACGCGTACCTACATATGATACGAAGGTGCAGGTATTGTGTGCCGTATCGTATGGACTGTAAGGATAAGGGGGGAGAATCTATTAATCGATGGATGGAGGGTGGATGAGTATTGATGGGGCTGCATTGATAGAACGAATGCATACACAACGTGCCTTTCAACGTGCAACGCCTCATGAATCCTCAATTTTTACATACCCCACAGTTTGCTGCTTGTTCATGTGTACAGTACATGTAGGCACACAGGTAGGGATCATTTCACAAGCGAGCACAAACGTACGTCAAACAAATAACTATATCCAGGTCGATGATCTCCACAGGAAAGGACCAGGGGGACCCCAGGAAAAAACAGCAGCCTTCTCCTCCCACTGCCACGTGCGGTACATAGCGCAAGGATCAGATCGCCCAAATAAGCGAAATTGCACAAGAAAAAAAAAACCTTGTTGGGGTACGAGCACCACTTGAATGCGCTGAGCATCATCCCTGAAAGTCCCACCGAGGAGGCCGGTGGCCATGGTGATTTGTGGTGGCCATGGTCTTCTACCGGTAGGCTAATGTAACATGAGAAGAAAGAGGAGGAGGTGGGGAGGGGTAGGTAGAGGTTAAGCATGAGGTATTCTATAAGAATGTAGGTAGTTATATCAAACCAACAATGGCTGGGGTTTCAAGTCCCCGGTACGGCGGTACCGCCCCGATCATCTAGTTGTATGATATATCTTTTCGATTCTCAGCAATGTCAATATTGACTAGCTGCCTGCCTACTTTTAATTTGCTTTTCTCTTGACAACCAATCAATATCGATCTGGGGGGGGGGGGGGGGGGGGATTCAACCAACGCACAACTTACAAGAGCACAGGCAACCTGAATGGACGAGGATATTCATCTAGTGATTAAAGATATGTGTGTATTTTCCATACCAGTCGGTAAGCTCTACGAGCATTGCGAGAGAAGCGGGGCTGCTCTGGTGGGTGTGTAGAGTACATGTCCTTTCCTACATGATCTATTCTACTGACTGCGGCACGGAACAGTCTGCACCAGGCCGATCATCGAGATTGTGAACTTGTTCGATACAGTCTGAGCTCAGGGAGCAACAGCATCGCGGGTACATACCGGTGTGCACTGAGAGACGAAACTAGATTTATGTCAGATTCCCATGGTTCGGGCCTCTGTTTTAGTGTTACATACAATCTCACGCCCATGTAGTACCTAGGCCTGGTCTGGCGTCACGGGCCGGGTAGTTAGCATCTCTCTCTCATAGATATTACCCACAACTACAACATCTCACTCTGTTAATTCCTTCCTCTACGTTATAATTGGTGGGGCCCTTCGGCTCTTACCCTAAATCTCACATCTTTTCCCTTCGTGGTACTGTCATGATGGCATCCGCTTTTCCCCATCTACACAGTCTACAATCTCTACTTCCTACTACATCCCATCGACGACACTACCTACCCATTCCTCCACGCATATAATATACATATATCTGCGCTACAAGCTCATTGCACCACATCACCCCTACCTACCTTAATATCAACATTTTCTATCCTTCTGGAACCGTCCATTTCAGACTACATACCCACTACCGATATTTGGGTGCTATACATTGATTCACTCTCGTAGCCTACACACATACATCTTCAGACATATTTTATTACCCACACGTATCCACATCCACACATACATAGGTAGAATACTCTTGATACATGCATGCACACTTAAGTACTACACATTTGTCCGTGCTCTGCATCTCTGTTTCTTCTCGTTTAACGCTATCTCATGGTCACTACAGCTCCGCGGCCTCATATCGTGTCTGTCTCTCTCTTGCTGGACGGAAAATACCGAAAGAATTCCTCTGAATCATTCATTCGACCATCATTCACCTAATCATTAACTTTTCACTCAGTATAAATTCATTTTTTGTTTGCGTGAATCATCTGGTATTGTTACAAGGAAGCATAGGAAGGAAAATAAGACCTCAGTTCTGTTCAGACTACCACAAGTGGAGCATATCAGATCAACGCCCCCCCCCCCCCTCCTTCTCCCCACGTGTTGTCCTACCCCCTCTCTTCCCCCTTTAGAGAGGGAAAAAAACATGGCGACTACGCACGTACCGAACGCTGCTTGCTCTGTTTCAGCCTCATCTGTGTCTTCATCTCCGTCTAACATAAAGATAGAGCAAGTCTTGAATTCATCTTCATCGGCCTCGATTGATCCTCTCTCCCCGTTCAAGTCATCTGCTGTTACTACAGCTTCCTGTCCTCTTTACCCCCCACAACCCCATCCTCCTCCCACTCCTTCATCGTTACTACTTCCACTTTCTACTACGTTACATATATCAGAATCCCCCACAACAGCGAATCAGCTACCGGAATATCAAAATCACAAAGTAGATATTCTGCTGCCATCGTCATCGACTTTGCCTGAGCAGTCTATGGCAGCTGCCGTGGCGGTACCTCAACCCACGCATGCCATGCAGCCTTTTACAAGGCCAATCCGGTTTGTGGCAAACGATGGACAACCGCATGCTAAAAGAAGAAGAATTAGTGCCGCGTACGTAATTTCCTGCATATCAACCCCTCTCAAACTAGAAATGAGTCTTTTCCAAAAAGTGAGGATGGTAGAGGATAGAAAAACAAAGATAACTCTTCACGCTCTTCCACTTTTTAATTCATCATTGTTCCTTTTTCCTTTTTTCCTTTCTTTTTTTCTCGTTTGCCTGGTTTTCAATCACAATTGCCCTTCACACCCCACCCGCGCGGCCCCCGTGAATACGAGTTGCGGGGTCTTGATATAGGGCATAAAAGATATATCGTCTTGTCATTCATAGGATCCATGCATTTGCATTCCCTGGAATAAACGTGTGCTTTCTCTTCAGAGATCGGAAATTTCTTTTATTTGATCGTTTCTTATTTCGATTTTGTTTATGATTGGCTTGGAATCCAATGCTAACTTTGTTGCCATCTTATGGAGCTGGATTAAAGCTGCAAGACTTGCCGCAAAAGGAAAACTCGCTGTAGCGGCGAGAAACCTGCCTGCGATACTTGTCGTCAGAACGGCCACTCATGCCTGGGATACTCTGATCCTGCCCCGTCAACGCCATCGCATAGTCCGCAGCAAGAGCAGCAACAGCGGCAACAAGAAGTCCCTGCTAAACCAGCTTCCACCCCTGCAGCTACCACTCCTAAGGATGAGCCGACAGTAAAAGAACATTTCTATCTAACATCTCCCAGTATATCCCCCAAAGATCGGAGAGTCTTACAAGGGGCCGATTCGGCTTCGCAACCTTGTGATATACCGAGTAACCAGCATGAACAACGTGGCAAAAATGTTCCGCCTTCTAGGAGGCAGTCGCAGAAGCGAAAGTCCGTTGATCATCAGGACAAAAATGAC